AGAGGCCAGGATCCTCATGGGAGCCAATGGGTTTGTTGAAGCGTTTTTGCGGTTTCTAGAATCAGCTGTTCATGAAAACAATGCAGCCGCACAAGAAACCGGAGCTATGGCTCTATTCAATTTAGCGGTCAACAATAACAGGTTAGTGTCTTTGTTACCACCAGTCTAAGTCCTTAGCAATGTCACTGTCTGATCTTCTCTCTAATATCAGGAACAAAGAGTTGATGCTGACTTCAGGAGTCATCCCGCTGCTGGAGAAAATGATCTCTTGTTCCCACTCCCAAGGGCCAGCAACTGCGTTATATTTAAACCTCTCCTGCCTCGAGAAAGCCAAGCCTGTGATTGGCTCAAGTCAAGCAGTTCCCTTTTTCGTCAGTCTTCTCCTTCAGGGAGAAAAAACCGAAACCCAATGCAAGCTGGACGCTCTTCATGCCCTCTACAACCTCTCTACCTACAATCCCAATATTCCCACCCTCCTTTCATCTAACATAATCAAAAGCCTCCAAGTCCTTACATCAACAAGTGACCACTTGTGGATAGAGAAGTCATTAGCGGTATTACTAAATCTAGCCTCTAGCCAGGAAGGGAAAGAGGAGATGATATCATCACAAGGCATGATCAGCACTCTTGCAACGGTGCTGGACACTGGTGACACGGTCGAACAAGAGCAAGCCGTTTCTTGCCTTGCGATTTTATGCACGGAAAGCGAGCTGTGTATCCAGATGGTGCTACAAGAAGGTGTGATCCCGTCTCTAGTGTCGATCTCAGTGAACGGAAGTCCCCGAGGGAGAGACAAGTCCCAGAAGCTTCTGATGCTGTTCAGGGAACAAAGGCAACGAGAACAGCCATCGCCAAACAGAGATGAAGCTCCTAGGAAAACCGTATCGGCACCATTACCAATGTCTATACCTGCGCCAGCTTCAGCTCCAGAATCGGAAGTGAAGCCTTTGTCTAAATCAATGTCGAGAAGGAAGACAATGACAAGACCATTTAGCTTCATCTGGAAGAAAAGCTACTCGATCCACCACTGAGAAGAAAAGATAGATTGGATCACACTCCTATGTAAAGTTACTCTCATCTTTTACCTCTTACAAGTCAGCTGCATAGAGAAGAAAGATAATATGTACATGCCACTTTGTGATGACGCCATTTTTGCTCACTTTTCCTCTCACAGCAGATGTATCCATGTAGATAGGTTACTAATGTATCAGTTTTTTTTCTTTCATAAAACCTCACTTTCAGTATAAAACAGAAGCCTTTTTGGATTTCAGAGTCAACAAGTCTTGAAGCAGAACTCAAATTTTCAGTTTTTGTAACAAAAGTAAATTATGGAAACTAAGGAACCACGTATGAACCAGGGAGAACCAAGTATTATAAAACACTGTCGTTTCAGTCCCAGCATCTTCGTAGTAGCTGTCACAACTTCTCCGTCTTCGCTGGTCGCAGCATCTCTTCGCAGCACATTTCGCCACCGCATTATCTCCGTCGCAACCTTACGATAGGATCTCTCGTTTTTAAAATCCTAATTAAAAGGTCGCAAAAGAGAGAGAAACCATTTTTGGAGTTGCTGTGAACTCTAAAATCTGAGAGTCTTTTTCTTAATTTGTGTTTCAGAGGCTGAACACAGGGTTTTCCCGTCCAGCGATTTCAAGGCTTCAGCTTTAGCTTCTCGACTATGGCATTTCTAGGGCTGATCAAGAGGGTGACACGAATAAGCAGAAACAATTCGAGGGTCAGAGTGTACCCAGCGAGGTACTTGCAAAGAATGGACCTTTCAAACACAAATTCCTTTCATGGCGAAGATGCTAAGCTCCCTGTTCTGATCGTCGGCGCTGGACCAGTAGGCCTCGTTTTATCCATCCTTCTCACCAAACTAGGTACAATTTACTCCCAACTTTTCTTGAATTTTTTTGTTTCCATGTTTTGAGCTTTTACTTTATTGAGCTGAGTTCACGCCTTTGATCGAATTGAATTCTCACCTTAATGTTAGGGGTGAAGTGTGCTGTTTTGGACAAAGCCACAAGCTTCTCGAAACACCCACAAGCACACTTTATCAACAACCGATCTATGGAGGTTGGAATGTTTGTGTTCCCTGTGGTTAATTTTTGTTTGTGCTGGTCCTGGATTTTTTTGAACCTTGATTTCTCAGTTTTCATATGCTTAGATCTTCCGTAAATTGGATGGATTAGCTGAGGAGATTGAAAGATCACAGCCTCCCGTAGATTTGTGGAGAAAATTTATATACTGTACATCTCTCTCCGGCTCAACTCTTGGCACAGTGGACCATATGCAGCCTCAAGGTGTGTTCTTCCCTCAAATTTTCTTCTGCATATAGTTCTCATAGAAATATAATCAATTGAGGAAAAATGGAGACCTTTCACAGAAGTCATTGTGGTGTTATGAATAGATTTTGAGAAAGTTGTCAGCCCGGCTTCCGTTGCTCACTACTCACAGTACAAATTGACAAGTTTAATGCTTAAGCGGTTGGAAGACCTCGGTTTTCATGTTAGCAGTTCCAAAGAGTCAGATAGTCTTGCGCTTGACTCTGTTGTTGCGAGGCAAATTCTTATGGGTCATGAGTGTGTGGGGATTGATGCTAACAAGGAAAGTGTTACGGCAGCTGTTTCTTTTCTGAAAGGAGGCAAGCATATGAAAAGAAACATTCAGTGTAGTATACTGGTTGGTGCTGATGGTGCTGGGAGTGCTGTAAGAAGGCTCACAGAAATAGAAATGCGAGGGGAAAGAGATCTACAAAAGCTTATTAGCGTGCATTTCATGAGCAGAGAGCTCGGTGAGTACTTAATCAATAGCAGACCAGGGATGTTATTTTTCATTTTCAACACCGGAGGTATAGGAGTTCTTGTTGCACATGATCTTCTACAAGGAGAATTTGTTTTGCAGGTAGCTGTAGCCATGACCTAGAGAGATCCGAGATACTTTTATCTCAAATTATCTACATATATTAGTGGTATATACCGCTGCTTGGTGTGTAATCATTGCTTTTTACTGCAGATTCCATACTATCCACCTCAGCAGAGTCTGTCTGATTTTAGTCCCGAGGTATTTACTTTCATTACCTAGAGATGACTGGATTCTTAACTCATTTTGGGGAACACCTCTGTACTTTTATTTCCGTCCCAACTGTGACCAATTTCAAATGCAATTTTGACTGTCCTGAGCGATTATTTTGTTGTAGATGTGCAAGAAGCTGATATTCAATTTGGTGGGACATGAGCTTTCAGACTTGGATGTAGCTGATATTAAGCCATGGGTCATGCATGCTGAAGTCGCTGAGAAATTCATGTGCTGTGAGAACAGAGTGATGCTTGCTGGTGATGCTACTCACCGGTTCCCGCCTGCTGGAGGCTTTGGTAAGAACTATATGCTGCTTCTTTGACACGTTTTCCGTGTATGGTAAATGTAATTTGGGAAGAAATCTAATTATATCCATTGTCGTAATATTATGATTGAAGATATGGTCGGATGAGATATTGTGGTTCCAACGAAAGTTGATCTTTAAGGATCCTTGTTGTTAGTTTCATTTCTAAAGTTATATAATTGAGCGATGACAAGCCTCAGGAATTGGTTTTATTTTTTGAAAGTTCAGTCAGCAGTTTTGGAAAATATTCTGATAGCAAATTACATGATTTTTGCAGGAATGAACACTGGAATTCAGGATGCTCATAACCTTGCGTGGAAAATAGCAGCTCTTCTTCAGGGTTCTGCAAACTCTTCGATTCTTAACACCTATGAAACAGAACGTAGACCGGTATTGTATCTAGCTTTTCTAACTTTTTTCTTGCCATCCTTTCTTTTTAAGTTGGATTAAGTTATAAGCATCTAATTGTTGCCGCTAGATTGCCCTTTTCAATACTTCGCTCAGTATCCAGAACTTCAGAGCAGCTATGTCGGTTCCTTCAGCGCTGGGCCTTGACCCAACAGTTGCAAACTCAGGTAATCTTAAACCAGCCTGACTTCATTTTCAGTTCAGCATTCTGTGGTCAGGGTTACAGCAAGTATATCTCTGTGGTGTTGTAGTTCATAGGTTTATAAACAATACAGTCGGTTCCATGCTACCCACTGGGCTGCAAAAGGCTATCTTGGATAACGTCTTTGCACTAGGTCGTGCACAGCTTTCAGAATCTCTGTTGAATGAGAGCAATCCGCTGGGATATCAGAGACTTGGCAGACTAAAGAGTATCTTCGAAGGAGGAAAAAGCCTTCAGCTACAGTTCCCTGCAGAGGATCTTGGTTTCAGGTATAAATTGTATAATTATCACCTTTGAAACTGTAGTATTCTCACTCTAGTCTTAGTAGTGCCAAGAATAAAAAAGATTAGAAACTAGGGTGGTTGCTGTTGTAAACTGATATCATCGGTATCGTGACACGAGATCTTTAAATGTTATAACCATTGTGTTTGCTGCATAGGTATCTAGAAGGGGCCATTGTTTCTGATAACGAGTCTGAAGTTGGTGATTCTGAAGTACCGAGTGGTCGTAGAAGAGACTATGTTCCTTGTGCTGAACCAGGTTCAAGACTGCCTCATATGTATGTGAGAATACTGTCAGATTCCACAAGAGAGGTAGTTTCTACACTGGATCTTGTTTCGATAGAGAAAGTGGAGTTTCTACTAATAATATCGCCATTACAAGAATCCTATGAGCTAGCTCGTGCTACATTCAAAGTGGCAAAAGAGAACAAGGCTAATGTAAAGGTATGTGTTGTCTGGCCTAGTAGTAGGGATGATGGTGTTGCAAGGGAGAGCAAATCAGCATTAGCGCCATGGGAAAATTATGTCGATGTTATGGAAGTTAAAAAACAAAGTGGTGAAGAAGCTTCTTGGTGGAGTATTTGTAAAATGTCTGAGAGAGGTTCTATTTTAGTCCGTCCAGACCAACACATTGCTTGGCGTGTGAAGTCTGCTGTTACTTTGGATCCTACTCTGCACATGAGAGATGTCTTCTCCATTATACTTGGAAAACAATGAACAGCACCAATTGCTCCACAAATTCTTTGTATTCTATTTATTACCAAATAAATCACGTTTTTTTTTGTGACTGTTTCAAGTTTTCTTTACATTTAGTGTAGGAATGGTAAAAACATTCATCAATATGAATAAATAGTGAATCAAACTAAGGCTTTGATTGTAAATCTGTTTCAGTTCTGTCCAGTGGCTTCAATAGGCAATATAGCAGAAGAGTTGTGTCTATGATTGTTCGTTCACGTTAGCTAGTAGCTATCCTGGTAAACAAGTATCCAGTTACTGCTGTAACACTTCCAAGCATTCCACCAGCAATGACCTGATCTCAGCATATAAGAAACCGAATCTGATGAGAACAACAAATTGATTCTTCCCAAAGCACAATGACAATTCAAAGAATAGTTCAGATATTAATCAAAACAAACACGGTTTGTTCTAGAGTTGCGTCAACTCCGACAAGCCTCTAAAAGGCCCCAATCACAGGACTCTTCAATCCCCTATTTATACTCATGCTTTCCACTAAAACTCTTTAACTATCTTTCTAACTGAATGGTATGCAACAGCTATCAGAATCTCATCTCTTGCTTGTCTCATACGAAAGGATTTTTTCAAGTCATAAGTCTTAGAGACATTAGGGATTGGATCAAATTGTACTCTATGAGGATGCTCAGCAAGGTGAGATTTGTGTGTAGTCTGTGATCTTATAGTTATTCAGTCAACTGTTGTATTACATACCTGGGGAGGGGTATGACCAAGAAGTTCACGCAATGGTCTGCTTTCAGCCAGCGGATGTTCTGCAGGAAGTTCGTATACAATCTGATTAAGAACCTGTAATAAGAAGCAGACCCCAGAGATCAGGATACCAGAGCTCAAATGCGTCATGACAAAATCAATAAAGGCTCTTTTCTCAAAAAAAGAAATGGTAGTCACGTTGAAAGATGAAACGAAGAAAAGTTGGAATAGCTGTCAAACCTCAGCTTGGCGACCCACATGTAATCTTACACCGGTAGCATCATACATCACCTACCACCCAAACCAATCATATATAACCAAACAGCAGAGAGTAGCTACGAAAGTGTCCCACGAGATAAAGGAGGTGACCAACTTACAACTGATGCCAAGATCAAGGCAATAGCAAAATGTGATCCACCAAAGCCCTCTTGTAAACCAATCGCTACAGCGAGAGCTGTAACGGTCGCTGAATGTGAAGAAGGCATTCCTCCGGACCCAACAAGCTGTTTGAGATCCCATCTCCTTTCCCTATACCTTCAGATTCAAGGAAACATGTAAAGGATCCTCCTTTCGTGTCTTTACGTCTACTAGAATCTCTAAGTACACACAAGACTTATATGTTCCGCTTAAGAGAATTTCATACAAGAGAAGTCAACGGTTCCTAGAATTTTTCTTATGTACCGTTTCAGATCAGGATTCTAAACAAAGATTGACGAACCTTCCTCATTCTTGAGATCGCAATCTAACTACTCCTTAAACTATGAATGTAGATATAAACTGCGACATGAGTTACAGATGCGTGGACAGAAACGTACCAGGAGGTGAAGAGTTTGATGAATTGAGCTATGGTGAAAGCCATGACGGCGGAAATCAGTGGGTAATTCGTGAAAATGGAGAAATAATGAGTCGAAGACCTAGCCGTTGCCGTAGTTTCCTCCATGGCCGATGATGGATCTCGTCCGGCTTGTAAATCGCGCGATAGCTGCGATCAGCTAGAGAAAGAAGAAGAAGATGGCACCGAATCGAAAATTATCCATAAGGCGTCTACGAATTTCCCTTTCTGTTTTCTACACGATTTGTTCCTTTTCAAAACTCTATCCAATGGCGTCTGCGTAGACGTTCAATCTCTTCGTCTTCGTCTTCTTTTTTTTCCCTTTGACCAAAAAAAAAGTAGAACACTGGTCTGGTCCACAAATCGATTAAACAAAAAATGGTTTGATGTGGTTAATTACGGTTCGGTATACTACAAATTACAAAACCAATTGAGATCGGTTCGGTTCTACCCTCTCCAATCTAATCTCCTTCCAACTCTCTGTGGAGTCTCGTCACCAGCTCCGACCTATAAACATAGCTGCACTGCACACACAAGCCTCGTTCGTATCGCTTTTCGATTTTCTAATTTATACTAATATATTATTATAGGAGTAGTTTAGAAAATTTCAGACTTTTTATTCCTACGCTTCTCTCTCCTCTTCACTGAGACGATCTTTACGAGGTTCACTAGCTCTTTCTATCTCCTCCACTCTCACCGTTCAACAACCGATGGCCACCACCGTCGCAGGAGCGAGACTCATCTCCTTGAAAGCCACCGGGAAGCTCGGTTACCGTGAGATCTCTCACCTCCGCCAATGGGCTCCGGTTCAGTCTGCGATGATGCCTCATTTCGGAATGCTGCGATGTGGATCGCGACAGATATTTTCAACCTCTGGTTTTTCAATTTCTCTTCTCTTCTCCTTTCCTTTAGATTTTGCTTTGTATCTCCATTTGTCAATAGATTCTGTCATCTTTATGGGACTCGCAGTTGTGAAAGCTCAAGCGAACGCTGTTGAGCAATCAACAGGAGAAGCTGTTCCAAAAGTGGAATCTCCAGTGGTCGTTGTGACTGGTGCCTCTAGAGGGATTGGAAAAGCAATTGCTCTTTCCTTGGGGAAAGCAGGATGTAAGGTTAGTGTACGAACACTATCTGCATATTTGGGTTTTTTTGGATGGCTTTGTTCTAGTGTCATAGTTGTTAGATTTGATCTGTATACTCTTCAAGCTTTCAATCTGCAATATCACTAGTCTTAAAAAGCTTTTGAGTTATGAAGATTTTAGCTTTGCATTGCTTAACAGTTTCTTTTGGCATTATGGTGTTGGAGACATCTATAGATTTCTCTTCGTAGTTGGTACTTGTTATCTGTCTAGTTAGGCTTGGGTTTTAGTGCTTTAGTTTTACAGAAAGAAGAGGAATTGAGGCACGGTCTTAATGCTGATTCGGGAGCTAACATTGTGTTTCTGCTGCAGGTCTTGGTGAATTATGCTAGGTCAGCAAAGGAGGCTGAAGAAGTTTCTCAACAGGTGATTGATCCTCTGAATTAGATTGCGATTTTCAACTCCCTATCACTCTGATTTTTGCAGCTATTTCCTTTTTTTCTGTTTTGGGATATGGCTTTTGACCAATAAATCATAGGTATTAAGTATGTAGGATTGTTGTTATTGGTATGAAAAGAAATGTGGAACCTTTCGAGTTTAACATTGATGCAGTTTTGGATTTGTCAAAAAAAAACATTGATACAATTCTGGTCTCTGGGACAAGAAATGAATTATTGTTGAATTTCCTTGCCCTGGAAAATGTTTCATTATCCGGTTTCTTGTTGCCATCTGCTTTCTCAGATGCGTTTTTAATTTCCCTTTCGATCCACACTGCCAAATGAAATTGAATACCCCATCTTTTGGTCAATAGTGTTTTCTTTTACCATGTCGTGTTTGTTCCATGTTTCTCTGACATTTTATGCTCTATGGAACTGTAGATTGAAGAATATGGTGGCCAGGCAATCACTTTTGGGGGCGATGTCTCGAAAGAGGCTGATGTGGAAGCGATGATGAAAACCGTAAGTGATCAAATTGTACACTATCTTACACTTCTCCGACATCTTATCATTTTCCTTGTGCAATGTCTTTCTGCAGGCTGTTGATAAATGGGGTACCATTGATATCGTGGTTAACAATGCAGGTATGTATATGAAAACCGTGGTTCCCATTAGTTATTACTTATACCTTACTGACATGGCTACATAATTTTCAGGAATTACTCGGGATACCTTGTTGATTCGAATGAAGAAATCCCAATGGGATGAAGTCATTAGTTTGAATCTCACTGGAGTATATCTCTGTACCCAGGTTTGTGTTCCTGCGACCCTGCTGAAATTTTGATACACAGAATCTCAGGGACTGAAACTCATTTGCTCTCTGTAGGCAGCAACAAAGATCATGATGAAGAAGAGAAAGGTATTGTACTTCTCTTCGCCTTCTACATTTTCTTGCAAACCATGTGTTATCACTCGTCATACATACTCCATGTCACACGTGATATATAAACTACCAAGTCGATTTTCGTTTGAGCTCCTCTATAAGATTAAGAAGTGAAACAAAGACGAGAATAATTTATGTTATAGTTTGCATACGATTTTGCAGGGAAGAATCATCAATATAGCGTCAGTTGTTGGTCTCATTGGTAATATTGGCCAAGCAAACTACGCTGCTGCTAAAGCTGGAGTTATTGGGCTCTCCAAGACTGCTGCCAAAGAGAATGCAAGCAGGAATATAAATGTAAGTGACCTACCTTTTCATCATGATCCTATTTTTTCGTTCCTTAGACAGGATTATAAACTTGGTCTGTCGACAATTTGCTCTATTCCAGGTCAATGTGGTTTGCCCTGGATTCATTGCATCTGACATGACTGCCAAGCTTGGAGAAGACATGGAAAAGAAAATCTTGGGAACAATCCCATTAGGTAATGGAGAGTTCAATTTTTTACATTTGTTGCGGGTGGTTCACAAAGGCTAGGATGTATCTGAGACATCGAACTATTGTTAGATCAAAATATTCTGATACAAAGCAAACCGGTTTGATTTTCAGGACGGTATGGACAACCAGAAGATGTGGCTGGCTTGGTAGAATTCTTGGCTCTCAGTCCGGCAGCCAGTTACATCACCGGACAGGTTAACTCATACTCATATCATATGAAGATTTGGTTATTAGCCTTGGTTTCTGATTATGTTATCTGCCTAACCACTGTTAAATTCATTTGGTTTGCAGACATTCACCATCGATGGAGGTATTGCCATCTAGGTATTTGGTAAGATCGGCTTTTGTTTAGGCAAAACAATTTGGTAAACAGACAAATTTGAGTTATTTCTGGCACTTGGTCGGAATTTCTATTTTGCGGATTCTGTTTCGAGAGATCTAAAACTCATTTGCTTAAACTACGTAACATAATATGAATCAAAGAGCTTTGTAGCTGATATTGTTGTTTAATTAGATAGAACTATAGAAATGATGGAAGCACGTTTTGCTCGTGGTGTGCCATCTGAAAGTAAACTCCATGAATCTTCATATTAGTTGCAAGCAACATAAACTTATAATTTCCTTTTACCAGTCTTACGGTGGAATAAATTCAATGGAAATTTAGTAACTAGATATTGGTTTACTTAACATTTGAAAATATAATCTTTGTTTTATAAAGCTAGTTAATCCAACTAAGTCACGGATCAAGTAACTTCGTTGAATGGTTGTAAAGATTTTGTTTGAGGAAGACTAAACGTAAACGTACGCTATGACCATTGTAAGTTTGTAACATTGCATCTTAGACTAGATGCTCTAGTCAGCAAACGCATAGAGTTTCGAAACAACAAAAGAACCGGAACATGGAGTTTAAATATAAAAGCAGAAAAACTACAGAAATTACGAGTCTGAAGTCTTTAACTATACTACAAGCTTAAAAGGTAATAAAGTGGACAGTCATAGAAAATCAGACAGCCGGGGTGATTTATTTTCTTAACCTATTTTTTGCTTAGATTGTGGTACAAGAAGAAACCTAAGAAAAGAACTTGTAGGTCGAGGCATTGACAATGATGGTTCTGAGGCCACCAATGGGGGCTAGGATCGTCAAAAGAACTCCTACTATAATGCAGAACTGCAGTTTTCATATTCCACACAACACCAAACCAAAAAAGAAGGAAAAAATTTATTAGTGTACAAATAAAACAAGAGCTAGAGATCATTAGTAAAAAGGAACATACCCAGTTGATTGTCCAAGATAGACCAAACTTCTTTGGTTTCTTGAGAATGAGCCAAATAATGCATGGAAGCTGCAACGGCAAAATTAATTAGTATATTATAACTTCAATCTATAGAAAAAGCAAATGAATGATTAGTTTGTATATATATACGTAGTAAGTTGTTGGGGCGAAGGCGAATCCTCCAAAGAAGCCGAGTAGTCCACCAAAAAACGGGACACATATTGCAACGAACATGGTGAAAGCTGCACATATACAGTCCAATGTGAGGAAAAAAACAGACAAAATGGATATAGAGTAGCTCGAACGTAGTTAAAAATAATGTATGAAATGAGAGGAGTGACTTACCGACATAAAGGCTGCGAGCAATGAACCTGAGTTTGAAAGAAGGATCAAACTTCATCTTCTTGACCAAAAAGGTTTCCATCATGTCAAATACCGGCATTGCAAAGATCTACATCCACAAGTACGTAGTCCAAAGAGAATGTCAAGAATATTTCATGGGATGTTCTCTTAAAGATTCAATCAGTGATAAAAAGAAGTAGAATATTGTGGAGGACCTGATAGCTTCCAATGACGTGGACGACCACAAACAAGTTAGCCATGGCGATAAGCCAGACGGGCTTCTCCAAAGTGATGAGAATGTTGTCGTCAACGCTGTTTCCAAAGATCCAGTAGCCAAGAAACGCTACAGGGAAGTAGCAAATAGCGACTACGATGTATGCCACAACAACTCCTCTCCACATGGGAATCTTGGACGGCATCTCCGGAGTCGAAGGGATCGTGGCCTGAATCTCCAACACAACGTTGTGACCTGCGTAGGCAAAAGCCACATCTCCCATCGCATTCAAGAAGTTGAATACATTTCCAGGAGTGGTCGAGGCTCTAGACGAGTATTCCACATCTCGATGAACACCTTTGTGCACCGATGCAGCCCAAGCGATAGTTGAGTAACTGTAAATCCATTATCCATCACAAAACCATGCATAAATATATACATCATCAAACCAATCACAAAAGACATGTGTGTGTGTGTGTGTGTTTACTTACGTTAAGGACATAACAGCAGCGGCTAGAGAGATGATGGAGATGGAGTTGAAATTGGGGAGGTGAGAGAGAACGAAGTGGATGGAAGCAAAGATCATGATCCAATAAGTAGTTCTGATATCTTTGCAATCGGAGCAGAGAAGTTGATGGACTTTCTGGAGGGATTTGCCACCGGTGACCATATAAACAATGTCGACGCCAACCTCCACGATGAGCTGTTGAGGGACGATGATCCAAAGGCCGAGCTTCTCGCCAAAAGCGTGTTGGCCTAGCTCGTGATATCTATCAAGCCTCTTCCCTGGTACTATCTCGTGCATCTCCACCATTTGCCACAGTGTGTACAATGTTATCACCCATGACATTACCATCAACGTCACTCCTGGTCCCCTATATAATCATCAACAACCCGTTTATAAATTTATTTTATTAAAGTAGTGTTCTAACCAAAAAAAAATATATATATAAATTCTGTATCAAGAAGCCTTAATCATGGATTATAAAACAGAACTAGAGAAAATCCAAAAATATTTTCAAGGATACTAATAGTGTTTTCAGCTTTGAAAAGTTTGTTAAACGAAACCTTTTGCTAAATACAAGTTTCTAAGTTTTTTTTCAATATAAGTTTTGAAGTTTCATAAGAAAAAGAAAAGAAGCAATGGATCTAATGAAAGGTACGTACCATCCGAGATTGGACATGGCGTAGGGCAAGCTGAGAACACCAGCACCAACCATGGCGGTGACATTGTGAAAAGCAGAGTACCACCACTTGGCGTTTCTTGAAGATGTGATCGGTAACCAATCGTCGACGTTCTTCTGCTTCGCCGCCGCAATCTCACTAGCTGACCTCTCATTCTGCTCCATATCGTTCTTGATGGATACTGTTTTTTTTTTTAAGAGAATGAAAGAGAGAGAGAGAGAGATCAGGAAAGACAATTAAAAAAAAAAAGGATTTAGGAGAATGAAGATGAAGGTTGGTTAATATTTAAGAGTAGATCGAGATTCGAGAATCTCTCATTTTACGATTTTATCTGCGTGATTATTCAACGATATTCGTTTAATTATTTTAATTTATATTGTAATAAATAGATCTGAGATTCAAGTTAGTTAGTTGGTTATATATACACACTTTTATTTGGTCTTTCCCCGTTGTATAAGGCAACAACAGCTGAGAAACCGTTCATGCTTAACTCGCGTTTTTACGTATTTAATGACCACTATACCCCCATTCATTTTTCTCTATAGCATGACCTTTCTGTAATTTCCTATTTTCTTTTTCGAAGCTGCATAATTTTTTCTCTTTTTGTTTTTTTCGATTCGATACAGCTGAAATTTTCTTTTTCAGATCACCTGATCTAACGAGGCTTTCGCTTTTGTAAAGAGAATAGCATTTACTCATCAATATATTTTTTTCTATTTTTTGTATTTTATAATCAATATTGGATCAACTTATATCTTTGTGTCGGCTTGGATAATATATTTGATATGAATAATATCTTTATAGCAAAGTATTTCTGGATAATATTGGTGTGGTTTTAATTAAAAGAATTTAAAAAAAAATCAGGGAGGAGTAGACGAGTAGTAGTATTTTTTTTTTCTTTTATTGGACGAAAGGATGAGTAAGTTATATGAGAGAATCAAACCGTTACATGTTAGTCGTTATAATCCCAAGAACAGATACCCAAAATCTTACGTCTGACTGGGATAAAATTATGTGTTGGCGGATCCTATCTTTTTATGTCTCTTTCTATTGTTTCCATCTTCTACAATATTACAATGTCTTTGAACTAAGATTCCATCAAATTTGCAGGTACAAAGAATCACTCACTTGCAACCCGTGATAATATACATTTCTGTTTATTTTTGGGAGATAATTATACATTTTTTGTTTACAAACATAGTCTTCTCTTTTAATCTCACTGACCAAATTTTCTTCTAGCGCAATTAGTGGACCAAACCCTTTTTCTCTTTTTTTTTTTTGTTTTATTAGAGAATAAAATTCTTTGACAAAAAAATGATTAGAGAATCATATCGTTCTCATATTGAGATCATTTATTTCCTTTTCATGAATAAATTGTTATCTCTGGCAAAAAGTGATTAGAATTTTATCTTCTTCTTAAAATGTAGACCCACGAAAGAATAAGTTCTTTCGTTTCTTTCTGTGTCAATTCAACAAAGTTTTATTAGTGTATAATGGCCTAAATTTAATTTGTGATTACTGTTCATACGTGTATATTAATATATATGTATCTTGAATACTAACCAATTAAGGTTTTTCGTGTAAGGGTTATCTTTGTGATGTTCTTAGACAATGTGATTCTTTGTCCAACCAAAAAGTTTACCCTTTGTAAGTTTCTTGTTACGACGTTTCATGTCGAATGAATGTTAGTTAAAGGCGAATGACTGATGATTCTTTGTCCAACCAAAGGGACAACTAAAAAGAGAGAGAGAGCCAAAAATAAGCAACCAAGAAACTTATATAGACATTGTGTCAAGTCAAACCAATAATGTCTAAAATAAGTAAAACAAGATCTTTCTTTCACCCCATATTTGTTTCTACACCTTTTCATTCAACAAAAATCTTAAAGAGAGACGAAGATGGATTCAGGACTATCTTGGGCTGATCAATGGGATTACAACTCTGATCCTCCTCCAAATTCAAATAAAGAAGACGATAAGAAGAAGAAGAAAAAGAAGGAAGACGGAAGCAAAAGCAGTTTTGGGAAGGCCATACTTGGCTTGAAATGGGTCAAGGAACTTCGCAAGAAATCTGATAAGTAATCAATAGGTTGTATTGTTTTAGTTACACAAGGCTTTGTTGATTCATACGTTCCCTTGTGATTAATCCATTAATCTATGTCTCTCTTTTTTAACCATTCTTCTGATTCTAATCTCCAAACCTTCAAAAATTAGAAAGTTTGTTGCATGGTTGCGGTCTGGCAAAAAATTGTGTTGAACCATCGATTTGGTTCTTTATCAAACATATGTCTATAGCTACACAAACAATTCAAAATGCAAAAAAAATTCAAACTGTTGCACATCAGCGAAAAATGTTTTTTTCCTAGTATAATCACAAAATTAAATTAATTTATATGAAGAGCGAGAAACAAAAAAGAGTGAATACGAATTCACATAGAACATGAAAACGATGTCTTAAAAGAGGACATGTTCCGTTATTGAATTAGTTATATGCAGGATCCTGACCATATGGATTATATAGTCATTGGGTTAATTATTATTTTTCTTATGGTCATTCCTCCTAATTTCTTTAAATTATTCGCAAAAAGTGCTGCCCCCACAAATATTTAATATGAACATCTAATAATAATAATAACTAGATGTTTAGCCCGCACCTTATGCGGGCGGAAATGTTTCATTAAAAATACTTACTCAAAATTGCTAATTTACTTGAAAAACTTACTCAAAATCGCGTTGGGTGGACGGAAACATCATATTTTCTTTCAATTTCTTTTTGTCTTGTTCTTTCGATTTTTTTCTTCCTATTATTCTTTATATAATCTATATTTTCTAATTTCTTATTGTTTTACATAAAATATTAAATAAACAGACTTCTTCTTTGTGTTTTTCTTCTTTTTTTTAGTTTTATTCCTTCTTCGTATTTTCTTCTACTATTTAATTTTGGAAGTTTGGAAGTTTTCAGATGTATATTTTCACATCATTTATAGGCTTGATTATCTTTATATAAACGATCAATTTCAAAAAATCTTGCGAAGTGAAGCACAAAGATAACATAGACACATATTATCCAAGTATTCTAATATGAACTCTCCTCTTACAACGAAGTTGAAATATAGTTTGGAAGCTGAAACTAAGTCACTCTTAAAGTTGTTATTCTTTATTGCCTAAAAAGTAATTCTAAAATTATATATAAATCCAAACAACTAAAACATGTTTTAATTTTTAATCATAAAAATTAGAACTGTATTCACTTCTTATATTTTGTAGAAAGAATAATCTTCACATAATGAATTATTTATTATTTGAGACCTATATTCTTCTAATTATTTTTAAAAAAAATATTAGATTCTTAAACAATTATAAATGAGATGACTCTCTCATAGGAGTTACTCTCTTTCCCTTTGATCGTTATGTAAGGTACCTACTGGTATTATCTTGACTATTTCTTGGTTTTTAAATCTTTACCAATGTACTATGTTATTGAGATTTACATAATGAGATTATTTTTTCTATAAGGCATTGAAAGAAGTAAAGATCTTTTAATTAGCGGGAGTTATGTTATAGGTTTTTTTTAGGGGGAAAAAAATCTATTCTTTATTTATCTTAACCAATAGCTTCTCAATACTATAAACTTACAATTTTTCACATGTCCCACCGAATTGTAAACCGAATACTTTATATGATCCTTAATTTGGAAAACACCACTTGCAATGAACCATATGGTTTTTTGCACCAATAATATAAATCTGAAGCTGAAAGATCTCTCACTTACCACTTGGATCTTTCTTAGGCCCTTGTCAACCTTTGTCATTTGAAAGAAGATCTAGAGTCTGTTGTTGATTTGTGCTCTCATTGTGTTCCACATCAGCAAGACCATTCTCCAAAGCTTTCACGTGTTTTTCGAAGTAGGTTTGGTTACTTTAGTCAGACGAAATCATTGAAACTTTTGGATGGTTCATTAGTTCCGGAGAAAAACTGTTCCAACTACATCTCTGCACAATGATAAAGCCTCTTTCAAATACTCGAAAAAATTGTGTCTTTGCATGTTCATTATGAGCAAGGTAGTATCCATATGCAAATGTCCAATTCAAGACCCTCCTACATTCCATTATCCAATCGTAAAATCAACCACATATCCGTTTAAGAAAAATGTTGTAACAAAAGTCTCACTGAAAGTGTCATTACTAATATTCCTAAATTATCATGATTGCAAGATTTTACCAATAACAGTCTTTAGTGAAATCACACTTTCTGTTCAACGATTCCACAAGATTTAACATGAAAAATATAATTTTAAAACCCTGATTGGTCTAGTTTGTTTAAATTTAATCAATAATTTTCCATTTATATTCCATTATGCATCATCCTGGTTCACCTTGAAATAACCATGTATTTCACACGGCCAAGAAAGTCTGGTTGGGGCAAGAGTCCCGGGCTCATCGAAATCTTTATTCCAACGATTTCTTCAGTCTTTACTATAATTAGAGTGAAGAAGCAGAGCGATCAATTCGACTTGGCTTAGAGAACAGTAGAAACTCGTTCAATATGGTCTCTTTTATGCTTGTGAATTTTTTTTTTGTTTTGCTACGATTTTATGCTTGTGAATATATTCTTCACTATAACTAGACATCACAATAAACAACGCTAAACCAGTATGATTAGCATCACTTTGATTCCTCAAAATTTAACTGAGATGAATACACCTTAAACATGAAATCCAAACAGAATCTCAAGTCCGAAGCAAAATTATTTTTGGATAAACCAGACACATTCCAAAAACAGAAACAAAGTTGAGATGGAGGAGCATAAACAGTATGGGATCCGATCGGTCATAGACTTATAGAGCAATAGACTTATAGAGCAATATCGATGGAAATTAATCACAAAGCTTAAATACTCAATCGTCCTCATTCATCATGAACACAAACCCAAAGCTTTTAAACAAAAAAACCTTAATTCAAAAATTTTAATAAAGCAATACAACTCAAACGTCAAAACACAGAAACCACCGGTTGAAGAAGAAGCTCTGACTAATCGGAGATTAGGGCTAAAGTGAGAGCCTTGGGGCTTTCATATACAAAACCATACAATTTTATAGCATTAAAAGATCCAATATTAACTTCATGGTAACAAAATTTGGTATAGTTAATTATAAATAAAACTTAATTTTAACCAATTAAAGGATATTAATGACCTTTTAAAAAGGGACAAAAAAAATAATTAACCACGCTGAGATTGAATGAGAGGTCTTTAAAGCTAAGATTCACTTCGCTTTTAATATATACGATGATGATTAGTTACCTAAATTGAATAAGAGAACTTATAGCGAAAAATTTACTTCGCATATAGTATATATGATATGATTTTAATGTTTTTTTTATTAAATTCCAATTTTTAATAAATTTTTAAAATTTAAATGTTTTTTGATTAAATTCTGATTTATATAATTTTTTATTAATTTACGATTTTTAATATTTTTAAAAATTTAAATATTTTTTCATTAAATTCCGATTTTAATAATTTTTTATTAATTTACGATTTTTAAATGTGATATGATTTTAATGTTTTTTTAAAATTCCAATTTTTAATATTTTTTTAAAATTAAAATGTTTTTTGATTAAATTCCGATTTATATAATTTTTTTTATTAATTTACGATTTTTGATATTTTTTAAAAATTTAAATATTTTTTTATTAAATTCCGATTTTAATATTTTTTTATTAATTTACGATTTTTAATAATAAATTTTATTAATTTTCGATTTTCAATAATTTTTTATTAAATTTTATTTTAGAAAAATATAAGAAGGGGTAAAAGGTAATTAACCACTCCGAAATTGAATGAGAGAGCTTTAACTCAAAATTTTACTTTGCTTATAATATATATGATGATGATATAGTTGGTCTTTTGTGATTTAGGAATCTTTAGCTAATCTCACCAAGAATCTTCATTTATATAAATTTTTTACATATTTAAACTAAAATCTGAATTAAACAAACTAATATTCACACATTAAACTATTTTGCATGTTGATTTATATACAAACTCATTTAACATATATTTAAGTATTTGAATTTATAATATTTTGGAAGGCTATTTTCACATACTTAGTTTAGTAAAATTAAACAAATGATGAAAATCTCATGCCCAATTGTTGCACAATCATTTTGTTTTGTTTCTAGTTTTTTTTTTAAAACTTATTATTGTCTCTGCTTAGGATTTTTATTAATTTACTACACAATTCCTCTATCCCAAGTGATCTTGATTATTCCTTCATCAGTCTTGAGATAATCTTTTGTAGCTTTAGCAGCTTCTTTTGCTGCTTCAAAGCTTGACAACAAAAGCAGCTTTGGATCATGTTGGTTCTGTTTCTCTGTTTTTTTACTTATAGTACTTTATGAGCAAGAAAAGAGAAGAAGACAAGAAAAGGAAGAGATGTTGTACGTACAATTGACAGAGAGATGGAACTCTCGATTTTCTTGTGGTTTTTTGTAAACTAGAGTCAATTGTGAAGCCAATTAACAGGCCTTTGTTGACCCATTTCACAGAATAAAATTTTCTACTAATACTCATAAGATTTTGGCAAAATATTGAGTAGAACATTGTGAGATTTAGAAATATGATTTTTTCTACCAGATACACGTTAGTAGAGAATATATATTGAGAGTTTTTGAAATAATGAAAGACATGTGTTTCCTAATTTTATCTAGAGTTTTACTAATTTTTGATCTCAATGAGATTATTCATTGCAATCTTTTTTTTTTCACAAGCGAAGCAGAATAATATGAGTAAGACTAATGAAGTCTTGTTACAAGAAATTACTAAGTTGCGAGCAGAGGTACCACACATACTCTGAAATTTCCTTCAATCAAACTTGTTTCATTATGATATAGTATATACTCACAACAAGGCGTATACATCACTTGTGTGGATCTAATAACAAATTATGGATTTGGTTTTCCAATATTAGGTCGATAGGTTGAGTCAAATATGTCAACTCCAACGAATAGAGCTTCTTAAATCAGCTAAGAAAGCAATCAGCCAAGAAAACTCATGAAGTTGTAAAATTAGAGGCAGAAAAATCGGCTAATTCGTTTGCCGCCGAGGAGGCCATAACGTCCTTAATATCTCATGTAAATATCTAAATCGAACCTAAATTTGTAAGCAAAGTAGCTATGAAAACTTGCCAAACTAACTTTTGCATCCTTTTGCTTTATGTCAAACACAGCTCAAGGATGTCTTCCGGTACCAAGACAAATGTGATTTTTCGTTGGTTTAATGTGCCGGTTGTCAACAACTCTACATGACGTGCGAATATTGTCCATATTGGCCATAAGCCATAGTTATATGCAGGATCATGACCATATGAATTACATGGTCATTGGGTTAATTATTGTTTTTCTTTTGGTGACTCCTCCTAATTTCTCAAAATTATTGGCAAAAACTGTTGCCCTCATGAATATTTAATATGAAACATCTAATCTTATATATAAAACTTGTTCAACTCTCTCCAGCTGAGTCACACATCAGCATTGGAGAGAGTGATACATGTCCATTTACAATATTAATAATAAAAAACTAATTAAATTTAAAGTAAATACATTAAAGAAAAAAAATAAATACTTATATGTATTTATATTAGAATGATATTTAAATTTAATTTAAATATATTAAAATTTAATTTAAATATATTAAAATTTATAAATATTATATAATACAAATTTTTTAAATGCATTCTATCTTTTTTTTTCAAGTGTTTTAAATTTTAATTTCAAACTAAAAATATAATTAAATTTTATTGTAAGTGAAAACAAATTATGAAACAGAATAAGTTAAAAAGTTTCAAATAATTTTATATAAAACTCCAACTAATAAAATGATAAAACACAAAAAAATATTTAATAAACAATTAAAAAGATAAAAATTATTAAAAAATAATAATAAAAAGGTGTCCACATGAAAATGTCATACAATTTTTTAAAAATCAAAAAAAATGGAATCAATAAAATATATATAACCAAAAATTTTTTAAATGGTAAATTAAAAAATTTAATAAGTATTATATTAGTAAGATTTACAAGAATAATAAGAATATGAAGATCGAAAAAAAATTAAATATTTCTCTATGATATTCAACGTATATTTTTAAGTGAACTATTACGTTTTCATACAAAAATTAAAAAAACTATATTTTTAGTCTCTTATTATTTTAAGAGAAAAAAATTAGACTATTTGACATAAGTGGTGTAGAAGAGGTTACAAATAATATATCATCAAGAAAAAATTGAATATAAATATTTTAATGCAAAAACATTGATAGTAAACATAAAATTCAATACAAATTCTAAAAATATATTATTTAAAATATAAATTAAAATAAGATCCGCGCATACGCGCGGGGTCTGTCCTAGTAATATTAATAATAATAATAGTATGGTTGGTCTTTTGTGATCTAGGAATCTTTAGCTAATCTCACCAAGAATCTTCTTTAAAGTGAATTTAAGAGCCTTCATAAGTTGAGAAATTTGTGTGTATCTAATAATGGAGATCAAAGTTGAGATCTTATCAAGAGAAGTAATTAAACCATCTTATCCCACTCCAAATGATATGAGAATCCTCAATCTCTCTCTTCTTGACATCCTCAGTTCGCCCCTGTACACAGGGGCACTTCTCTTTTACGCAGCGGATCTTCAGAATCTTATCCGTTCTTCATCAGAGGAAACATCCTTGAAGCTGAAGAAATCTCTGTCTACAACATTACCAATCTTCTACCCTCTTGCCGGAAGAATCATGGGAAGTTTCATAGAATGTAATGATGAAGGAGCTGTGTTTATAGAAGCTCGAGTGGACCATCTTCTCTCGGAGTTTCTCAAGTGCTCTGTTCCTGATTCATTGAAACCACTTGTTCCTTTTGAAGCTAAGTCCAGAGAAGCAGTGATATGGCCTGTGTTGCTAATCCAGGCCAATTTCTTCAGCTGTGGAGGATTGGTTATCACAATCTGCATTTCTCATAAGATCACTGATGCAACATCTTTGGCAATGTTCATCAGAGGATGGGCTGAGTCCTCAAGAGGTTTGGGGATTACTTTGATTCCTAGTTTCACCGCTTCGGATTTTTTTCCTATACCTCCTCCTGATGAGTTTCCCTTAAAACCGATTGAACATAAAGTCCAGGTTGAAGAGATGATGAATTGCGTAACAAAGAGGTTTGTGTTGGATGCATCAAAGATGAAGAAACTCAGAGCCAAAGCTTCAAGCAATCTTGTCAAGAATCCAACCAGTGTTGAAGCCGTTACAGCTCTTTTGTGGAGATGTGCTACTAAGGCTTCTAGAGTGAGTTCTCGAGAACCAAGAACTTCTGTGCTGCAGATACTGGTGAGCTTACGAGGAAAGGTAGATACTTTGTCCGAGAACACAATTGGTAACATGCTTTCCATAATGATTCTAAAGAACGAAGAAGCTAAGATAGAAGGAATCCAACATGTTGTTGATGAGTTTAGGCGGGCAAAGGAAAACTTTGGCTTGAGCTGCAAGGAAATGTCGAAACCCTCATCTAGAATTCTTGAAGTTTGGGAAGAGATTCGGAAAGTATATGGAATGGGTAATGAGGTGGACTTGTGGATGAGTAATAGCTGGTGTAAGCTCGACTTGTACGAGGCTGATTTCGGATGGGGAAATCCGGTTTGGGTAACCGGAAGAGGAACTTCCAATATCAACAACTTGATGTTGTTGATTGATGCCAAAGATGGAGTCGGAATCGAAGCATGGGTCACTCTTACCAAAGAACACATGTCGCTGTTCGAATGTGATGATGAGCTTCTTGAATCAGCTTCTCTCAATCCCCCTGTTTTGATCTAGACAAGCACAAAACTCATTGTCCCAAAACATTTTCTTTCAAAAACTCAAACTATATAGTAGTTACACTGATGTAAAAACGTTTTTTTATCTTCAATAAACTCAAATTATGTTTTCAGAGCTTCTTACAAAAAAAAAAAAAAAAAAAAAAACACTTAATGTTGGGATATCAATTTTTTAGCTCACATCGGAATAGAAAACAAAAATTATTTGCTAAATATATTACTCCTTTTATTTCAAAATATAAGGTGTCTTAGATATTATTTTATGCTCAAATATGTTTCCATGCAACTATAAATTTATTAAAAGAGAGGCACAAGTAGACAAAGTCAAAATAAAAAAAAACAAACTCAAACTCACTGGAAATTAAACAACTTATTGATTACATGTTTCTCGAGATGCAGAGACATTCACACTTGGGTTTGAAGAGACATAACGAAGCAATTCCCCATCGGATTCAAGCATAGACATATCGTTCTGGTCAAGGTTGATCCAAGCTTCTATGCCACCACCTTCCTTAGTATCGATGAAAACAACCTGATTTTTGCGGTTCCTTCTAGTAGAGCCAAGCCACAAAGGCTTTCCCCATCCGAAATCTGCCTCATACACTGGAAAGTTGCAGAGGCTCGTGAAGCTCAAAGGCACAATCTCTCCTTTGACGAAACCTGAAACTTGTCTGTTTTGAAACTCAAGGTGTGCTCTGCTATCTTCTTGAATTTTCTTCACGTGCTTTGCGTCAATCTTTCTGATATCCTCTCTAATCTGCTCCACAAGAGAAGGCTTTGATTCGTCGTCATCTTCATTGATTATCATCTTAGGTACAGTAACTGAGAAACTCCGTATGTTCCCAAACATGTGATCTGGTATGAACGGATCTGCTTTTCTACGCAAGTTCACCGTATGTTTCAATGTATATATCTTTTCGGTTTTACCATCTCGGTTTATTGTAGCCACGAAACGGCTCCATAGGAATGCAGATAGGGCCTCAACACGTGTGGCGCGAAACTTCTTGTTTCCACTGAATCTGGCTCTTAAAGATTCAACAGAGGATTTCGAGAACACGAAGCGTCTGGTGACCATGTTCTCGTTCGTGATACTTGTAGCCATGTTTAACTCTTCCGTGCCGCGTGGAGGAAACATCTTGGCCATATCAAAAGAAGGAGTGACGATTTCATCAGTGTGTCCGCGAGCAAAAGCTGCCCAACTTCTGATGAAAATGAGACCGGACATGGCATCGCAGAGTTTATGGCAGAGGCCTATACCGAGAGCTAAGCCGCCGCATTCAAAGAAAGTGAGCTGAATCTTGAGAGGCACGTCACCCACTTCGTCAAACTTGAAAGGGAGGAACATGTCGAGTTCATAGGGATTAGGGTTTTCTAGAATCTGTGACATGTTGCAACCGGCTTTGGCTTCAACGAAAGACACACCCACATCGTTGCACAGAACAACGTTACCCGAGTTCTTGATTCGTCCTGCCAAGGGGTAAAAGAGATTCAATATTTTAGACAAAGAACTCTTGATGTGATCAGCTCGTTCTCTGTCTGAGAGATTCCGCTTGTTGTGGTAAAAGAAAAGGAAAGGCATGAAAAAGGAAGGAGCAATTTGATCAAGGAAAGAGAGATAGTGGTAAGGAAGATGATTAATGCTAAGAGAAGAAGGCTTGATGAGTTCCTGAGAAGTCACCGTGATCTCAAGCTCCATTTTTGTTTTGATGCCTTATGAGAAGACTCATGATGGTTATATATGCAAAATTTGAGATGGTCCTGCATAATAACACTTCATAGTGGTTAGACATAATAACACTTCATAGTGGTTAGACACGGATAACAAGTAGACATAAGCGGACAAGAAATTTACACAACATAAATTAGCTGCATTGTTCTGTTTAACATTAACAAAGACTCATCCAAAAAAAAAAAAAAAACATTATCAAAGACTTAAAGTCAGTGGGGGAGGTTGGGTTGCCCGGCCCCGTTAATTATTAATTTCGATGATGCGTCCAGATTCAACTTCTAGCTGCAACATGCATTAAAGTTTGTATTCGTGTTTTTAACAAGTTTTTTTTCCATTTGGAATCTGTATACTGGTGCAGAGTTTTATGAATTTGTAAAATCAAATTTATGCAAATTATATTAAACTTTACTAAAAAAGATCATGTCTTCAGTTAAAACTAACACCTGGATTCTTTTTTTTTAACCCGATTGACACGAGGATGTAGATTTTTGATAGTGCCGTTAATGCGGGCTGTAAATAACCTCTATCCGTACTCTTTTTGCCGTCGATGGGATGCCTTAAAAACGTTTATTTAACTCACAAATATATTTTGACACAACATTTTAGTTTGCTATTAGCTAGAACTTAGAACTATCATGCAGTTTGTTTAGCAAAAAAAAGAACTACCATGCGGTGAAAAAGTTCCAGTGGATATCAGCGAGCATGGTGGATATAGGCGGGGCCAAGAGTGCTTTTCACAAGACCCATAATTTTTCTAACACATTGTTTCATATTTTCGAAAAAAACAAAATTTCGCTAAGAAAATTATGGCCAACATGATATAAGAGCACATGCATGGCCCCTGATAAACAGTTGCTAGTTTCACTAATTTTTCTCTATTACCATTTTGTTTCTTTACTTTTAGCCTTTTAGGATCTAGAATATTGCAAGTACGTTTAGTTTCTTTTTTGTAATTTTTGTTTGCATTGCGAGTAACGTCTGACGTGTGGAATGTGAAACTCAATTGTACTCTTTCTTTCAAGATTAGAGATTTGATAATTACAATTAAATCCTTAACATACATTTAGATGCCTCTTCAATATGGAGGAACTTTAGTAATTTCAATCTTGTTTTTTTTTGGAAAACGACGTATTTCCCACGGCAACTTTCGTATATATAGTTGTAAATCCCCGCAAAGTTTCAAATTCGTCGTATATCCCTATTTTTGAACTTTTATCAACCCGTTTTCCTATATACCATGATTTTGACGGTTTGCAAAGCAAACCTGATGGGAAATCACTTAAACCAACTAAACCAACTTAACCATAGACCGAACCTCATTTAAAACCCGACCCATCTGATTCTTTTCGGGGACCCGACCCGACGCGATGAAGCTGTTAAATTCCCAAATCGTGTATGAACCCTAGAATTTCGATTTGGTCAATTCGTGGGGACTTCAAAAGCGATTGAAATTCTGGGTTTAGGGTAGGTTTTGTTGTCTTATTTCGATCATTGGATGCTTAATTTCATAGTTTATCAGCTTTAGAACTTCATTTTGCTAAAATATCGATGTGTGTTGGTTGATGAAGGTTACAAAAAGAGGAAGGAAGATATAAGACAAACCCAGAAAAAACGAGCAGCTGGTGAAACCCAGAAATAAAAATCGCAATCACTAAACCCAGAAATCAGATTTGCCCTCTCTAAACCCAGAAATCGAAATCAAAATCGCAATCCAGCTCGAAATATCCAAAGAAATCAAAAACGCAAACCCTAAAACCATAAATCAAAATCTTAAATGAAATAGAAATAACAACATACCTTTCGCTAAATGAAGTTATGTGGGTTCGATTTGGGGATTTTCTTCGCGATTTCAATTTGGGGATTTTTTAAGAGAGTTAAGGTTTTTCGCGATTTAGGGATTGAGTGGTCAATTTGGGGATTTTTAAGTCGGGTCAAAATTGAGTCGGGTTTGATTTGGGGTTTTTTTGTCGGGTTAAAATTGAGTCAGGTTTGATGTGGGGAGGGTTTTTTTTTAACTCGGGTCAAATGTTTTTAAATCGGGTCAAATCATGGTTAACAAGCTTAATCGGGTCAAATTTGGTTTAGTTGGGTTTTTAAATGGTTAACTTTTGATTGGTAAACAGTAAATCCTATTTAATTATGGTTTACCTGGTTTGTGGGTAAATATGATCCGAAATACATAATAATGGGGAAACGGGTTGACAAAAATTCAAAAATGAAGATATACGATGAGTTTGAAACTTTACGGAGATCTACAACTATATAAAAGTTGTCGTGGGAAATATGTCGTTTTCCCTTTTTTTTTTTTGGAACGTTTCTTTTATTTTAATTATGTTTCAAATGTCTTTGAAAGGTGTTCCAGCGAAAGGTTTTGTGAGCATCGAACAATTGAATTTGCTGGATATATATTGTCATCGTAGAGATCTTGCTTAAATCTGATCATGAATATATTGATAATCAAGTGGAATGTGTTTTATGTGTGTGTGTATAGAGGGAAAAAGCATGAAAAAAAAAATATACTAAATATACAGGATAATCTGAAAGTGCCAGTGGAATAGATTTTCCAAAACATAAAAGTGGGTTGGAGATGGTTCAAGAACTATTAATTAAATCCCAACATCATCATTAACATATATAGTTGGGGTTGGTGGTCGACGATCTTTACCGTAAACATTTGATTATTCCTTTTAGCTCAATTTATTTATTTGGCTCTTTAGTTTAGAGCGAGTTATAACATAAGGTTTCATTTGTGGTCTTAGATTCCACTTTTCCAAGTCAATGGATCCATTAGGTAGAAACTTGATTACTTCAATTCTATTTTTGAATTGAAAATTAGGGTACGAATTATTCCAAAGTCTCATTCTTTAACCTTATATAGGGTTATTCGTCTGCTTTGAACTAATTTGATCATTGAGAACTAATAAGAATAATGATCGTATTCTATAGAAACAATTTTTTAATAATTACATTATTAGATACCAAAGATTGCTAGCTTGATTAGAAAACATCAAAACAACACCTATAAATTACAATTAGCAAAAAAAAACACCTAGAAATTACATGATTGAGTGATATGTAAGACGGAGTCAAATAACATATTCTAATTCTGGACATGGCCTTAAAACATTTCCAGAAGACATCTTATAACTTCAAGAGATATCTCAAAATTATAAATTTGGAGGATTCATGATTTTATTTGCAATATGTGTTTTGTAGTTAATTATTATTTTGGCATGATTTTAGTTAATTATGATAAAAAAATCGGGACTATAGTATAAATTTGTTTTTAACGATTTTATTTAATTAAGATTACCGTTGGAAAGCAAAACTCTCTTTGAGATGCTCAAAAATAGATTATCTCTTTAAGATGCCCATAACCTCTAAATCTGTAATAAAAAAAACCACAGTAATAAATTTTCAAAAGCCTTCATCAAACGTGAGCTCATCAACAAACCATCATTTCAAAAGGGAACAACCTCAAAATATCCATGTAAAACACAAATCGCATGAAAAAAAACTTGTACTTATTTTAGTTGATGAAATTATACCTTTTGACTTTATAAACTAAAAGGCTTTCATTGATAAAGAGAACTTTGATTTTCAATCAGTACAGCAATAGTAAGCGTTATTCTTCGTTTTAGGTTGTCAAAATTCGTTTTCTTCCTTTTAACATGCATCTTTATTGATTTAGAAATTATTATCACATTAAAAAAGACATAGGAAACAAAGAGAATACAATGCAATTACATAAGTGATGATTAGAGTGGACAATAAACAACATATATAAGTGCAGTTATACGACATTTCTCTCCAAGAAACTAACAAAGTGTCAACTCTGTCGTTAATATTCGTTTTTCTTTATAATGGGAAACTTCATACGAAAATAACTATTGGTGCTACTCCTATAATTTTAGACTTTTTTGAAATCCTTATATTAGTAAAATACAAGTCATTTCACCAATTATATGGTACAAGTCACTTCACCAATTATATGATGATATGTAGTAAATGATCAAAATAAATAAAATTGACAAAACAAAAAAAAATTAAAGAAAACGTAGATTTTAATATTATCTTTATGATCAAAACTGAAAGTTACACGTGTAATATTTCTTCTCTATGATCATCTTCTTTTCCATGATCATTGTGGTTATCTCTCATGATCTTCTCTTTCTCCGAAAAATAAGATAACTGTTCTCTTCAATGTTTATATTCTGTTTCTGCTACTATTTTTCCGATGTCAACAAATATTTAGGGACAAACTTCGACATCTCTTCTATAAACAAAAATTGACATCTTCCCAAACTTAATTTTGTTTATGTTTTATTTATATGAGTAATGAGTCTATATCCAAAAGCCCTTCATAATCTATACAAATTCTCACTGATTTGAGGTAAACGCTTTGCTCTTTCCCATGTATTTTTATTTTGATTTCGTTACAATCTATTACATATTTACTCTCAGCTATCACAAAAGTTTTCAGATAATTTGTAATATAAAATAGATAGTTGTATCTTATAAACATTACTGATTTGATGAAGGTCCATTACATATTCTCTCGGCTATCAAATTCTTCCATGGAGCTCGATTTGATGGAGCTCGATTTGTTATACTGATATCGCAAGAAAACATGGAGATATATAACACTCTTTAATACAAATGTAACTTAATTTTTAAATATTTTGTTATAATCAATGATAAGTGTTATAATGTTTTATGTATACTCACCTCCTTCTGATAAGAAAGTAATTTTTATACATGTAAATGTTTTAGTTATGTAAATTTCATTTTATTGTTAGGCAAAAATATTTCTAAGCGTAGCACGGGAAATAACACTAGTAAATAAATACGTGTGGTGCAACTTTGGTGGTTTTCTGTTTGCCAGTAAAATATTAAATCATAATTTCAAATTACTACTTATAATAATCATTTATCATTTTAAGGCTGGAAAAGATTCTAGCAGCTGTAGAGAGATTAGTTTGTACTTTTTGTTTTCCACGAGAACAGTAATAACGATTAAAAATTAAAACTATAGTATAACCTCTATAAATTAATATTCGATAAATTAATATTTCGATAAATTAATATATTTTTTAAATTTTAAATTAGTTTTTCAGATTAATTTTTATATCAATAAATTAATAAAATATTGTAATTCCAACATTATTAATTTATAGAAATTTTAATGTATAACTTACAAAAACGAAAACTTAGGGTTTTCGTTGAGTTACACGTATCTCAGTTCTCGACACGATCAACGTCATGTTCAAAGGATTATATCTGAACTGATTATTCAAAGGACTTAATTAATAAGGATTATCCACTATACTCAATAGACAACGTACAAACTTCTGAAATGTTATTGGTAAAAAAAAACCTTCTGAAATGTTAAAAGGAGATTATTATTTTAATTGTTGTTCTTAAGTGCTTGTTACGCTGACTGCGGTGAGTCTTAAAATTTGTCCGTGGGTTTTGGATGAGGTATTTTCTTCGCACTGATTTTAGAAAACTTAAATATTACAAAAGCTAATCAAGAAACAGATTGTACATAATTGTTTCTTAATTTGTTCTCATAAAATCTTGTTTTGGTCAACGAAATTAAATCTAGATAAGAACAAAGTAATGATACAAATACAAATCCTTGAGATATATGTCCCAATGTGTATACTCACAAATTTGGAATGGTAAATCACAAAATCAGATAGAAAAAACAAAAACAGATAACTACAAAATCAAAACCTTAATAGTACAATGATTCCCATAATTAACATAAGAAAACTGGAAATAATGCTGGTTTTGACAGGTCACAGATATATTGAAGACTTATACTTTATTATAAGAAGTTTGATTAAAAGAAAAAAAAACACCAATTTGGTAAGGGAGACCCCCCAACAGAAAGCATATAATGTTTATAGATAAGAACAAAAGCTATTTCTCATACATTAATACAACACACTCATTATCGCATCATCCATTCCACATTACAACATTTTCTCATCTCACTGTAACAGAATACCAAAATTAAAGTTTTGTGAAAAACGAGATAAGATTTTTCTTATTTTTAATTTATATTTTCCTTGGCTTTCACGAAGTCTGTCTCTTTCTCTGGCCGCAAAATATCATCAAGAGCGAAAAGTCGCTTTTTTTTCTTCCAATCTTTTTTTTGTTCTTTCTAGAAATTTACAAAACCGAAGAGATATAGACGAGGAGAAAAGCAGACGTCTCTGTGTCCATTTCGTTTGTTCATCGGGTTCTAAGGATTGTCTGTTTCAATAGCCAAACTTTGGATTCTCTTCTCTTCTCTTCTCTTCCTGTTCTTCTTCTTGTCTCGTTCTTTTGCAATTATCTCTTCGCTGGGAGAAAAGAGAGAAGGGATTAGGGATTTAGGAAAGGAAATATGTATTATCAGTTGACTAAGTCTTCTTACATGGACTCTTTGAAGATTCTGGAGGCTGACATAGAGCACGCCAATGGACTGTGAGTCATCGGTTTCTATCTGGGTTTCGTTTCAATTTTTATAGTTTGGTTTCTGATTTTTTCTATCGGTTTAGGGTTTTGATGATCAATTAACATAATTGGCGTGAAAATTGTTCACCTTGACGCTTCGATGATTGAGGAATTGAATTAGCCGAAACCCACTTAGGGGTTTTTCATTTCTCTGCTCTATATCCTTCTTCAATGTTCTCCTCTAGTTTGATGCATATCCACCAAAAGTTCATTCTCAGTCTCTAGTCATGAACTTGGATTATTATTACAGAAAAGTCAAAACTTTTCAGAAAAGGTCGACAAATTGCAAAGCTTTAGTATCTGTGTGGTCTGGTCTCGAGGAATATGTTGTATGAAGAATATGTTTTTTTCTTTGTGTGTAAAGAGAAGTGTAGTAGTAACTGATTAGTGTCAAAATTGAATCAGGGCTGCTGCGATTCCTATGGGAAAGAGCGGTGTGCGTCTTCAGATGAAATTGGTGTGCAGCAATTTGGCTCCATTCTTCATCTTCTTGCTACAATGGATGGATTTCTCATGTCTGCTTCCAAGATATTTTGATTTCTTCCACATACTCATATACAAGGTTCTTACCAATTATATATCTCTGTTTACGCCTGCTTGCGTGTGTGTGTGTGAATTGGTAGATTCCCTGATTGTTTCCTTGCTTTCCTCTTGGCTTGTTTTGTTTTATAGGCGTCTTCTTTGTCTTGTACAGGTACGTGCTGATGGGAGGTGGAATCTATCCAGGTACGGAAGGAAAGCCACAATTAGGGAGTTTTACGGTAAGACTTGAGCCCTTTTTGATGCTTTTGTGTGTTTTGGACTATTAGCTCAATCTTATAGAACAGGTCGTTTGGCTAAGTGCAGGTGTTATATTACCATCACTCGAGCGACTTCATATCAACTTTGCTGACTTAGCCAACGACAGCTTGTGGTATCCAAATCCAAAAGCCATCACCAAGAGGAAGTATGACATTGAAGGAAACAGATTCTTGAGCAGCAGCATTGACTTGGAAAGAGAAGACGAGTGCGGGATTTGCTTAGAGCCTTGCACCAAAATGGTGTTGCCTAATTGTTGCCATGCCATGTGCATCAAATGTTACCGGAACTGGAACACAAAGTCGGAGTCTTGCCCGTTCTGTCGTGGCAGCATCAAGAGAGTGAACTCAGAGGATCTGTGGGTGCTGACTTGCGATGAAGATGTTGTTGATCCAGAGACAGTGACCAAAGAGGATCTTCTTCGGTTTTACCTCCACATCAATAGCCTACCAAAGGATTATCCCGAAGCTGTCTTCTTAGTCTACAACGAGTACTTGATATGATGATTTTAATGGCGGGAACACATCAACGACGACGTCGGTGTACAGAAGGAGGAAAGATCCCAGACCTTTAACTAAGTGTACATAAGAATCTGGTGATCCACTATTTCCCTTCGTTTTTAGATTATGATATTATAATAATAAGATTGTCATAATTATTGTGTTCCCTTGTTATGAAAGATTAAGAGAAAAGATGATCTCGGTTACATATTCATTCCCAGCTTCTTGCCAGCCAAAGCATGTTTCAAGATTAGATCTAGTAGAACTTGTTTGGACACAAATAAGTGAGAATGTAACTGACCGGAACTTGTAGCTAAGTGTGTGCTTGTAAGTTATAGACAGCGAAAAGAAAATTCGAGATCATTTTCAACAATTTGTTTTCTTTCAAAAATGTTGGTGCCAATTGAAAGAAATGATAATTAACAACAAAGATTATTAAACCCAATAATCTAGACATTCTTCTTAGTTTTTTTTTTTAAATGTCGACCGAGATACTTCTTTGTAAAGTTTGAAATTTTGAAATATAAAAATATCTATTTACTTTTAAAATAGTAACAAGCTATGGAACAAATTCCACAGAAGAAAAAAGTTAAAATAAAGGCAGAATAATAAATAAAAAAAAAGCTAAAACAAAGCAATGTCTTATTTTATATTATAGTCAGTCATATATGTGTTTATCTCTATATGAACAGCCTAAAATTTGTTTAAATTCCCAATTGTTTTTTCTTTTCTTGATAGATCGTGAAGTCTCAGTCTTGAGGAACAGATAAGCGGTTTTTTTACAGTCGGTGGTGAAAGAAACAAGAAGGTCCAACTATGGTGACTCATCGTTTCACTCTGCTTCTCATTGCCGTCGTTATCGGGATCTTCTCCTCATTTTCTCAGGTATTTTTCAATTCCCTCTCCTCTCCAAAACCCTAACTTTGTTTCTTGTGACGATCCGTTTCTTCTTTCTTCGAGGTCCGCGCAACAAGTGAAACCAACTTCAGGATCGAATCAATCTCCTCGTCGTTCGCAACGGATCTTGCAACTCTGCAGAAGCACATTGGGTACATTTATTACTTATTGTTATCACTCCTTCTCTGTGTGAGGCTTTTTTTCTTCTTATCCTCGTATTGTTGCTTACTTGTTCCTAAATCTGTATTGTAGGATCGTTTCTTCTGCTGATAAAGTTAGGGAATTTAAGGTTTCTAGAATTTGACAATCTATGTTATATTCGATTCATATACTCTCGTGATGTATCTCTGTGATGTTAAAGTAGAATCACTTAGCTTTAAGATGATTTGGTTAAAAGTCATCTCTGTGATGATCAAGTTCAATCACTTAGCTTTAAGATGATTTAGCTAAAAATCATCTCTTTAATGATGAAGTTGAATCACTGAGCTTTAAGATGGTTTGGTTACTCATCTCTGAGCTGTAAGTTGCTTTGGTTATAAGTCGTATCTGTAATAGTAAAGTTGAATCATTTAGCTGATTTGGCTAGAAAATCATAGAGAGAAATCTCCTCATCAAGTTTCATCTCCCTAAATCTATAAAGTTGTCTCCTTTTTTTGTTGTTTTTTTTGGTGTAGCTACGAGTTTAACAACACCAACCTTCTTCGGCGTGCTATGACTCATGCTTCCTTCTCTCAAGAGAACAACAAAGCCCTGAGTATCTTTGGAACCCATATCATTGAAACCTCAGTCTCTCTTCAATTCCTCTCTAAAAATATCGATATCTCGTCCAAAGTTTTGGCTCATTTGATATCAGATGTTGCAAATGTGGATTCCTCATGTGCTCTTGACGGAAACCGGTTGGGTTTGGAGAGGATAATTAGGGTTTCTCCCAAGACAGATGCATCAAACTCGGCCATCGTTTGTGCTGGCTTTAGGGCAATCTTTGGAGCTATTGCTACTGATTCTGGAATGGTTGATGAGGCCATCAAGGTTTTCTGGAAAGTCCATGGAGATCGGGCTGGAAAACTAGTGTCTACGTTGTAAATTAGAGCTTTAAAGTCTGTGTTTTTTCTTTGGAAGTTCTATGAGAATCTACTTTTAGGCTTGCTTTCTCTTTTTTCTGTGTGATGACCAAAACAAAATATTGGTTGATGTTATGAGTGATGTAAGGGACCGTTTGACTATGCCCACTGCAATGAAATGTTTCAACTTTTAACTAAAGAGGCTCAGATTAAACAAAACAAATTTAGTTTAAGTTTGTGTTCAGAAGATACATGGCACGTTTAGAAAATCTGTAATTTTATTGTCATCTCCGTAGAAAATGTGCAAGTGTTTTAAGAATTTGATAGATGTGCAGACTTCTGGATCAACAGCTGTGAAGATGTTATGAAAATGGCGACACATTGTAGTCAAAGTGTTACATGTGCTGCACGAAGCAAGTCATAGGAAATTGGGAATTCCATCATCATTTCATTATATTTGACAAAAGAAAATATCTCCACTTAATCAAATATTAAATTTTATTGCTAAAAAATTATATAACATATAAGTTATGCAAATAAATATTTTATAGATTTAAAAACCTGATAAAATATAGTTTAGCAAATGTTAATTTTGTCTTATGTTACTTTGACTGATTTTTGTGTGTGATCCCCTCTGTTTCTAATTAAGTCACGTGAATGGATTTCTTAAACGGAAGCGAACGCTTCTTATTGGATGGAACACATCACCCACTTCAATGGCACGACATAATTATACAAAACAAAACACCACTGTATATATATCAATTAAAAATTAAAATCAAAAAGAAAAATAAGAAAACACGATAGGGAAGAGAAAACAAAACGCACCGCGTCGGTCGTGCTGCAACGCTTCTCTTACCTGAATAGCTTCTTCCTCCTCTCTTCTCCTTCCCTCGCTGATCTCCGACTCAAACCCGTAACAAAACAAAGCAAAGCCGTTTCACACAGCTCCTTCCTCCTTTTCTCGACTCTCTTCTCAGTTTCTTCTAAGGGTCTCCCTTGTCTCCGAATTCGTGGTTAGATCTGTTTGGAAAAGCGGGGAAAAAGGGTTGCAATCGTATTTAGATAATGCACGAGAATGATGATCTTCCGCAGGATTCGGTTGATTCTGTAACTGATGGAATTGAGAATGATGGCGAGTCAAATGGGCAGGAGCTTGATCCTGACCAGGTGAGATTTGTAATTTACCTTGAATGAGTTATTTCCTTGTGTGTTTTTTTTCTTTTGTCCGAATTGTTTATGCTCGTTTGTGGTTTGTTCGTATGCTGTAATGAGGTTAGTATTTGCAGGGAACTGCTTTCGTTGACAGTAAGGAAGATATGTTTGTTGATGCTCCTGAAGAGTTGAATTTCGATACACCAAGCAAGGACGCTCTGACGACAGATGATGATGATGACAATGGAGAGCTTGTAAATCAAATCAATGTCTGTGATTTTTTTAAGTTAATTTGAAAATTTTCCCATTCATTATTGAAAGGTCTTTGTTTTGTTCATTTATGTTTGTTTTTCTACCATACAGAATGAGAAGGAGGAGTTGGAGAAGGAACTTGCAGGGTTGCAGGAACAGATTAATCAGTCTGGTGAGACTGATTTGAATGGTGAAAATGGGAACACCGTGGAAATTGTCACTCGGTTCTCAAAGTTTCTAAAAATTGCTGAGGCAGAGCGAATTCAGCATGAGGATGCACTCAGGGAGCTTCGTGGGATTATTAGTGGGAAGGACAACGAGATTGCTGATCTCACCACAAAGATTTCAGAGCTTTCTTCGTCACAGTCAGTTTCCGAATCGGGACATCAGGCACAGAACGAGGAGCAACTTGAGGCTGCAACAGATAGGATACTGTTTTCTCTTAGTACTGTATTTGGTCAAGAGGAGCTGCAGTATGGTTCTTCTGTCACCGAAAAGCTTGCTCACCTGGAGAACCGAGTTTCCTTTTTAAGTGCGAAGTATACTGAGTTTTACTACGGTGCTGATGAATTAAGGAAGTGTTTGTCTAGGGATGAGTTGGATCTTCGTTTCCAAGAGGATTTTGGTTCAGCTCTCGGTGCTGCTTGTTCTGAGTTACTTGAGCTCAAACAGAAGGAAACAGTTCTTTCTGAAAGACTTAGCCATCTAGAAGATGAAAATAGGAAACTGGTTGAACAAGTGAACAGAGATAGGGAAATGATTGAGTCGATGAGTGCAGAAGCTGGAAAAATGAAGGCGGAGCTTGAGCAAGAAAAGACAAGGTGTAGTAACACGAAAGAAAAGCTCAGCATGGCTGTAACAAAGGGGAAGGCGTTGGTTCAGAACCGAGATGCTCTGAAGCATCAAATATCTGAAAAAACGATGGAGCTTGAGAACAGGTTGACTGAATTACAAGAGATGAAGATTGCCCTTGAATCTTCTGAATTAGTGAAGAGGCAGCTGGAACAATCGTTAGCTGAAAAGACAGATGAACTTGAGAAATGCTATACTGAATTGCATGATAAGTCTGTATCCGTGGAAGCATATGAGCTAGCAAAGAAGGAGTTGGAACAGTCTCTAGCTGGGCAAACAAAAGAACTTGAAGAGTGTTTGATAAAACTACAAGAGATGTCAGCAGCAATTGATGAATCTGAACTCATCAAAGGTGAGTTGGTAAAATCCGAAGCTATGGTTGCATCATATCAGGAAATGGTATCGTCAAGGAGCTCTATCATTGAAAATATTGAAACCATCTTGTCACAAGAAGATACACCTGACGAAGGTCAATCTTTCGATATCATTGAAAAAGTTAGGTCACTTGCAGAAGAGAGGAAGGAGCTCAAAAATGTTTCCCTGGAATACAACAGATTAAAAGATATGAACTTTTCCATTGACTTACCGGAGGAGATATCCCAAGCCAGCTTAGAAACTCGCCTAACTTGGCTTGGGGAATCATTTTTCCAGGCAAAGGATGAAGTTAGTGCCCTGCAATATCGGATCGAAAACTTAAGCATGTCTCTGTCAGCAGAAATGGAGGAGAAGAATAACATTAGAAAGGAACTTGATGATTTAACTTTCAGTTTTAAGAAAATGGAGGAAACTGCAGAGCGAGGCTCTTTGGAAAGAGAGGAAATTGTGAGAAGACTTGTGGAAACCTCTGGCTTGATGACAGAAGGAGTCGAACATCATACATCTTCAGCTATCAATTTGCTTGTTGATAGATCCTTCGAACAGATAGAAAAGCAAATCAGAGACTCTAGTGACAGTTCTTATGGCAACGAAGAATTATATGAAAGATTGCAAAGTCTCCTTTATACGAGTTATCTGGAGTTGTCACTTTGCAAGGAAATGCTAGGAGAGGAAATGCTGGCTAGTTTACAGGTGAGCGATCTCTCAAATGAGCTAAAAACTGTATCTCGAGAACTTGAGTTCGTGAAAGAAGAAAAAGTTGCTTTGGAGACAGATCTTGAGCGATCAGAAGAGAAATCTGCTTTGCTCAGAGACAAACTTTCCATGGCTATCAAGAAAGGCAAGGGACTTGTCCAAGATAGGGAAAAGTTAAAAACTCAGTTGGATGAGAAAAACTCTGAAATCGAGAAGCTGATGCTCGAGTTGCAGCAGTTATCTGGTACGGCTGATAGCTACAAGAATCAGATAAACATGTTATCGGGAGACTTAGAGAGCACAAAAGAGCTAGAGGCTGAGCTTGCTACTATTAAAGACGAAAGAGATCAACTTAAGCAATCTTTATCTGTGAATGACACTTTGTTGCAGAAAGTGATGAAATCAGTTGAAACTATGAGTATCCCTGTTGATCTAGCAACTGAGGATTCTTCAGAAAAGATTGACCGACTTGCTGGATACTTCAAGGAAGTGCAGCATGCTAGAGCAGAGGAACAAGAAGAACTCGAAAAAGCAAAGGAAGAAGCCAGTACATTAGCCAGTAAATTAGCAGAAACCCACACAGCCTTGAAGTTGGTTGAGGATGCCTTGTCTACTGCAGAACGTAACATCGATCGACTTGCGGAGGAGAATAGACAAGTCCAAGCTGCTAAGGAAAATGTTGAACTTGAGCTGCAGAAAGCAGTTGGAGAGGCCTCCTCTCTGGCTAGCGAACTGGATGAAGTTTGTGCAACCAGGAATACACTTGAAGCTGCACTCATGCAGGCTGAAAGAAATATATCTGATATTATCAGTGAAAAGGAAGAGGCCCAAAGCAGTACTGCTAGTGCAGAGATGGAGCTAGAGAAAGTGAAAGAAGAAGTTTCAGATCAGAATAACAAATTAACTGAAGCACATAGCACCATAAAATCACTTGAGGAAACACTTACTCAGACAGAAAGCAACGTGGATTCGCTGTCCAGACAAATTGAAGATGACAAAGTTCTTACTACAAATTTGAAGAATGAGTTAGAGAAGCTTCAATATGAGGTAGAGTTCGAGCGTAGCAAGATGGCCGACTCTTCCTTGACAATAGGATCCCTCGAGGAGGCACTAATGAAGGCGGAAAATAGTCTTTCTGTCTTACAAGGAGAAATGGTGAAAGCTGAAGGCGAGATATCAACTCTCAGTAGTAAACTTAATGTATGCATGGAAGAGTTAGCTGGATCAAGTGGAAACTCACAGAGCAAATCTTTGGAGATTATTGCTCATCTTGACAATCTTCAGATGCTACTGAAGGATGGAGGGCTAATTTCCAGGGTGAATGAATTCCTTGAAAGGAAATTCAGGAGTCTTAGAGACATGGATGTCATAGCAAGAGATATCATAAGAAATTTTGGTGTGAAGGGATTGGCAGGGGAAATGGACAACGTTACAGAGGTAACAGTATTCTCGAACCTTACAAGATCAATACTTCTTCTGTTTGTTGACTTTTTCACATCAGTTTACTATCTCCCTTCATCATTCCTATTTGCATATTTGTTGGTTTCAAACATGCCTTATCCTATTGGGATCTATAATTTGTTGTTTTGCCAAGGATGCACACATCTAGTTAGAATCTGTTCTGTGTAGAAGTTGATTTACCGGAAATAAGATGATGAATATTATTCTGTGAAACATTTTTCAATAGTACATATATCTATCCAGTTGTACTCTTGACGCTGTTCATATTTCCAGGATGATTCGACTGTGGTAAAATCCTTGTTGAGTGGTCTTGATGACTCAGTGGATACAGAGCTGGAGAATAGTAAAGGCAATGCAGTTGATGAAGACGAAATTTCTTCATACCTTAGGAAAATCGCAGAGGGGGTCAAGCTGAGAAACGAAATACTGGAGAAAGATTTTGAGAGTTTCTCAACTTCCATTGATACTCGCATTGCAACGTTGATGGAAAATATGACAGCAGCTAGGGCTGATGTGATAAATGCCATGGGTCATAATGAGTCCCTGAAAGAACAGGTGAGGAGTGCAGAAGATATTGTTCGCGAACAAGAAAACACTATATCTGCATTACAAAAAGATTTGTCATCTTTGATGTCTGTATGTGGCGAGGCTTCCAGCAAACTGCATGTGGAAGTGAAAAATGACCTCCTAGAGTTAATTCAAGTCCAAGAAACTGATAACGGTGGTGAAACTGTGCTAACTGAACGTCCACAGGAGCTTCATGTAAGTGAATGCGCCCTGAGGGTAAAAGAATTATCTTCTGCCACAGAGAAGGCATGTACTACTCTTAAGCTCTTTGAGACAACAAGTAATGCAGCTGCTGTTGTAATCCGAGATATGGAGAACAGACTAAAAGAAGCATCTGTCGCTCTAGATAAGGTTGCGTTAGAAAGAGATCTAAACCAAACTAAGGTTTTAAGTTCCGAGGCCAAGGTGGCGTCTACGGAAGCGTTTTGCGAAGATCTGAAACTTCAGCTGGAAAATCTCAAAGCCGAAGAAGAGAAATGGCATGAAAAAGAGGTGGAACTTTCTACATTATCTGATAAACTGTTGGTGCAAGAGCAAGGTAATTTTTTTCTTTTGTCGTCTCAGTTCCTTAAATCTTCTTAACATGTTATCCACTTTACTGAAATGTCACGTGCTGTTTCTTGGAGTCGCAGAAGCAAAGGAAAACCCAATTTCAGTTTCTGATATGCGTGCCCTTTTTGACAAGATAAATGGTATTGAGGTTCCTTCAGTAGATCAGGTCAATGAATTAGATCCACAGAGTCCATATGATGTGAAGAAGCTATTTGCTATTGTTGATAGTGTTACTGAGATGCAGCATCAGATAGACCTCTTATCATATGGACAAAAAGAGCTCAAATCCACCGTGGCAGCAAAAGATCTTGAAATTCAAGGTTTAAAGGAGGCGGCTGAAGCAGAAAGTATAACCGAGCTAGAGTTAGTTAAGGCAAATAACGAAATGTCCAAGCTAATATCTGGCTTGGAGAAACTGCTGGGTGTATTGGCGGGCAATGATCCTGTTGTAGACTTAGACTTCTCCGAGTCATGGACACTCTTACAAGCACTAGAAAGAAAAATAACTTCCCTCCTCCTAGAGTCAGAGAGTTCAAAATCAAGGGCCCAAGAACTTGGTCTAAAGTTAGTTGGCAGCGAAAAACTTGTGGATAAATTATCATTAAAAGTTAAAGAATTTGAGGATAAACTTCAAAGCAAAGCCATTCAGCCTGATGTCGTTCATGAAAGGAGCATCTTCGAAGCACCAAGAGCACCTTCTACCTCAGAGATATCCGAGATTGAGGACAAGGTAAAATTTAATCTTGTGCTATTTCAGGCTATTATTGACCCTTGTGGATGCCATCTATTGCACAATAATTCTGGTATTTTTTTTACTCTATCTGCGGCTAAGTTATGACCTTAAAACTATATAATGTAGCTGCTTTATTGATTATATCTTAAAAGCAATGATTTAGCTTCGGTCTCTTGCTATGTTCTGATCTTCAAATTTGGACTGGACACGTTTTGTGCTCAGGGAGCCCTGGGGAAAAAATCAATATCACCTGTGCCTACGGCAGCGCAAGTGAGAACGGTGAGGAAAGGATCGACGGATCATCTTTCAATCAACATAGATTCAGAGTCCGAGCATCTCATGAACCACAACGAAACAGATGAAGATAAAGGTCAGAACTGAGGCGTCTACGTATCCTCAGTTATTGCTCAACTATGACGTGAGCCTCTAAGCTCACTCATCTTAATAAACACATCTATTTTCTTATGCAGGACATGTCTTCAAGTCTCTCAACATGTCTGGTTTAATTCCAGCGCAAGGAAAGATAATAGCAGATCGGGTCGATGGAATATGGTAAACACTCGCTAATATCAAACTGATCTGAAAATGGTCCCAAATTGTCTATCTTATTGAGCGTCGGGTTTGATTTCTTGAAATGCAGGGTCTCAGGTGGAAGAGTACTAATGAGCCGTCCTCAAGCAAGGCTTGGTGTTATGGTATACAGTCTCTTATTGCATCTGTGGCTCCTAGCTTCCATCCTATAACAAGACGGGTGATTGATTTTTCTATTAGGTCTCTCTCGCATGAAACTACACACAACAGAAACACACATAGTGCTCTCTCTCTTTCTCTCTCTATCTCTTTTATATTCTTCCCATTCTTTGTCGACCCGTAAGCAGAGAATGATAGGTGTCGTCTTGTATATATATTATGAATAATGCCTCGATTATCAGCGAGCTTTTTCTTCTAGTTCTTCAGTTTCGTAGTCCTAGAATGTTCGATTAGGACTCAGTACTTATTACAGGTGGTTGTTTGTCTGAAACATTTGTTACGTGACTTGAAAGAAAAGTTTTGCGTCTGCAACGACGTTAAGTTTTGAATGACTGTAAAAAGTTTTTTTCTAAAAGCTCTCTAATGTGATAGTATGATACAATGATCTACCGCAAGCAAACAATTCGTCTCTTTAATGAGTATTACTTTGGAAGGAGAGACAGTGACTTCTAGACTTCATTCCTCTTACCTACTACTCATTAATTGTTCCGTTTTCTTTATTCCCAAAAATTGAGCTTTGGAATTGACGTATTTAGGGTTTGTCTCTAACCAAAAGCAAAAAACTTGTACTACTATCTAGCTAGAAAAAACTTTTTTTTAGAGGTTTAACTGTTATCTAACCAGAAAAGTTGGTCTTTAATCAATAGAGGCGACAGCCGACAGGGATAGATTATAAGTTTTTTTTGTTTGGTCATCTATGATTGTCCAAAGCTAGAATCTAATTAAATGGATAAAAACAATACAAATCTTGGAAGAGATTTTTAAAATTTGATTTGAATGGACGAATTAGCTGGACTAAACGAGAAAAATTAGCTGAGTACTATAATTGATGTCTAAAAGCTGCAATGGAACCAAATCATTAAATTTAACATGAGGAACTGTCCACAACCACAAATTGAATGCAAAGTGTTCTTTTGAGTGAAACACTGAAACCCCAATCTACCAATTTCCCTAAAGAATCATATTCTTCCTGGTGTGTATTTAAATTTTGAGTACATTAACTTTTTGTGACATACTTTTAGTGTTTGATTTCTTCTTTTTTTTAATAAACTATATATCCTAAATAGTATGATGACATTGACTTGGGCTTTTCTTGTAAGCTACACAATTTATTGTAATTTCATCTCATTTTTGTGTAAAATTAAGATTCAGCAAATAAAAATGATAAAAATAAATCTCTCTCTCTCTCTCTTTCTCTCAGCTCTAATTTTCGTAATAAAGAGTGAGTTAGCTCCAAGCCAAAATCTCATGACCAAACAAATAAAAAACCAGAACAGACAGAAAAAAAAAAAAAAAAACAGAAAGAAGAACATGCAAAGAACATGGCATCTCCATGTCGTAAGCTTTATAGGATTTCTCTCTCTCCTTAGAATATTTTTTCCTCTACTGAAATGGTTCACCACCAGATTCCTCCTCACAAACCCCAAGCGGCTCAAGCGTTACGGCTCGTGGGCTATGGTCACCGGAGCCACAGACGGAATAGGACGCGCCTTTGCTCACGAGCTGGCCAAACACGGTCTTAACCTTATCCTAGTCAGCAGAAACCCTTCGAAGCTCGCTTCTGTCTCCGATGATATCCAACGAGAGTTTCCTCACATCAAGATCAAGATCATTCCCTTTGACTTCTCCTCTGGTAATAGTTAATGCACCTTCCTCACTTCAGTTTTTGGTCAATCCTATAGGACTAGTCTATACATAGTCATTGACTTATTGTGTGTCTGTGTGTGCATATAAATACTAGTAGTACATTATTTAAATTCTACATAATTGTTCCTCTTTCAACAACCAGGGTAAAAATACAATTACTCAACAGAAATAAATGATTCTAAATATATACATATACAGCAAAAATATAGTACGCAATTTCTCTTACAAATTTATAGTATGTGTGTTTGGAAGAGACTTGAATTTGTCATAGTATAGCCAGAACTAAAATATATATATGCACTTTATATACAAGATTAAACTTGGAAAATAACTTTTCTATATTTGTTAGCTTATTCGAATTCTAATAAAAGTTTTGGACACCAACAACAGGAAATGATACGAAAAACTCAAGAAATGTAGTCAGGAGTTAATATAGATATATTTTTTAAACAATGTGTTTGTGAGTAGTTGATGAAATAAAACAAAAATGTGCAGGAGGAGGATTTGGAGTAATTGAGGAGGGGATCAAAGGCGTTGAAGTTGGGATTCTGATAAACAACGTTGGGGTAACTTATCCACGAGCCATGTTCTTCCACGAGGTTGACCAACTCACATGGACCAAAATCCTGAGGGTCAATCTTGAAGCCACCACTTGGGTCACAAGATCTCTCATCGGGCCAATGCTTCACCGCCGCCGAGGAGCCATTGTCAATATTAGCTCCGGCGCCGCCGTTGTTGTTCCTTCTCATCCTCTGTACGCCATTTACGCCGCCACCAAAGCGTAATGACTTACCACTTTCACTTTTCATTTAGTTTTTTTTCTCCTGTTTAATGAACATTTTAGAGGTCTTCAGAAAAATATAAGAAGGGTTATTAATAAATAAAATAACACAAAATATGTTTTTAAGTCATTTGAGAATTACAAAATTCACATCAGTGTAAGTGTGTTACTAAAAGTGGCTCAATAAAATATTATATTAAAAAGATGAGAATTGAATTTTGGTTAAGTTTAAGGTTTAGATTAAGTTTAAGGCTTAGATTAAGTTTCTTGAGTTATAGAATTAGATTAAGGTTTCCATTACGATCTTTCTATTGTTGGTAGTAGTTGTATAATAAATATGCAAAGCTTATTAGTATGTGTGGACCTTAACGATCCAAACTTCTCTAATTGATTCCATCCACGTCTATGTATAAGTATAACTTTCCCGACACGCGCATTTCAACTTTTTCAATGTATTAGTTAGGTGTGGGTGCTTATAGTATTAATGAATAATCACACGAGAAACGTTTTAGAGTGTAAGTTATTTATAAAACTGAGAACAACGTTTTCAATTTGAAAGGAATATAGTTCTATTCATCGTCCACAAGTTGATGAAAATATTTTTGGTACTTTGGAAAAACTTTTCATTTTATTTATATTGGCGTTATTTGATAATACATTTTTTCAATTATTTTATGGAATTTATGATGTTAGTTTTTCATATCGTATGGATGAATCAACGAACACGTGCATGCAGGTATGTTGATAAACTATCAACATCTCTACATGTGGAATATAAGCATTTTGGCATCGACGTCCAGTGCCAGGTACTTTTTTCTTTTCTTTTCTATAAAAACTACCTTATAATTACATACATAATATTGTTGTATTTCGCCAAGATAATGCGTATAAGAAAATAATCTCATCAGACACGTGCATGTGTAAAACTAATGTGGCAGGTACCGTTATACGTGGCAACGAAGATGGTGTCAGAAGTAGCAGCTATAGATAAACCAAGCTTCTTTATACCGTCGCCGGAAGTCTACGCAAAAGCGGCAGTTGAGCAGATCGGAATTGGATCACGATGCTCGCCGTTTTGGGCTCATTCCCTTCAGTGGTTTCTCGCCGGGCTTTTGCCAGAGAGACTCCTTGATACTTGGCGTCTCTCTATCGGCCTTCGTAGGAGAAGTTTATCTTAATTAGCTTCATCATATTTTAAGCTCTTAAAACCTATTTATACTTATTCTCTGTTTACTTTCTTTTGCTAAGAACTCTTTCTCGTAGGTTGTTTAGTAACTATATTACATAAATAGCACTCTTCCGCAAATTGGAAGCTCTTTCACTTGCAGTCCAAGAAAAATTAGTGCTTCTCAGTTTTCCAAGTTGTTATTCTTTCGTGACTCAACTAGGTTTCTTTTGTTACTCAGATCTTTCAAGATTGTTATCGTTTCATTTTGATACCATGAGCTTAAACGGTTTTGTCCACAGACCAAATTACAAATTTGTTTTTGCTTCAGTTTTTTTTTTTCTTTTCTGTCATGGGAAAAATTTTCATAGGTTAAATATGAATGAATGTATATAATTGAGTGAATGAATGTATATTATTGAATGAATGAATGCATATAACACATCCGCAGTACCCTAGGCAGAAAACTTTGTGATCCCAAATTTCAAGAGAAATTAATGAGAGTATACTTTATATTAAAAACATACTTCACTTGTATTAGTAAAACTGTTAAAAATAGTACCATCATTACTTTGAATCCTTATAACTACTAAGACCATGTACATCAGGGTTTTAATCAAATTTGGGCACAAAAACATAGGTGTTTTTAATTAAAATAAATGAAATAAACTTAATTTTCTGTGAACCCGTCTCTTGGAGAAGAGTTTAACGAACCCGTCTCTTACGCCATGTGTCAAAAAGCTATTGGCCAGAATTTATTTGTTTGTCGCTCTCTCCTCCTCCACATTTTTTTGGTTTTTTGTTGCTAGGGAGTTTCTGGGTTTTTGATTTAGTGGAGCTGATTGATATTGAATGGCTTAATCAGTTTTGGGGAGCTCAATTCCCGGGCCAGCTAGTTATTTATGAAGGATTATCCAATTCTTTTATCGAATTGTTGAATTTTGAAAACAATTATCAAATTTTGACATTTGAGATTCTGAGTTTTTGATTTGGTGCAGCTGATTCATTTGAAGGAATCTTTTTGGACGCTCTTTTTTCAAGTTTGGGGAGCTCAATTCGTACCAGGTAACAATTTACAGAATCTTCAATTTGGTTTTTTTTTTCATTCTCAAATTTTTGTTTTTACTCTCAATTGATCGGTGTATTATTTGATCAAAACTTATCAATTATGTAATGGATCAAAAAATAATTATTTTTTATTCAACATGAACCTCATTAGAAGTTCATCAATGGATCATAAAATGAACACAGATTTTCCTCTTCTCTTAAACCTAAAAAATAATAATATTAAATTTGGTGAACCCCCATTTAGAGGTTCACTGATGTATCTGCTCTAATACCCTTCATTCTAGAGGTAGTATGTATATATTTATGTCACATTGTCACCATTCCTTCTATAAGTTCATTTAGCTTCACAAGTCACTCTTTCTTAACTGGGCCATGTATTGTGATAGATATGTTTTATGTGCCCAGGAAGGCAGGAACCACTTATTCTCTAGATCAATCTGTTCTTTGCTACAAAAAAAAAAAAAAGCCTCTATGGTCTTCAATCGGCAACATCTCCTCCAACAAGGATAATATACAAAAAGTCAAACACGGGCCATGTGATATATGTTTTATGTGCCAGAGGAAAAAGAAACTAATGTTTAGAAAAAAAATACATAAAAAGAATGTATATGCAAAATTAAGTTGAATAAAATCACTCAAATGGAATGATAAAAAAAATGGAAATAATGTTAGCCGCTTTCTCGATACATATATAGTTCCCTCCAGTGGCGGAGCTAGGTAAGGAGGAGGGGGGTCAATTGACCCCTGTGAGTTTTATAAAATTTTGTCTGCATATGTATGTAGTCTGTAGCTTGTAGATCATTTGGTTAAATACATGTAGACCTGACCCCGGTGATTAGGTGTTAGATCCTTGGTTTGCATAATTTTTTTTTCCATTAATTCTTTGTTGTTTTATTTGATTTCACATGGTTGCATAATTTTTAAATGAAATTTTTTTCTTCCTTTCTTTCCTATTTACATTAAATACTTCATGTATCAGGATAGTTTTTGCATTTTTATCAATTTTTAATTAATGTAGACAATAAACTATCTATGCATTTAAGATAGGTAAACATTCTAAAAAGAATTTTTTTTATCATACCGATTTGTTTCACCAGTATTCCAGAAAAAAAAAATATATATATATGAAATTATTAGTATGTTTTACATAAAATTATATATTTCTATAACTTTTTATATGTACTTTCATTAAAAAAAGATTTATAGCAATAATACATTATTTTAGTTCTGTTTATAATTCAAAACTAATAAATAAAATATATTAAACATTTTGTTTCAACAGTAATATTTTAATTTGTTTAATTTTTTATAATGCATTAGTATTGACCTCGATAAAAAATATTTTTGGCTCCGCCACTGGTTCCCTCGTTGTTTCATCGTAAACCTAATAGTCGAAACATTTTCAAAACTTTGGACAACAAACAAGCAATGTGTAACCTACTACTTTAACTCCGATTACCAATATTGGTCGAGTTAGAAATGGTCTCGACTATACACTTTATCAACAAATATCAAATAACCTCTAGTTTTGGCTTAAGGTTCGACCTAGAATACCTTAAAAATACAATCACGCAATTGTAGAACACAATATATAAACGCTCAATTTTTAGAACACTTATCTCACTTCTGTATGTTTCGATTGGGACATAATAAAGTCACAATAAAATGCTAATTAAACACAAAAAAGAAAAAAAATCAAGACCGGACTAAGATTGATGATGAATCCGTTTTCTTCCTAAAAACGACCTCCGTATCCAACCCGAAGCCGTCGACATTTCGTACATGAACCACCTCCGATCGTCGGAACAGCCTCACCAACGCCTCTACACTATACAGATCGTTCGCCGAATACTTATCCGACCGCGTAGAAAGCGCCACGTGTAACACACATAAACCTCCTGGCCTCAGAGTCCGTTCGATCTCTCCAACAAACTTCTCCGGGTAAAGCGCATGATCGAACACGTTGGAGAACTCGAAATCAAAAGTCTCATCATCGAACGGCTGGTGATGAAAGTCTCCTTTGACCACCAACGGTGGATACGGAACAAGATCCATCCCGACCGAGTCGGTTACGCCCACACGTTTCAGGGCCTCCACTTCTTGCCCGACTCGAGCTCCTACGCAAAGACATTTGGAGCCGTTGGATAAGAGTTTTTGACGTTTCAGATCTTGGAAGAACCTTGAGAACACTTTGATCTTACGGTCCCAGTCTCGTGTCATCCATAACGTTCGGAGTCTAGGGTTAAGCGTCTTGTTGAGCTGTCGTTGGATGTAGTATTCGTAAGACGTGTAACCGGGTCGGATCCTGATGAGATCTTTTTGGACGGTGAAAGAAGTTTTGTGTTGTTGTTGTTGTAGAGAGAAGAAGAGGATGATAGGGACGGTGAGGAAGATAAAGACGATGAGATATTTCAGAACCGTCTTTGATTGCTTCATTCTTTTTTTTTTTCCTTAAACAAAAACCTCTCAGTCTCTCTCTTTCTAGTTTCTACATGTTCATCGAAAATGAAGGAAAGAATAAGGTGAAGTTGAAGGCAAATTGAGAATATGATAGCCAATGTATATATGACACGTGTGGAATGGTAATACTTTTTTATTTCAAGATAGAGTATTTAGTTAAGAGGAGAATATATAAATAAATATGAGTATTAGTTAAGAGAATAAATGAATAACAGGAATTAAACTATTAGAACATGTCTATCAATATCAATGAATTTCTAAGATATGGGTTCACCAGAATAATATTTCGTTTTGATTTTGATTTTTTTTTTTAATTTGAAAATTATAATTTTTAATTAATCAGGATGCTCTATTTCGGATGATACCGTCTCTTCAAGTTCATCGGGATTTTTTTTAACGTTAAATCAATCGAACTTTTTGTGTGTTTGTCGTAAGTAAATCGACAATTGATCTCTCGTCGGAATTTGTCACGTAAACCCTTTGGATGAAAAATCAAATAAAATTAAGCCAAGGTAGACCATTTATTTACTTCTCTAGATCATTAGTATGTATTTTTTGCTGGAGATATATGTATCCAGCCCAACATAAGATCCTTACCTTCTTGAATAAATATAAAAAATAAAGAAATATGAAGCATATGCTATATAGAATTTGGGCGGCAACACCGCTTTCGATCACAACTCTAATAAGTAAGTCGACTTTTGATTTTTTTTCTTGGTCAAACAAGATTTTATGGATAAACTACTCTTCCTTAAAAGTGGAATTGTTTACAAAAGATATAACAAAGCCATCATGGCTAACAAATATCAAATTCTCAATTCCAAATCACCAAACAAATTCCCAAATCAAAATCATCGGTAATTTTAATAATCAACAAGAAAAGGCTAAAATCGATAAAGCGTATCTTCTATTTTCTAGATCAACAGAAAATCAGATTAGCAATAGTACTTCTGTACATCCAAATTCCCAATTCTAAATCAGTAAGCGATTCTCCAAATCCACATCATCAGTAATTTTCATAATCAACAAGTATAATCTAAATCGATTAAGCGTGTGTTCTGTACGTCATCTATTCCAAAGCAACAGGATATGAGATTAGCAACAAGTTTATTCGGTTATCATTTTTTATCAAGCTCATTTCGAATATTTCTTTTAAGAAATTAAAGTTTTAAAAAGATTTAACTATGTCTCAGATAATATGAAGAAATGATATATCTCTAAAATAACCCCAAATAATTTTCTTCCTTATATATTGTTAGTATTTATCTAGATTTGTAAAATTGTATTTGTGTAATGTTTTGTTTTGAAAATGATTAATAATTTTCCTGAAAGATATATTAAAAATTAGATAAAACACAGAAAACATAAAGAAAGATTAAAGGGAGAGCCGGAGAGGTTAATTGGAAATCATACACACAACATATTAGCCAAACCTTTAAACAAGTTTAAGTTGAAGTCAAATATTTTAGCCTGGCTATTAATAATGTAATCTGCTTAAACAGCTTAAGGCCGATACTTTTCAAAGATATAATTTGAAATGTTAATATACTTACAACTATTTGTTTATTATAATTAGCCGAAAAGTTGTCGTATGGGTTTTCAGAAACTAGAGCACCACTGTCGTACGAATTAGTGTAACAAATTCCCAACGTGGTTTGGTTTAGTCGGTACCACATTACGTATGATTGATAGCTTCAACAACGGATGACCCATCAAACATCTATACGGTCTACTAACTAAGTCAACCATTCTATAATTACTTTGAACATTCCTTAACCACTAACAATTGGATTTAGAACCTCTTTGCATATTCTTATATTAGTTTTAGTTTGTTGTCATCGAATGATTACATCTTTTTTAATGTACATAAATGTGGCATTACCTCGATCCACGTTTTGATCATATATCCAAATATATAGATAATGTGTGTTATAAAAAAAAAGCATAGTGTGTATTTTTTTAAATTGAACTTCGTTGAAATAAAGTTTACATCCGGAGCCCTTAATTTACCCCAATTGAGATGTTATGACTACAACATATTATATAATCAGGACACAAATTTACGAATTCTTTCTGTCTTTGTCACTAAAGCAGGAATGTGTTAGAACAATTAGAAAGTATATGGTTTTTCCAAATATTTTCTGTAAAGTATAGGAGCCAGCTATAAAAACATTTACCTTCCACTATTCATAGAGCATGCACATATAAATATAATCCCATGAAAAAAATACATTTTCGTGTCTTGGTAATCGAAGGATCAAAATCAAGCATGGCTCAAGCCACTTTTGTATTACTTCTCCTCAGTTTTTCCATCATATTCCTTTCTAATGCAGCCGGTTAGTTATTCAACTAATTAAGTAATTCCGTTTTGTAATTAACTCAATTTCATTTCTATGTAAGTGGATATATATAGACTGAATTTGAGTACTTTGATGGGGGCTTGGTTTCAGACATAAACATAGACTGTGGATCATCAAGCTCGCACATTGACGCGGACAACAGAACGTGGGTGGGAGACACAGACTTTGTAACCACCGGTTCCACGTCCACGTTTAAACCATTAGTCAAAACCGATGAATCTCTAACCACACTCCGGTATTTTCCCACGGGGGATACCAACTGTTACACCAACATTCCGGTCGATAAAGGTGGGAAAGTGTTGGTTAGGACGAGATTCAACTACGGGGACTACGACGGAGAGGGCACGGCTCCAAAGTTCGATGTGGTTTACGATGGAAAACATCGAGATTCGGTCGTGACGACGACAACGATCAGTGGAACTCGGTCGGAAGCGATATTTATACCGGAGAGCGGGAATACAAGTGTTTGCTTTTTCCGCACGTTTTTGAATGAATACCCTTTTGTGTCCACCATTGAAGTACGGAGGTTGGATGACTCCATGTACACCGATCTTGGTCCCAAGGAAGGTTTCATTCTCCAGAAACGTGTCGCCTACGGTAGGGAGAAGGAGTTTGTAAGGTAAACATATATAAATGTCTATATTTTACGAAAATATCATCAGATTTTAGCTACTAGGTGATTAATCATCTAAAGGAGAATTTTCTTCTGAATCGGAACATGTTCGATTGTTTCATTTACACATGCTAAAAGATGGTCTTGGTTTTGTACAATCTAGCTAGATGATTTAAAAACGGATTTCCTTTGGAAACTGTAAGTTGATCCAAAGTCAACGAACAACACATTAGCTAGCATTTCAATTGGTAAATAAATATAAGAAATTATCAGTTGTACGGTTCTCAACCGGTTGAATCCATCAAATTTAATTGTCTAAACTTTTTTTTAATAGTATCCAGCCCAACATAAAGTTTTCACCTACTTGAAAAAAAAAATAAGTATTTCCTTTTTAGTTAATTTTTTGTTTCAAAATATAAGTCAGTTCTTAGTTTTCAATTTAAATTTTTTAAAAAAAATTCCACTTTTATCCATAATTTTACAGCTAATTAATTAGTGTGAACACAAAAAAACAATTTATTAGTGTGAACACTTTAATTCATTTTTCAAAGTATATTAATAAAGGGTAAAATAGAAAATTAATTTATGTTCTTAATATGTGTAAAAAAACCTAAAACGATTTATATTTTGAAAAAGGAAGGAGTATTTATTTAGCAAATGCGTGACAAAATCACGTCAAGTTAATTTCTAAAGTTACATTTACATGCAGGTCCCCATTTGACCGTTATGATAGAATTTGGGCGGCAACACCGCTTTCGACCGGAACACTAACAAGTGCTGCCACTTCTATCAACACAACTGGTGCTGATAATCGACCACCCGAGATTGTCCTTCGTACCTCTTGGTCGAAGAAGGACATGGCTTTCTATGATATAACCCTACCTTTTTCCGGAGTAGCATTCTACATTGCCCTTTATTTCTCGGAACCACTAAGTCTTGCTTCCGACCAAAAGCGGTCTTTCTACGTTTACTATGAGAACAAGCAAGTGGGTCCAACTATGATTGTGCCACCTTTCGGGGCAGTGACGCAAGCTGTTCTGAGGGGTGTGGTAGCGACTAAGCTTCCCTATCTAACATTTAAAGCTACACCAGACTCTAATTTAAACCCACTCATCAACGCTCTCGAGCTTTATGTCATTAGCAATAGTGGTGGAAACGGGACGAATTCAACAAGCTCCGGCGGTGGAGGCAGCCCTAGCACTGGCGGTGGTGGCTCAGGCTCAGGTGGTGGTGGTGGTGGCTCAGGCTCCGGTGGTGGTGGTGGAGGCAAATCGGGTACTTATTCTTTTTCATAGTCTTATATGCTAATAATATGGTTCACTTTAGCAATTATTTTGGTTTAAATAGAATAATGCACTCTATCTCAGTATCTTGAATCGTGACAGCGACAATAAAATTTTCCGGTCTTATACCAATAATTTTTTTATAAGCAAAGCCTAAACTGAAAATTAAGATTTCTACTTTACATTTCTTTGTTTGAACGAGATTTTAGGAGGAAGCAGTAATGGAGATGGAGAAACCACGAAAACCAGTGAAGACGGAAAATCTGCAGGTTTATCAAATCAATTCTCAATATTCTAGTAGTTCATTAAATACTTAATGACTTCACCTTCTTAATTATTGGGCAAAATGATTTTTTAAAAGACCATTTTCTTTTATATTTTTTTTTTGGTAAAATGTAAAGAACATTTTCTTTTATATATATATATATATATATTAAAAAAAAGACAAATCCATTTTTATAACATTTATGAAAGCTTTTGAAATCAATGGTAGGAATTAGGTATATCCAAATTTTTAGCAGCTACATAATACAATAGTAATATAAAAACTCAATGTACGTATAATAAACCACACACTTTTTTTTTTTTTTTGCCAAAATGGTTTTAAAAATAAATCACACACTCATGTTGTGGAAATATAAAACTATTTGATCAATTCCATATAAAAGATAGATTAATGGTGATGGGGGAAAAATGGTAAAGAGAAGAAATCACGCGTTGTGAAACATTCAGATGACACGATTAAAATTATACAAACACTTCATTTGATAAAATCGATGTCCACGTAAAAAATAATGTGTATGAGAAAAAATCACATGTCACGTAAAATGAAAAGGATAAATCGTTTAAATAGACCGAAAATTCAGTCTCTGCTTGTTCGATGGAAAATGAAACCGACTTGTCATATATTTTCATAAATACTCTACTTTTAGTCAAATTAACAATTAATGGTTTTCTACACGTAGGAATAATTAGGATCATTGGTTCGAGTCATAATTTGTGATTAGTTTGTTTGTGAATTGAAGATTCTTCAGAGAAGTCCGGAGAGGAGAAAAGCAGCAACTTAGGTTTACCTCTTGGTATATCAATCCCGTCTTTTGCTTTTCTTGGAGCTGGTGGTTGGGCCGCCTGGAAGTTTTTCTTCAAACCCAAGCGCAATCGTGAATCAGAAAGTATATATCTATTTCTCCTTAATTTCTCATGACTATACATATCTCTTTTATCTGAAGATTCAATAGATAATAATTTTTTTTTTATTTGAAATTCTGATTTATTCGTTTTTACACTGGCTCTAATTTTTTATTTAAATAAAGTTTGATATGTAATGATACATTGTTGCAGGGCCACTCACCCAGAATAATTTTATTCATATTGGAGATAGTCAAACGGTTGTAGCAGGTCAAGTATTTAACCCAACACAGAAACAGACACAGACACAGAGTCCTTGACGACTTTTTTCTTTCTAATTATTGGTTGTTTGGATTGTAAGTTACTCTCTGGGTCTTTCTAATTATTGGTCTTTTCGTGAGATTTTTTTTTTTTTTTTTTGGGTTTAGTGTCAAGGGACTACTACCAACAAACAATTGTGAAAATTATCTAAATTTTGAGTCCAAATTAGAAATACAATTTGTATTTTTTTAAACTAACAATATCGTGAGGCTTGGCCAGCTTTTGGCATACTTCAATATTTAAGATTAATTAAATACTTATAACTTGCACTTGGCAAGTCATATGTCAAAACTCAAAAGTCAAAACCCAAAACCACAATTACTTTACCAAAAAATTTCATGAATTCCAAATTAGAAACTACGTCTAGACATCAAGTAGACACTCAAAGAGAGTTTGTCACAAAAGATTGTCACAAAAAAAAAAAAGATTGAGAAACATTTGGTAACAAGAAGATTGGCTTAATGATGCCTACGATAGTCTTTCGATGAGTACGAGGATTCGCGATAGTCACGATCCCGGGAAGAATGATGTCTAGATTTATCCGACGGCCCACCTGAATCCTTCAGTCTATCTCTTGACCTATGATGACTTCGATCTTTTCGTTTGTCTCTGTCCCTATCACTCTCCTTGTCGGAAGCTCTGCCTCTCTCTCTGTGAGATCTAACCCTGTCCCTCTCTCTACCTCGTTCCTTCTCTCTATCACTCTCTCTTTCTCTCTCTCCTACTTTACTTTTTCCCTCGCTCGAGTCTCCGACATTTTGCTGACTGTTTGACTCAGTATCGCTCTTCTTGGAATCTGCAGCGTTTTCAAGAGGCGTAGTAATCATTCCATCCTTAGACTCGTTATTAGCTGATCCGGGAGTACACTTCGTATCAACATCATTGCCAACTGCAGGTAACACATCCTGTAACACAAAGGGCAAAGTACTTCAAATCAAACTCTGTTTAAAGCAAAAGAAGATGCACTCAGATTTCACATTTTAATGAACCGACAAAATAAGAGAAAGAACGGCTCTGTAATCTGGCAAAAGCTATTCTGTTTGCTCCTCGAAGAAATGAACTCAACATGATATGGAAAAATAATCTCGTGCTTTTGCAGAAAGCACAAAACCTAGAATCCTAGATATCGATCTACCTCACCTTTGTAGCTGATTGAGCTTGAGGATTCCCGGATCTGCTGGAAAATGTAAAAGGCTTCCCATCCTTGCAAACGGAGATATACTGAGCCTTTGGAAGACTGTATAGATGAGCAAGAACTCTACACACTTCGTCAATACCGGATTTATCTGCATCAAATGCTTTCCACCAGGGTGGATTCTCTGGGAGAGGTACTTGAAACCTACGGGCCGCAGCATACACGACCCCACAAGCCACAACCTCACTTCTGAACCTTACACAAAGGGTTGTACGCAGACTGCATATATAGACATATCACGAGAGATCAAATAAAATATAAACAGATATTGAGAAAGCATGAAAATCATACTCAAATCATAATAGAAATCATAATAGAACGGTGCATATGTCAAGACATAGCTGGTATGCTGATTCAGCTGAAATGTCAGCTCTAAAACCTATTAATACAATGATGTACAGCTAACTATCAAGTAATTATATAAAATAAGATCTGTAGTAAAGTTTGAGGTTACCTGTCATTTGCCAAATTCCAAGCTTCTTGTCTCAATTCTGGAGGTGTTTCAAGTGTGGCAAGGTAGTTTGAAATGAACTTGTGAGGATGTTCAACATGACAAACAAAACCCATCTCTTTCAGTATATGTCTCTCGGTTCTGCTTAATTCAACTTTCAACTCAGAGAACTTCTGCAGATAATCAACAAGTGGGAAAAGAATGAGATACAAAAAAAAAATAAACAAACAGCACTTCCAAAGAAAGATGTTCCAATGAATTAAGAAAAAGATATAAAAGAAATGACACAGACAGACATGAAAAATATTCAATTGGTCAAGTAATAGTGTAGTAGGCGTACTAACCTTGGAATACAAATCCAGATGATCTAACGGCAAATTCTCCCTACGGCACTCCATCCTGTGGAATACAATGATGACCTGTCTGGCTTTCTTAGGGTTTTCTTCCAATTTTGATGCAAGCCAGACACAGCTCGCAGCAACTATCTGTAAAAGGTAAACTCCAAAATCATTATGGTAACAAGCAGGAGTGTACACAGCAAAATAATGTACATACTGAAACTAAATCCACTGGCATTCCTAAGTTTAAAGCCCCTCAAGACACAGAGATAGAAGAAAGAAAAGAACACAAGTACCTTTACATCAAATTTGGCAAGAGACTTCTTGCAATAGAATCGGTGGAAAAGAACCTGCCCAGTAGCCATAACTGCCTGGGGTCTAAAGACAAAGGTTAAGAAAACCACAGATTTGTGACACTTTTTTTAGCTTTGCAAGAAATTTGAGACCAAGGAAAAGGATACAGTCTTAGCAATATCCCACCCTCTTGGATGAGATCACATCCATAGATTCTAAGAGTGGTTTCGGTTGTTTCATCTATCCCATCTTTCCTGGAAGGTGAGGTCTTTATCTGCTCGTCTGTAAGGTAGAAATTGTCGATTGCAGTGTAAATCATCGATTCGCTTAGCTGTTACCATCCAGAGAAGACAACAAGACAAGTAGAATCAGATTCCAACACAGACAAAAACCTTTCTATCCTTGCGCATGAGTAAGCAACAAAGCTCCAGCACAATAAAGAATCAAACTTCTTTAACTAATTTCTATCAAGATCATAAAACCACCAGTAATTCTCCAGTGTTGGATTAATTCCTAATTAGATACAGCAGTAAAGACAAGAAACTTCAATAGCTTTATTAGAACGAAAATGATTTGAGATGTACCGGAAATCTGAGAGATACGGCGGCGAAACAAACCCACGGGGAGGCGATTTTGAGAGACGAAAGGAAGGGACACAATCGGAGTCGAGGACGATGGGAGGTCGAAGATGGAATATTAGGAAAGATTAGCAAAAAAAAAAAAAATATACAATAAGAATTGGGCCTGCTTTAACTGGGCCATAATTGGGCCTTGTGAGTTAAAAAAAGGATATATATTAACAAAAAAAAAAAATCTGGATGATTTTCCAACATGCGTATAGAGCGACAAAACAAAGTTAGCTTCCTCCACTTCCTGGTCGGTCTCGCGCACTGAGACGCGAAGCAAGAACAATCAATACTAATCCAAATCCAAATTCCCCGATTTCTTCTGAACCAAAACCCTAAAACTCACCTACCTTCTTCTTCTTCTTCTCGCTTGAGAGAGATGGCCTCTTCGATACCTCTAAAGCCCACGAACCTTCTCCTCTCGTCTTTCTCCACAAGCAGAGTCCTCCATTTCCGCCCCTCCCGTTTCAGCCACAGACCGTCGTCTTGTCGCCGGACTCTGGTGGCTCAATTCGGGTTCAGACCAGGTTCGTTTCCCGACCCAGGCTTGTCTCTCGATTTGATCAAGGACCATGCCGAGAATCTTCTCTACACCATCGCTGATGCCGCCGTTTCGTCCTCTGACACCATTGAATCCGTCGCTGGCACTACTACCACAAAACAGAACAGTGATTGGTTCTCTGGTATTGCCAATTACATGGAAACTGTTCTCAAGGTAGAAAGAAACTTCTCTTTTTTCTTCTTTCTTGAGAGAATGGATTTATCTGCGTAATTGAGTTTGGTTGGGTTTGAATTGCAGGTTTTGAAAGATGGGTTATCAACTGTACATGTACCTTATTCATATGGTTTCGCTATCATTCTACTCACCGTGCTTGTTAAGGCAGCTACGTTCCCATTGACGAAAAAACAGGTTTTCACTTTGTTTCTATATCTGCTAAAGCCAAGATTCATTCGTTTATGGTTGATTTTTTTTAATTGAAATGGTGGTTTATTCTCTACAGGTTGAATCTGGCATGGCCATGAAGTCGTTGCAGCCTCAAATAAAGGCTATTCAAGAACGGTATGCCGGTGATCAGGTAAAAACCATTTCTTCGATACTGCGACATGGATTTTCTTTTTGCTTTCTCTTGTAGAAATTAAAAGCATTTCCTGATGCCTATCCTAAGTCATAGTTGCATCAATCATTAGTTCATAGGTGTAAGGAAAAAGTAGGTAGAAGAGAGTAGCTATTGGTTTCATCATTATGGGGTGATTACTAAAGATTATGGCTTTACTTTCTGTGAGTGTGGCTTTACTTTCTGTGAGTGTGGCTCTATTGTTGAAACAAAGAGTTTCCTAATATTTGTTTATCTTTGCAGGAGAAAATTCAGCTTGAAACTGCCAGATTGTATAAACTTGCTGGAATAAATCCACTTGCAGGTACAGTTTGCTGCTTCAGATTTCCGTTTGATTTTCCATTTGAGATAGCAGTTAGGTCAAAAATGGGATTTCTTTCGTAATTTCTTCTAGCATGTAATTAAGCTATATTTTCATTTTCTAATAGGCTGCCTCCCCACACTAGCCACAATACCAGTTTGGATTGGGTTATATCGAGCTCTCTCAAATGTTGCAGATGAGGTACATGCAGAAAATTTTATCTTTTTGTTTCTGTAAGGGCCTGAAGATTTTATTCTGACAACTTGTCTGTTGGATACTTGTTTCTAACTAAAAGGGACTTTTAACGGAAGGCTTTTTCTGGATTCCATCACTTGCCGGTCCAACAACTGTTGCTGCAAGACAGAGTGGCAGTGGAATTTCATGGCTGTTCCCTTTCATTGTAAGTATCAATCTTGAACCTCGGTCCTCGATATTAAGCAGTGTGGATATTTTGAAATGGAATCTAGACCAGACCCTTAGTTCTTGTTAACTATTATTCACGTTACTTACTCGAGCTTATAAACTGATTGAAGATGACCTGAATCAAGAGGTGTTGGAACTCATTGCTGATGTCTACAAATTTCCATTTTATTTCTCAGGAGGGACACCCACCTCTCGGATGGTCAGACACATTAGCATATCTTGTCTTACCTCTATTGCTCGTCTTCTCTCAGTACCTCTCCATTCAGATTATGCAGTCCTCGCAATCGCAGGTATAGCATCTTCTGGGATATGTGATAGTCTAGTTCGTAGTTACCTGTAGCTTGAAAGATAAGCTGGTTATGAAAATGTGTGAACTGGTGAATGTCCCTTAAGTTCATTCAGCTAACCAAATTCAACCGACAATGAATCCTTTATGTAACATAGAAACTTAAGGTGCACATATCATCATATCTTTTTTCAGAGTAATGATCCAGCCATGAAGAGCTCACAAGCGGTGACGAAGTTTCTTCCGCTGATGATTGGCTATTTTTCACTGTCAGTTCCTTCTGGTTTAAGTCTTTATTGGTGAGCATCAGCAACTGGTTTTGTGTATTTTCGTGGTCTTTCAGCTTTCCACTTGCTTTTTCTCTAAGCTTGAGGAATGCTCTTGCAGGCTAACAAACAACATTTTGAGCACAGCACAGCAAGTATGGCTTCAAAAGTATGGTGGTGCCAAAAATCCGATGGAGAAGTTGTCTAATTTGGTCATGAAGGAAGATAAAACTCAGAAAGCTGAGAAGTCTATTTCAGAACCGCTAGTTCAGAAGTCTGTTTCAGAACTGAAAATACCAAGAGAGAAGAGTGGTGAAAAAGTGACTTCAGAAGGGCCTAAGCCTGGTGAAAGGTGACTAAATTTTCTGAAACCCCTCATTCGTTACTAGATCCTATTTGTTTTATTAACACATCGATTTAATTCCCAGGTTTAGGCTGCTCAAAGAGCAAGAAGCAAAGAGACGTCGAGAAAAAGAAGAGGAGAGGCAGAAAGCTGAAGCAGCTCTGTCAAATAAAAATACAGACAGCGCACAGGAACAGGATGGAAAATCTGATACAGTTGATATCACTGAAGGAGAAAACCAAAAAACAGAACTTTCTGCAGTGGAAGAAACAGCTGATGGCTCTGTCGCTGTGAATGGGAAGCCATCCAATCAAAAGGACGAGACTACGAATGGGAAATTCGGCGTTGGCCATGAAACAGAACAACACCATTCTCATGAAACATAGAAGAGGTAAACACCAAAGGCGAAGTCAAACAAAGAAAGATGAATTGATTTGTATAAGACAGGAGGAGGAATCTCATAACTCGACCGTAGCCCCTCTGCAACAAAGTTCAAAGTCTATAGATCTTAAGAGTGGGAAAGGCTGGTCTTTAAGGTTTAGAGTTTGTGCAGAGACCATAGGAAATGGCCAAATTGGTCTTTGTAAGTCATAAAAGCTTGATTCATGTTCCTTACATTCTCATGCATAAGAAGAAACACGTTTATCCACACTGATTTTGCTTTAAGCCTCTAATAATTTTACTCTTAACTATGAGACCAGTCTGCATGTAATCATCATCAGGCACTGAGGCCTTTTTCACTTTGTCTGCATTGGTGATAGCTCGATGGCAATGCTATTTGGTTCAGTGTCGAAAAACACACAAAGTGGGATAAAATCAAAATCACGACGCAAAAAAGATCGAGGATGTTCATAAAATAAAAGCTTGCAAGAGAAAGGGAAAATGATGTTAAACAGTGTCAAAAGCTAATAAAAAATAGCAAACCAAAACACCCAAGAGGTCAAAGTGAAGTACAAAGGTTGCAGCAGCACATCAGTATTCAGAATTAGAGATGACATCGTCGATCTTTAGAATCATCTTAACGACTTGAGTTGCGAGTAAAATCTGCTGCTGCTTCCCGATCAATGTTTCAAACACATTTTGCTCCCTCATATCGTTTGTTCCCACGTCATTGCAATCTATCCCATAGAAGGGAATATTCTCCTATTTCATAATATACCCAATTTTTGTTAAGTCACTGAACAAACAAAATCAATGGCAGAAATAGATAATGAGCCCATCAATTACTTACCTTAATTTGCTGAGATTTAACCGCAGAGAGTGTCTCAATGGGCTGTAATCCACTGTTCTCTGCAAGAGCCATAGGGACAGAGTCCAAAGCTTCTGCAAATGCCCTAATTGCATACTGCATAGACGAATTTTTTAAATATTATGTCTTTGGCGTCGAGTTATGTAGAATAAATTATTTTACTTGAGACTCAAAGATAAGAGAGAAGATCTTCTTTTACCTGCTCAACGCCAGGGTATTTATCAGCAGCTGCATCAACCGCAAGTGAGCATGCAATTTCAGCTGCACCACCTCCATATACAATTGATTTGTTGCGGATGAGATTCCTAGCCACACACAGAGCATCGTGGATACTACGCTTCGTTTCTTCGATCATCATTTTGTTACCTAAACCATACCCCGTAATAAATTGTTCAATCAGTCAGTCAAATATCTTTGTCCACCATATACTTCAGTAAATCCACGTTTCTCTCATCTATTAAAAAGTCAAAGCAGTGTTGTTAACAATTACAAAAGAAGACGCTATGAGTACCTCCACGGATGAAAACAGTGACAGCTCTCGAGTTCGCACAGTGCTCAATATACAGCATTCGTTCTTTAGTTGTGCCAAATGATTTTTCACGAACCAAGCCAGCCTAAACATATGAAGAAATGGAGATTCAATGGTCTGATTAAAGCATATTTAAACTCCACTCATTTCACCGGCACAACCTACTGAAAGTGAATAGTACCTTTCCTAACTTCTCTGGGGTCAACTCCTGGAATCTTGGAACAATTCTGCCGCCTACATAGAGACAAATATCCTATCAGCTCACTGGTTAAAAACACTAACAGTAGATACTTGGCACAATTAACTTACCTGTGGCTATTGCGATAAGTTCTAATTCAACACCCCCAACCCATCTGACAGCAGGCAAATTCCTGTGCATCAATAGATGGTTTGCCTCATCATCGAATCCCCATTGGCAAATAACCAGTGTAGCACCAACATCCTGAAATTAAGGCACAATAATCATACATAAATCATATCATAAAATGTATTGCGGTAACTAATCTCCTGTCAAAAGATAAACCTTCTCCAGTAGTTCACTCAACATCCAAATGATAATGAAATAAAAAAACCTACCTTGCACTTTTTAACCATCTCATCAAAATATTGCTGCTCTTGCTTGCGCAATGTCTCAAACTTCTCCACTGTGTCAATGTCCACCTTATGCTTAGTCTTCGGCTTCGGAGGCTCAAAGGGGCAAGTCAAAATGGCAATGTGGGCATCTTCAATTTGCTTTGGCATTTGTGGATGGCTCATGTCTTTGTCAACCAGTATTCCATATATAAGCTCAGTGTCCTCCAACTTTCCCCCGACTTTACCCTCTACTTTGATCAGATCTAAGTTAACATCCCTCCTCTCTAAATCAGCAACAGCAAGAACTGCTTTTACGGCAATCTCAGCTAAACTGCGCTTGCATCGATTCACACTGTCGCAAAATGAGCAAAACAAAAAAAGTTAGAACAATATTCTAGAAAACCATATAAAAAATATATGCAACAACTATTGAAAGGTAGATCAAACATTAAAAGGAATATTACATCTTCGAGGATAGAGTAGTCATGCATGTTTGAACAAGTGGCTCGAAATTGTTAACGTCGAATTCAAACTTTTGAGCTATACGCTCCAGGTGCTCAACTGCGACTCTAGAAGCCATCTCATATCCTTCAGCGATACGGATGGGATGAATTCCCCTATCTAATTGACGTTCAGCTTGCTCCAGAAGTGCACCAGCCATGACAACAACACCTGTTGTGCCATCACCAATCTCATAATCCTGACTCCGTGACAGCTCAACCATAAGTTTTGCAATCTGATTGTCAACATCCATTTGCTCCAAGATGGTTGCACCATCGTTTGCTGGGAACACGAAATTGGAGAAGTTATAAACAAAAAAAGCAAAAAAAAAAAAAAAAAAAATGCTTCACAGAAAGAGATGTGATTACTTAGGTGAAGCAACGGTTACAATTTACACATCTAGAAAAACTGCTAAGTGAAATGAGCTCTGTTTCAATAGCAAGAATGAAAAAAGGTGTACACAAAAGAGCATCGTTTGTTCAAAGAAACCATACTTTGCATATTCGGAAGATGAAAAATGCGGCTCGATACAGTGGCAAAATGCTATTTTGAACAGTTAATTCAACGCTACCAAATGAGGAATCCAATAGCAGTTAAGCTGCAGAAGAAACTACTTGACCTGCTCAGAAACTACTTGACATAGCGAATCGATTTACAAAAACTAAACAGCGAAAACCTAGATGGATCCATTCATCAAACTGCTAAACCGACACGCAGGTAGACAAGAATAAAGAGTAAAAATCCGAAAAGCAGATATGAGATCAAAAGGTGAGAAACGAACTGATGGTGACGTCTCCGTCAGGTCCCTGAAGCATCTTGTCCATTCCCTTAGGTCCGAGAGAGGATCGAAGGATCCGAGCCACCGCTTTGCCAGCAGCAATATTGGCTTTCTGAGCATCGATGCCTCTAAGACGCGTCTTTTGATCTTGCTCCCTCAGTATAATGAACGGACGCCCGAACTCATCGAACGCCAGCGCCATTTTAGAGCTTCAACTTTCCTCGATCTGATCCAAGTTACAGATCTTGGGTTTTTTTTCTCACTGCACTGGTTGAAATGGGGGAAAACCGAGAAGAAGGAGTGTCTCGAAGCTTTAAGAGCGAAAATGATTGTGTAAAACCCTAACTCGTTGTTGATGGCAGAATCGTAAATCAAAACTGATTCAAGGGCCTGATCAAATATTTGGGCTTTCAGCTTAAAGCCCATTTTAATATTGAAACATCTTTGATACATGAATGTTCATGCCTCATGGCAGTATTTTTGTTTTATATATCATGCAACTTCGAAGTTCAAATATTCAACATATTCTCATATCTCATAATTATAAATCACCAATTAAAGAATCATGTCATAACCGATTAATGTTTTGGTCTTTGTCTTCAAATTTATTAAGAATTTTGTTTTCAATTCCAAACTACCTTCCCAAGTTTTTCTTCTATTGGTAAAATGTTAAATAACCTTCCCAAGTTTACAAAGAATACTTAGAAAAAAAAGTTACAATTCTACTTATGTTCTTTGTTTTATAAAATCACACTTTAATTAACTCGGTTTTAGAAAACGATTACATGCATTCCTTTTACACCAGTCTGCGAGTGTGATAACCTAAAATATCCATATTGTATACGTCGTCTTATTTATGTTCGTCAACGAAACAAAAAATTATCGAATGAAATGGTTTCCTATTTTATCAACTAATTTGCATGTTACCATTCAAAACCTGTATCATAGCAATTCCATTTTTAGGTTCTCCAGTCGATCTACATTGGATTGAACGGTAATCCTCTATTGTCGTTCAAACGTTTACTATTTTATTTTTGTCTCAATCACAAAAAGACAGCTATATATACACAATCAAACCCATCTCCTCCCCAATCATCACAATCTCTAAACCTCAAACCCTAAAAACAAATAACTAACGTAAAGAAGGAGCTAGAGAGAGAAGAATATGGGTCGCCAAAACGCTGTCGTAGTCTTTGGCCTCGTGTTCTTGGCCGTCCTCGGCCTCGCCGCAGCTGCCTCCTCTCCATCTCCTTCAGCGTCGCCATCCAAAGCACCGGCTGCCTCCAAAACCGATCAGGTCGAAGCTCCAGTCACCAACGACCAAATCGGAACCACCGACGACGGTTCAGCTGCTTCTCCTGGTGATGGTGACGTGGCAGTGGCCGGTCCTTTAGGAAGTGACTCCTCTTACGGTAACAATGGACCCTCAGGGCCAGAGCAAATGCCCGAAGATATGGGCAACGGAGCGGCCGCTCTTGGTGTTTCTGCCGTTGTCGTTGGTGTTACATCCATCGCCGGTTCTTTCTTGTTTTTCTGAGGTGTTTATTTAATTTATTATGAGAATGTTCTTTTGAAAGAAGAATAATTTATATGTATGGATGATTGTGATGACCATCTTGTTGTATCTTGTTTCTCAATTGTTGCGAGAAACGTTGTATTCGTAATAAAACTGAAAAATAAAAACGAAAGTTTCTATTAGCAAAATGATAAAACACAGAGTTACGGATTGAGTGGTATATCAATTGTTGACGTTTTCTCCAACACATATTAGCTAAATAGTTATGTAGAGTCGTCCATTGAATACGTTTTTTGTTTCAAAATGCTTATATTTGTATCATACAATGTGGGACGGTGAAAAAGAGCATATTTTACATCCCAATGGATGTATAATTTAAGATATCATTGTTTTTGGCAGTGGAATTATTGTAAAACATGTAAATTAAATTTTAGGTGGTTGGGAACAAAGTTTTAATTTTTTAGCCAATCTATCGTAAATGACTAAATCTTTTTTTTTTTAAACGTATATATGTCGCTATGCGATATATGTTTTTCGATGGAAATTCAGTTTAAAGCGTCGATAAATATTGTGCTTATTAAAAAAAAAACTAATTTACATCATAAGGTAGTGAAATGTTTTAAAATCTGAACTGGAATGAGGACTGTAATCTTCACTTTCTTATTCAAAATAAAAGAGCTAGTTACTAACTACCCATCTTAATCTTCTACACTTTTTGTTGATTCTACTAGTATTAGATATCTAATATGACACTGTGACATTGAATAAACACTGAATTAAATATCGTTTGAGCTCTATAAAGGCTAATATAAAGGGAACAGATTTGAAATACTTCATTTTTAAAACTTCATAAATCTATGAAAAGTTCCTGAACAAAAGCATTAGGAAGTCTTTGTAAATTTCATAAATATTTTCATGTATATAGACTTTGACGAATGTCTGCGGTGGATTTTAAGGTCAAAATTCTATGTAGTTATCACAATGTCATCATTATTTGATAGTAAACTTTCCCGCCGCTATTTTGTAACATGTTGATGATGATGACAATTTTAAAATAGAGTTTTAACTCCAAAACAAAAAAATAGAGTTCTGAAACAACGGAATGTATGTCTGACTGTCTCCATTTGTCAATTACATGACAGCGAATTCCAGTTTTGGATGAGGTAAACATTGTGTTATTCTTCTAGTAAGAAACTTAAACAAAAATCTTGTTAAGTAGACTGCAAATTACAAACATAAGGTCAGTCATTCAAACGCCATATATATATATATATATATATATATATATATACTATGTACTATTTCCACGAAATTAAATCGATCAACCTAATATCAAGGATTAGTTTTCTCTTCACCGAAAAAAAAAATATTACATAATGGAATTTGTGGTCACACACCAGCTTCTTGGTTAGAGCAGCTCCATCAGTAACTCAATATAGGTTTCTTAGGAATTCTTTATTAATTTTTTGAGGAGTTGATTTGGGTTAAGAGATTTATGTTATTTTGTTCTCCATTAGTGAACCCTTTCCATTTTGCATTACCAGATTACATCACACAGATGCAACTATTGCTGAAAGAAAATATGAACCAGATGCCCTTACGCTGGTTTGCATAATTTCATTAAGCATTAGAAAGAAACAAATCCGTTTTAAACATGTTCCGACTAATGTTAATGACAAATTGACAACGCTTGAATCAGAAAACCACAAAGCAAAAAAACCCACTTCTAATAAACGAATAGAAAGTCGTTTCGAGCTCGGAGAGGGCATGCATAAGGGTCTCAAAAACGTACTTCCCGCCAAACTTTCCGAACCGACCGAACGAATCGAGTCGTTGCCACAGGGTCGAATCAGATCAAGCGGCCTTTGTCTTCTCCGCCTCCTCTATGCGAACAGCTGGGTCCTTTGAGATGGTGCAGGAGATAGAGAACGACGAAGACGACCGTGAGCAAGATAATGGCAGAGGCGTAAATTGGGAGAGTTTGACAAAATTAAAATTGAAAGACCAATCACCTTCCTCCATGTCGCCAAAGAGACTGTCTCCTGCACCTCTTAGCTAAGGATTAATCCGTCAAAATTTTTGGATTTTCCATTTAAATTTAATTGATTTTGCTTAGGAAACTGGGCTGAAAAGTGGGTACGAAACTCTAATAGAGCTGGTCTTAGGTTTGGGGATCTTCCACTTTAGAAGCTCAGCGCGGGACCCATCAACGAGTGAAGAAAGAGCCGTACGCGTAGTGCATACGGTACAACTATATTGATGTTTTACTCCTTTGGTCCTAACACCTCTTTTCTTTTTCTTTTGCTTTTTCTTTTCTCTTCGATCTCTTTTCTCTCTTTAGGATCTCTTTAGTCTTACTTATCAAAATATAACGACGTATTTTGGGTATTCCAATCAAGCATCATATATCTAAAGTTAAACACCACTCTTATGTCATCTTGTCATACTTGATAGAGAAAGTTCCACAATTACTAACCGTCCGGATATTCTGTATTCGCAAAATTCAACGATCTAAAAGATAAGGTTTCCAACGAGCATGTAAAAAATGCCAATTAATATCCAGGTAATGATGATGTTTGTTGATGAGTTATGCAATTTAAAAAAAAAGATCCAAAAAGACCAAAAAAAAAACATATGAGTGCTCTTCGAATTTGACAGCTAGAGAAGATATTTAATTTTGAAGAGTGTTGTTCTTTAACGAAAATTATTATACTTCTCGTTTTAAGTTAAATAAACAAAAGAAATAACTACCAGCAGTTTCACTTTAACTAAAGCTGAAGATGGATAAATTATGATTAAACAAGATCAGCTGTTTGTCAATTTTTAGGTGTAGTTATGGGTTTTTAAGACTCGTCAATCTTTTCCCAGTCTAATCATTTGCAAGAGTAGTTTGCTATTGATAGCCCTGGTTTTTAACCCAATTACTATATTGTAAGTGAAATAGTGCATGTTGAAATCACAGTAGAATAAACAAGAAGTTAAACAATTATTAAGTTAAAAGTAAAAAAAATCAACAACCTTTTCGATGTAATGCTAAAATTAAAAGTCTAAGTTCATTTCAAAGGGGTAAAACATGGCTTCTTCGAACAAGAATCACTTTATCGACCTCGCCTTCTCCAAGAAGCTCCATGACCTAAATCATGTCCGGAGCATCGTGTTAGTGTAAGGAAGACATGTAAAGAACCTAAAGTTGTTGTTATTTAGGTTATCAGGTCTCTCTTTTGTAGGTCTGTATCAAGTTGGTTTCGGATTACTCGATCTATTTTTTATTATTATTGTTTAATTTGTGAATGTCAGCATCAACTACTCTTGTTGGTGTAGACAAATGAACATATTCTTGTCTGTAATTATGATATGATAGGCCATATGGCAAAGTGTAGCTCGTGTAATAACCAATGTTTTCCCTTATTACAAATCAAATTCTACGTAGGTTCTTGGAAACATATATATGAGGAAGACGCAAGAGCCTTCCTAGTTCCAACTAATCTTTCACTATTCTTGGCTGGCAATCTCCTCTCATCGCTGCTTCCCAGTCCACTCCTGATAAAGACCGACCTTTCCTACTTTTAAAAAAAAATTTCTATGTATATACAATTTAATTATTTATCCATTTAGTTACGGCTATTAAAATATGGCTAAGTTTTGACATTGACCCCATTCATTGTCGCTTTTTTAATTAGCAACTTTCCAGCAACGATGTGACCAATTTCTTATCATTTTCGTCCAAGTTCCCATTCCTGCACTCACACCCATTTATTACTACTATTGATCACAATTATTCAACACACACAAAGTGCGTCTACATCTTCATAAACCTCATTGTTTAGCTGATTGATAATACAATTTGGCTCATAATTAAAATTGGGTCCTACTCTCTCCTTGACCCATGCGCTATCTTCCAACCTCATCAATGCTGTAACGCAAACCCATTATCTCTTTCCTTCTTTTCCCTTTGATTTTGAGTTCTTGTTGTTACCCCCACAAAGACACCATTGGATATTTGACTATTTTCTCTAAAATTACCATAATGACCTCGGACGCCTATAAGTACAAAATGTACAATCTTTGAGTTAAACACCCAAAAAAAAGGAATTAACTAATATAAGATGGAGACATTCGAAACACCGCTCTTGTACTTACCTGCCACGTGGCGATATTCTCTCTGCACGACGCGCTTCTATATATATATAGATTTACATATCTACCTATATCTTCATCGTCTTCACTCACACACACACAGCGTATTCAAGTCAGAGACAGAGAAACTTTAACGAAATGAGGGTTATTTCATGGCTATTCGATTCAGAAGATTCTTCACGGAGAAGACGAATTCCGAAATCTCCGAAGCATTTGGATTCCGGCGATAGCGCCACGTCATCGTCATCATTGATCGAAGCCACAGGCTCTACCAGTCTCCATAGCAGTCTCTCTCTCCAGACTCTCCCTTCCGTTCCCTCCCTTCAGAAAATCCCCTCGGACACTCTCGCCGTCACCGTCTCTCACTCTGTTACCTCCTCGTTTAAACTCCGTGAACGGAGTCTCCCCGTCACTTGTCTCGCCGTCAACGGCGGTTATCTCTTCGCCGTATCCGGACACGAAGTTAGCATCTACGATCGCGCCATGTGCGCTCATCTCGATACTTTCAACGGCCAGGATCCTTTCTCAGGAACCGTTAAATCTGTCGGTTTCTCCGGCGAGAAAATCTTCACTGCTCACCAGGACGGGAAAATCGGGGTTTGGAAATTAACGGCGAAAAGCGGTTACAAACAGTTAACGACGCTTCCCACGATAAACGACCGTTTGAGACGTTTTGCTCTCCCCAAAAACTATGTTCAAGTACGCCGTCACAAAAAACGTCTCTGGATTGAACACGCTGACGCCGTTACCGCTCTCGCCGTTAATAACGGATTCATTTACTCCGTCTCTTGGGACAAGACTTTGAAAATATGGAGAGCCTCCGATCTTCGTTGCAAGGAATCAATCAAAGCCCACGACGACGCCATTAACGCCGTTGCCGTATCTGCTAACGGCACCGTTTATACTGGATCCGCGGATAGGCGTATCCGGGTTTGGGCGAAACCCGCCGATTCGAAACGCCACAAGTTAGTCGCTACATTGGAAAAGCACAAATCGGCGGTTAACGCTCTGGCGTTAAACGACGACGGTTCGGTCTTGTTTTCCGGTTCGTGTGACCGGTCGATTTTGGTTTGGGAGAGAGAAGACAGCTCCAATTACATGGCGGTTAGGGGTGCTTTGAGAGGACATGACAAAGCAATACTTAGCTTGTTCACCATCTCTGATTTGCTCCTCAGTGGATCTGCCGATCGGACGGTCAGGATCTGGCAACGTGGAATCGATTCCAGTTACAGTTGCTTGGAGGTTCTCTCCGGTCACACGAAACCGGTTAAGTCACTAGCAGCGGTTACGGATTCGGAGTTAGACGGTGTCGTTTCGATCGTTAGTGGAAGTCTTGATGGTGAGGTTAAGTGTTGGAAGGTCTCCGTCAGCAAACCGGATAATTCGATTTACACTGGTCTTGTTTTATGAATTTTTTTTTTCTCAATTATTACTTTTTTATTTTTTTTGCGAACGACAATTTGGCGTTTTTTTTACCGTCACTTAGAAAACAAGAAATTGGTGCCCATACGTGACAGAAGAGCTTTATTTATTTGTGTGTTATCATGTAAGAAAACGAGGTTATTGATAATGTTTTAAGAATAATATGGTCATTAATTGTTAGATAAATTTAATAAAAATTGGACAAGTGGGCATATACCTGCACATGGTCTTTAGGCGTAGAAATAAAGATGCCGCCTGTGCCACCTTCAAACCTGGGGGAATCTATGTGGTGATATTTGATAAATTTATGCCTATGTTCTATATTAGATTCCTAAGAGTTTCGTGATTGGTTGTCGGGAAAAATATATACTCTTAACTTATATTGTTTCAACTGTTTTGAAAGAGAATAAGATCATTATGATATTCGCATGCAATAAAGTAAGATTTATCGAGACAAATATTGGGTTACTCCCAAAACAATAAGTCAACAGGCCCGTGAATGTGGATAACGTATTATAACTGTGCTAACTTTATAATACAGAAAATATCATTTGGTGTATTTGTTAAACAGAAGTGAGATTTATCAAGACAAAAGGTACTTTATTAGTTGTTTCATCTCTACTCTCTAGTGTTCAGGTGAGTTTGAGAAGATAATAGCATAATATAACAAGTTTTAATATTGAAGAAACTAACTAAACCATAACATGTAGTATACTGATTTGTATTCTAATATTATTAGTATATCACATCTAAATTTAGATGACGTATATTCCTAACCAAAAAAATTATTGAAGGAAATTATGAGTATGTGATGTGTATCGTCCAAATCTGAACTTGTTATATCAATATATTCATATCAGTATAATTATTACAATTTACACATTTACTCTGAATATTAGTATTGTTTTTTTTTTACGATTTAGATTTCACTGGTTTATCAGTACAACATTTCGTCGATCAGATATTGCATTTGTGTAGTCCTTAATTTTGCTTAGTTTGTGGATGACTTCTTAGCTTTTCATAAAACTCCATTAATTCATTCCAGCTAAGTTACAGTTGATGAAATCATTATATGAACGAGTTTAAAAAATGAGATCGTACAGTGGAGGTCGAATGGTAAAAGACTAAAAGGTTTTAGACCTCGAACTTAAGTTCGAATCATTCAATTAATTTCACTCATCTGTTTACCATCACATACTTTTAAAGCTTTAAAAGCATTCGAATTATTCAATTACTTTCACTCATCTGTAATCCATTAGCTGATAATAATATGCAAAGCAAAACATCTCCCTTTCATAGGTTGACAACAAAATGGGAATTAATAATCTTTTTAGCATAAAACAACAAAGTAGCAATCATATCAATTCAAATGAAGCAAAATACTTAGAAAAACTAACGAAAGAAACATATTTGGAGAGGCCGACAAAGAAAACAAGGGCGACTTAATTATAAAAAGGGACAAATATGGATCACATAAAATGCAACTTGTAAATTTACAAAAAATGCATAATACTATACATTTTATTTATTATTTTTGGTCAAACAAGTACAATTTTAATTAGTTAGCATGTAACATTTTAATTTTACGGATTCGTTAGCAAGTACTATCCTGTTACTGTAAAATGTCTAGCAAAGTTTTTGTGTATTGCTCAATCAGAAAGTACATATGTCCAACTCTGCTTCACTTGATCAAAAACAGATTATGTTAAGTGGTAAAAATTCAGTGAGCACCACATCACTTAGAGTTTCAACAATCATTATATGCATATTAAGGCTGACTTTTAATCTTTTCAAAGTCCTCGACATCTTCTTCAAACAAAACCGAGGTCACTCAAAGGGAACACATCTTCAACATGACAACATATGCTGATATGCACGAGACAAGCTAGAACACGTCTTTTGTGTTAATTAAGATCCGGCAATATATATCCCCTCTCTGCATATGGCGACTCGATCAAACAAAATGTCGACTAAGACTAGCGAATTTATCACTATGACATTTTTGATTATGTGCATTTCAAGTCACACAAACACCCGTATATCATAGTAGCTAGGTGCTTCTCAAAATAGAGCAATTCATAGGTCTTACCACAATGCAAATCATATGGTGACGACGAACTTTATAGTTTACTTTCATTATATAAAGTATATATGTTTTTGACACACTTATATATGAGTTTTTTTTTTTAACACTGATCAGATATTGACGATATCTAGCACTCTCAATATTTTACCATTTTATAACGGTCCACACTCTTCCAACCACTATTCGATTACTATTTTTGATGATAATTCCGACTGCTGTGACCATGTTCGACTAAAGTCACTCCGACGATTTTGAGTAGTCAAAAATCGGTGTTTTCTTTTCAACCAGTCTCGGATGAAAAGAGAGGACGGAATCTGAAATATTTCATGTAGTATGTTTTATTACATTTCTATACTATTGAGATATACAATCAGACAAATACATACTGTCCATCACACAATGTTAGAGACATGTAATGAGAAGACCCATCTTGTGTGACAAAAGTGGACAAACTTGACACATACCTTGGTACGTGTACGTGACCGTGAAGATGAAAAGTAGACATACAAGTTGCCCAACTTGAGCTCGTCTTATTACAAAAAAAGTCCCTTCTCATGATGATTTACTCCTTTTTTCTATTCACAGATAGATATTAATCTTACAATCGCGATCAGGTGGCCCAACCTTTGGGGTTTATTCTTTATTTAGTGGAGAAGATTGCTTTCCGATTACGACCTTAGACCGTAAACTTCAGGATTGGCTGAGTTCGAATATAATTGTTGAAGTTCATGTATCCCTAAAGATCTCATCATCTCACGAATATGGATTTATATGTGTGTATCTCGACCGGGCAGTTAATTTAAGAAGAAGATGACAAATATAATTAAACGTATCATCTAAACAATTATAGATATTTATATCTTACTTGCTACGTATAAATCAATTTTTATATTAGTGAGCTACCATATTGTTGTGGCCTGATTTAAGATGTGTACTGTCTCGCGATTCACGACCACACATAACTCAAGTTTAATAAGTCTACTAGGAGTATAACTTGTACTATATTTAACGAAAAGGAATCAATATTAATAACTTTTAAGTTTCAAGTTTGTTCTCTACGTTTTCACACTATATTTATGCACAATTTGGTGTATATAAATCTCCCAATAATATCTGCATCCATATTTTACTATTAATATGAGCGTTGACTGTCAGCAAGTAGGAATATATAATCCCCTAAAAAATACGTTTGACAAAGGATAAAGCTATATATATATATGTCTATGTATAATCCATATTTAATTTAATGCACATAAACCGCTGAAAGTATAATTAATCAAATAATAGTTTCAAAGACGTACGGTCTCAGACATTATGTGACCCATATCCATATACTTTGATATGTACAGTAAAACCTCTATAAATTAATAATGTTGGGACCATGATATTTTATTAATTTATCGTGATATTAATTTATAGAGAAAAATTGATTTCTGCATATAATTTTCTAAAAACTATTTTAGAATAATGTTATACTTTAAAATTTTAACAAATATCATAATATAAATTATGATTAAAAATCATAACTATCACAATAAAATAGTTTTCTCCATATTGGATTATCCATATAAAAATATACATGTTCATAAGTTTAAAATTTATAAAAAAAAAACTATGGTTACTATCAGTATTATTGATGATAAAATTGAAGATAACACTACAATACATTTAAAAACATTTACATGTAAGAAAATCAATTATCACATCAAAAAATCATCATAACTTTTGAATATATATAGTAAAACCGCAATAAGAGCTACTCATATAATAATTAGAGAGATGAGAACCAATGAGATTTCAACTTTAACTAAAAATAAACACATTAGTCATATTTTAGAATATTAAATTTATATATATATTCATAAATTTATATTATTATTAATTTATGTTTATGTTTTTGTTGGGACCATATATTTACATAAGGGTTTCAAAAAAAATTATTATCTTATTATCTTATCGAATTTGATGGATTTCTACATTGGCCCGACTTGAGATCAATAAAATTTATTAATTTATAGTGATTATTAATTTATCGAGTATTAATTTATAGAGGTTCTACTGTACTAATTTATATTAAAATAGGAGCCCAATCATGTAAACAAAATTCGGATCATGCATGTTCGAATACACCACTTATACGTGCTAAAAGTCAATCTTGAATTGATTTTGTAAATTGTAAACATTCTTCCAGAACAAGAAGAAGTTTTGGAAATACTACTCGTCGTTATCTTCAGGCAAATTCGATGGATATTTAAAATCGCTTACAAATAACATCAACCCATTCAAATCAGACATGATATATTAAAAATGACAAGTTAACTGAAATTCAAAAGAAAATAAAATTATGTCACTCTCTGGTCTCTGATATCTCTAAATGTTTTTTTTTTAGTGTTTTTAAAAGTCATTTCTTCGATTCACATTAAACTCTATTATTTTAGGTGATCTCAAATATGTTCCGACACATTATGAAAATCTCATATGTATATGGGTGGGTGATCACATGTGGTAACACATATGAATTTGAACATGTTAAAAATCGATGGCGTCAGTAATAGATATTTGCCTCACGGGTATTATTCAAATATAAATCAGCTATATATTCAATTATCACCCCTCAAATTCATTTTGGATTTTCACATGACCATTAGGTCATTTCTACTATTCCCCCGACGGTTAGATGTCCAATTCGCTGAAAAAGTACGTCAAAATAACTAATTTTTTTTACCATTTTAAGTAAAATTATTAAATTTAGCCCAAATACTGTATAAGGAGAAGAGAGAAAAACAAAAAAAAAATCCAAGAATAATGTGGTGTGGGGCTACCTTCAAAGAAAAATAAAATGGCGATGCATTAAAGCAAATTAAATACTTTTACGAAATTAGTCGAAACTTGGGGAAGCTAATAAATTCCGATTCAAGATTTCGGACCAAGATTCTCTAAGGAAAATTGAAAGTCGCATCTTTATTGAGTTACTTGAATTTCAAAGGAAAACCTATATCGAAAAAATAGTAAACAATATCTGATATTCTCAACTACTCTATGTCATAAATCTGCTACAGAGATTATCTACTCACCAACTCCATAAAATTCACTTTCTGTAAGAGGTAAAGAATGGGACCATATATTAATATGTCTAATACCTTCTTAATGCCTTTTCCTTCTTCGCAAACCTACGAAATTGAAGTCCTTTTCCTTTTGCGTCCAAAGTTACACCATTGATGAAGTTTTTGCTGAGAATAGACGACCCCTAATTTAACCATACGCTTTAAGTGGTTGGGAGTTGATTGAATTTAAGATGATTAAGATTAAGTAACCCGAGTTTGTATTGATCTATGAGAATAGAACTAAGAATGCCAGACCAAATTTTTCTAGCAAAAAACGTTTATTTTCATAGTACGTTTAACGTTTGTACCACCTTAGTTAATTGCGGATGTTTGAGACATTCTTGATTAATCTATGAAAATGTGTTTGTTGTTAAATTAATAAAGATAAAAAAATGCTATGGCGAATAGATAAATTAATTCAGCAGTTTGATACAATTCAGGATAATATAATAAGCCAAAGTGTACATTTCTGTGAATAACAAGAGCTTTGTTACCTGATTAACATTTTTGTGATAAAGCTATATTAATCAGTATCCCCACTGTTGTGGTAAGGATTCCTTATTCAGAAAAGCTATATAGCCTAATAGTTAATACAGATTATTTAAGGTCTAAGAAATTGAGGTTGGTGTGATCATTTAATAAAATTGGATTCTCATAACTCCGTTATTTATTGCCCTTGCCATCTTAATTCTACATTTGCAACTCACACAAAAGTTTAGTCGTTTGTATATTTCCTCCAAAATATTTTAATTTTGAGAAGATAGATATGAACATGCTGATTTCTGCGGTGGAATGGGTATGCACTCACTTGAGACTATCGGACGTGGCTTTAGCCCTAGTAGGGCTTTTTCTTCTTAGTTACTTGCGCGAGAAGTTCGTGAGCAAAGGCGGGCCAGTGATGTGGCCAGTGTTGGGGATCACACCAATGTTAGCCCAAAACAAAGAAGATCTGTTTAACTGGTGCACCAAAAGCGTGGTCAGAGCCGGTGGGACGTTTCATTACAGAGGAGTTTGGTTCGGTGGGTCATACGGTATCATGACCGCAAACCCTGCAAACATCGAACACATTGTCAAAACCAATTTCAAGAACTACCCAAAGGGCGAGTTTTACAGAGAGAGGTTTCGTGATCTTCTTGAAGATGGGATCTTTAACGCTGATGATGAGCTGTGGAAGGAAGAAAGACGTGTGGCTAAAACGGAGATGCATTCTTCTCGTTTCTTGGAGCACACGTTTACTACGATGAGCGATCTGGTGAACCAGAAGCTGGTGAAGCTGATGGAGAACCTGGCTACTTCGAAAAGAGTATTTGATCTACAAGATGTGCTCTTGCGTTTCACATTCGACAACATTTGTATCTCGGCCTTTGGTGTTGATCCGCGATCATTAGAGATAGATTTACCGGAGATTCCTTTTGCCAAGGCTTTTGAGGAAGCTACAGAGTACTCACTGGCTAGGTTTCTGATACCTCCTTTTGTGTGGAAGCCAATGAGGTTTCTAGGGATTGGCTATGAGAGACAGCTGAAGAAAGCGGTGAGAATCGTTCACGCGTTTGCGAATAAGACAGTGAGAGAGAGGAGGAACAAGATGAGGAAGCTAGGGAACTTGAACGATTTCTCTGATCTCTTGTCACGCCTCATGCAGAGAGAGTACGAGAAAGAGGAAGGTACCACAAGAGGAAACTACTTTTCAGACAAGTACTTCAGAGAGTTCTGCACAAGCTTCATCATCGCAGGTCGAGACACCACATCAGTAGCCCTCGTTTGGTTCTTCTGGCTAGTTCAGAAACATCCCGAAGTCGAGAAGAGAATCCTAAGCGAAATCAAAGAGATACGAGGGAAACTTGGAAAGCAAGAAACCAAAGGTCCTTTCGAAGCTGAAGAGCTCAGAGAAATGGTGTATCTGCAAGCTGCTTTGACAGAGTCACTGAGGCTTTACCCATCAGTGCCAATGGAGATGAAACAAGCTTTAGAAGACGATGTGTTGCCAGATGGGACGAGGCTTAAGAAAGGCGCTAGGGTTCACTACTCGATCTTCTCGATGGGGAGAATAGAATCGATTTGGGGGAAAGATTGGGAAGATTTCAAACCAGAGAGGTGGATCAAAGAAGGAAGAGTTGTGAGTGGAGATCAGTTCAAGTACGTTGTGTTCAATGCAGGTCCGAGACTGTGTGTTGGGAAGAAGTTTGCTTATACTCAGATGAAAATGGTGGCTGCTGCAATCTTGATGAGGTATTCAGTCAAAGTCGTTGAAGGACAGTCTATTGTTCCCAAGCTCACCACCACTTTGTACATGAAGAACGGTATGCGTGTTACCCTCCAGCCCCGCGACTGGTAAGCTAGCTCAAACCAGGCCTTGGCTTTTGGTTTATCTGATTCCGGTATGAAAAAAATTGGCCCCTTTTGCTTAATTAAGTTATTCTTATACAACTTTTTTTAGTACAATTGAGTGTGCTTTTATGATTATTTTGTACTAAAACATTTCACTTTTAATGAATATCGGTTTGGTTTGATTTCTGCATAAAAATGTTGTTACTAAATGCTTTTAAGAATAAAGTTTGGTATTGAGAAATTTCTGTTTGGACTTTATTTCCACTGCCTCTAGTTCAAACAATGGACATATGAGCAAGACTTGCTTGAATTGAAAACAATCTATTGTTTATTAAGAAAGCTCGAAAGCGGAAAAAGAATAGCAAAACCAATTACTGCACTCTCCATTCAATCCGAGAGTAGTGAGAATGCGAAGGAAAATAGAAAACTATGTACAGAAAGAATAAATGGAAACCCACTAAGCTCCTATTTCCCTGGAGGTAGAAACAATGGTCGATGCTTAATAGAGCTTGATACGAACTGCAATAGAAGTCCGGCAAATGGGACAGGTTTGAATGTCTTGTCCACATTCATTGCAAGTCTGATGTCCACAGTTGAATGCCATGTTTTTTTTATTGACCATACAGATTGGGCAAACCTGAAATTCATGTGAACAAAGATTTGTTAAATGATTGATTAATGTTGCACGGTTTCGTTATGCTCAAAGACATATACATATACAAACCTCTTTCTCGTTACTACAAGTCGGCAAATGCGGTGCAGAGGCAACACTGCTTGACCAGGAACTTTTCGAGCTGTTGGTTAGAGATTGGTTAATACCACTTACTGGTGGCGGACGAGCAATCTTATTTGGACAGTTTCCTGTTCTTCGTCTGCATATTTGAAAACAATAACATTTTTGGTTGGTTATATAAACAGTTGCATAGTTGCAGAGGTTATAGTGAGAGATACACAGAATCGAATTCTAGGAAAATTTACCCGAGTAAGCCGAGCTCTAGGGTGGCTTTATACTGAGACGGGATCTCCATCAGAGCAGAAACTGCAAATTCAGCTTCTTTTCTTCCAGGATCAATGTTCTTCCACATAATCTCCGTGAAATTCACAAACTGTTGGATTCAAGAAAAGGAAATTAGAAAAGCTGTTAAGCTGTACCGAGACGAGACAAAGGTGATGATACTGTTTCAGCAGCATTACCTGGAAATTGTCAAAGGCACGAGCGGGGATGTTGTCATCAAACTGTCTCATTGTATCCCAAGGACCATCTCCAACACCAACAAGAACTATCGATAATGGATATCGACTGCAATTTTTTTTTTTTTTTTTGCACCAGAATAAGTTAGATCACCAGAGGTCATTTCTTCATCTATAGTTTTGACTAAACCTATGCAAGAATTGTTATTTACCTTGCTCTAACAATAGCATCAATGGTCTTTCGTTCTTGTGAACTGAGGCCACCGTTCTGTGTATCAATGCTTCTTGTCACCTTACAAACATCATAATCTACTTATTAACCTCAGGTGATAAATGTGGTACAATGATTGTAACGAAAACCGAAATCTTTATCTACCTGGCCATCAGCAATGATGAGAAGAACATGGTATTGCCCTCCGCTTTCTTCCACAATCGTTATGGCCCTTTCGATAATGGGTGCAAAAGAAGTCGGCCCTGTGACAGAAGCAACCAAAGATTATCATGTAACAGAAGAAACACACAAGCAGAAGAAGAAGAAGAAGAAGAAGAAGTAAAAAGAGTTGTTTTTTAAAACCTGCAAGACACAGTTGAGGAACGATCTCTCTGTAACGTGTAAGTACATCTTCAAACCCGTTACAGAATGTATCATCCGGATAGAAACTGAAGACCTCCTGATCATGTGTTGTAGCTGCAAAGAATCAAACATACAAAACCATTAATCCTCTGTGGTCTACAAACAAAAAAATGACTAATAACAAGTCTTTTAATGCAAGACAATACCATCTCCAAATCCATAACAAGGGATCAAGTTATCCTCATCAAAAGAGGATAAAGTCTTTCCGATGATGGAAATCGCTTGCTCGTAAGGGTTTGGAGCTGGTCCGATGTCATGTAAGCTCTTCTTGTTGAATGACCTCGCTCCTGAAAATCAATCAAACCAACCACCAACCAAGTCAGCAACATTCACAGGTTCAACAAAATTGCTTGCATAACAAAAGTTTCCAAATTTTTCACCTGTCCACTCGTTGCTCTTTGTGACATCTATACCAACAATCAAATTCGATGATTCCAAACCGGCTTTCGACAGAGCAGCCGTAACCTACAGTAACCGGACATTCCAGAGACAGATCAACAAAGTGAGAAAACAACAAAAAAACAAGAATCTCTTCAATAGGGTGAAAAATTAGTGATGGAATTGACCTCGTCAATGGAACGGTAGTCATCTCCGATATGTGAATACTTGTTGCCTTGTTTCTTCTGTGGGCGTGAAGCCGCAGAAGAATGTAGTGGCGTGTAATTTTGGTGAGGATTCGAAGAAGAAGCAAACGAAGAACTTTGAGAATACTTTCGACTGTTAGTCCTGCTCGAGGATTTCGAACTGCCACTTCCCATCAGAGATTTAAAGTAAAACTCACAAATATGGTGAACAAAAGACTGATCTCGCCTGCAACAATTTCGAACACTTAATATGTCAAAAAAAGCTCTGGAGATTCCTCGATCTGAAGTTTTGACATTGTTGAATCAGTGAAGTTCTCGTTGTTGATTACATTAAATTAAAAACCTTTATGAGAAAAAACGCAAAGAATCTCTTTTTGAAGATCACCGTGAAAGAACAAGAAAATGATTAACAAACAAATCCAACTTTTCAATTGGGATCGTAGAAAAAAAGGAAAATTGGAGAGAGAACAATCTGTGATTTAAATGTGCATTATGTTACCTGGAAATCGATTCTCTCTGCGTATGATGAATCTGCTCAAGGGGCTTTGTGAAGGACCTTAACTTCACATACTCCTCTCTCTTATATCAAATTCTCATATACTCTCATTATATCCATCTTTTCTTTTTATTTTATTTTTAATACAAAAAAACATAAAAAGACAAAAAAACCTTTAATAAATAATCATAATTACATATCCAATCTAGAGTACCAAACTCAAACCCGAATTCAATTTAAATAACCAAGTTAACCGAAAATTATTAAACTAAACCGATTTAATTATTTAAACCATCAAATTTAATTAAACCATTGACCAAACCCTAAAACTCTATTTCCCGATCCCAAATCTTCTTCCTCTTCAATTCCATCCTCTTCTTCCATCCTCCATCATCTTCTTCCTCTTCGATTTCATCATCTTTTTCCATCATCTTCTTCCTCTTCCATCATCTTCTTCCTCTTCGATTAAATCCCCACCACTGCTCACTGCCCCTCACTCTCCACTCTTTGCTCTTCTGTTTTAGGCTCGCCACCGCCGCCGTTTTAGGCTCGCCACCACCACCGTTTCACACTTCTGTCATCGCCGAACAGGTATCTTCTAGGCTTAAGAGTAATTAGAACCCTAATTTATGATTTCCTTCCATCAACCCTGAACCCCAACTAATTTCTGATTTTTGTTTTAGAATTTTTGGAGGATGTCGACTAGGGGTTCACCTTCTCAACCAGAGAGATCTGAGGCTGAGTATGCTACGGTATCTGAAGAAGTTTAGTACAACTGGAATTATCGCGTACAACTGATTTTTGTGGTTGAACCAAGAATACTAGTTGTACCAATACACTATAATTCACTTATCATATGCGTTTTGAATGCAGCAAGAGGAGGTCTCAATACCAATGGAACCTCGAGATTTATTCTTCAAGCAAAGCAAGTATCTGTTATACCCAAAGCTTCAATCAAGGTGTGAAACCTTTAATTTCATGGAAGTCTTCAAGAGGCTTGATATCTCAGAGAGGAACTGGTTTGAGAATCATTCCCACTTCAAGCATATTGTCCAAAGAAACGAGAGGCTGCAAAAAAGAAGTAGAAGAACAAGTTTGTTTTGGTTTTTGTTGAAACTAGTTGATGATTTTTCGTGAAACTAATAGATGATTTATGTTGAAACTAGTAGAAGGTTTATTGTTTTATGTTTGGTGAAACAGGATTCAAAAAGTTGAAAACTAGTAGAAGGTTTATTAATTTAATTATGTTTTCAGATTTTTTTGGTTAGTACAACTGATATTATCGCGTACAACTGGTGTTGTTAAAACTAGAATAATAAGTAAAAAGAAATGTATAGTGTCAAAAAATTAAAAAAAATTATAATAAAAAATAAAAGCCACATGTGCGCCGTCAAATTACACGAGCGCCGTCAAAATAATTATAAAAATAATTAATTACTTTTGTTGCGCCATCAAATAATATACAAAGTTGTACCCAAGTAGGTAAGTTGTACTCTATTTTTTTTTATTACACAGAGTTGTACTTTCATAGATAAAACGATTTTATTAATTATATCGTATTAGAAATTAGATTTTTATAGTTGTACTTTTGAAAATAGGTAATAATAAGACATTTAAGACACATATAGATAATTAAATGTATAAAATTATGTTTTTTTGTTAATTTCTTATAACTATATAGCATTAGTTGTAATAGTTGCCATAGAAGTATAAGGTAGATATTATGAAAATATGACTTTTGTGTTCTCAATATTCAAAAATGCATCAAGTTGGATTTACTTCATCAAAATAGATATGAAATAGAGTCTTTAAACACATACTGTTTTCCGAAATGCGGTATTTTAAATAAAACGGAAAAAACATCAAGTTCACACTAGAGTTGTCCACGATAGTTATACTAGTTGTACCAAAACATCATCATCGGTTCCTATCCCTCTTCCTCTTGTTCTGCTACGTTAGGATCATTATACAACCATGCTCCTATTCCTCTTCTTCTTCCTCTTCCTCCTCTTCTTCCTCTTCCTCTCCCTCGATGTTCTCCAACTGATGGATGCCTAGTTATGTTGATGCGTCCTTTTTTCTTAACTATTTCTGGAGAAAATACACATTTTCCTCAGATATGGCCAGGAACAATCCAGTCATCTTTATAGGGGACTGGATAGATCGTCCTCTTCATTAGAATTTATTTACAGTTGTCCATCAGTAGTACCATTTGTACCAGTTGTTTCAGTAATACATGTTGTACTAAAAAAAATCAGGTTACTTATAGAATAGACCGATTCAGATCGATGATTCAGTACGATTCATACGTATTTCAGTACTATAATATACTTAAATAACCAATGTAAAGCCTTAATAGACGTATACATAAAGTTCAGTATTAAAAAAAACTCCCAAACATAACAGAATATATTTATAGTTATCCATCAATAGTACCATATGTACCAGTTGTCACAATAATACCAGTTGTACTAAAAAGCTTGAGATTACTTATAGAATTGATTGATTCAGATCGATGATTCAACCAGATTCATACGTATTTTAGTACTATAATATACTTAAATAACCAATGTAAAGCCTGAATATACGTATACATAAAGTTCAGTAACTGAAAAAATTCACAAACATAATTTCTAAATCCTAAACACATAAAAACTTGTTATTTTTGTTGTAAAGGGGAAGAAATCACCTTGAATATTGAGTTGAGGGTCGTTGAGAGCAGCTCCAGAACGACGCCGAATATGTGTTTGGTTCTGTTACGGTCGATGGTCGTCTCTACTAGAGTTGGAGATTTCTGGGTTTGATTTTTTTTTACATCGATGGAAAGAGAAAGAAGAAGAATAATGGGTCCCATTAAGGTTGGTTGGTTGGGTGGTTGGGTGATTGAGTTGAGTAATACCAAAATTAATTGCATATTGGTTTGGTTTAAATGGAGAGTGAAGTCCATTTTTAAATAAAGGGTAAAGTAAAAATAATGAAAAATAGAGGGGAGTATGTAGAATAAAAGGAGAGTATATAGAATTTTTTAAACTCATTAAGAGTATTTGAGGTTAAAATCCCTTTGTGAACTGTGAAGTGATTTTCAGTTTATAGATACGGTATATATACGACGCCGGATTTGCAGCCAATAAAAAGAAAAACGACGCCTGATTTAAGATATTACTAATTCCCTTTCGCAATTTGGAATATTTGGTGGAGAAAGGTAAAGAAGAAAAATGGAAGTTACAGTACAGAAGCATGTACGTCTAAAGAATTATTATCCTCGGTGAACTATATCATCGGGAATGATTACTGACCTAATTACTGGCCTAAAATCTAATTAAGATCTTTGATTATCTTTTTTTTGGACAAATCTTTAATTACCTATTGAACAGTTATTAGTCAATTAATTACAGTATAAAACCAATCTTAATTCTTGAGTAACTACTCTATTATACTACTACTTGAAAGGATAGTGTTTTTATTTTGGTCAACGGAAAGATAATGTTAAATCTTCTTTATGTACTACTTAATTATTATCTTTTTTCTAACCGAAAATATAGAAAACCCCTAAATATCTTTAAGTTATCTAAACTGTTTGATGTTTCATATCCCTTAGAGACAATTTTCATTAAAAAAAAAGTTATTTACGTTTGTCACTGCATAAATGATTTGAGATTCTTTTTTGGTTGTTATTCGAAATATTTTTCTTCAACTAACAAACTAATTACACTTGTGCTAGTAGAATCTATATTAATAATTTGTTTTTGTGTTATTTTTAGGATATACGTATTGCCTATTGGATTGGATAAACTAAAATCATCATTTATCAATTAGTCACTCAAGACATGTAGATGTAGAAGATATATACAATCCGAAAGAAATGGAAGAGGATAATCCATGCTCCAAAAGCTACAACGACTCTTTCAATCTAATGAAACTCGTTCACATTGCACTCAAAAACACAGTAAAGTCTAATCTTTATGTAGAAATCAATTTTGACTTATAAAAATTTAAGATAAATAATCAAAGTTGTTTTATTTCTTTTGGGTCAATAATCAAAGTTGATTAAGAAACCTTCAAAGCAATTCCAGCTGTACCTGAAAACTTAAAAGGTCTAGCTGAAACAACGGGCCTAATCTTTAACATAATGGGCCTACACAAATGATACAAAAGTGGCTTACCAAATCTTTTCATTACGAGATAAATTAAAAGTTATGTAAACTAACCCGAACCCGAGATTGGTTTATTTTATTGCTCTCTTACCGTCGAAATTGAAGTTCCTCCGGCGTAGAAGATCGCCTCTTGTTTCATTTACTCCGACATATCACTGTCGGAAATCTCCATCCTCCGGTGAGAGACTGGTGATTGTTAGAAAGGTTTATTCCGATCTTCCATCATCCTATACTTGCGTCGTTGGTGAAGCAATTGCGTCAATTTCTTGCACGCCACTGTTTAAAGAAGAAACCTAGATCGGAGAGAGGGTTCTTCACTGATCGACGGTGGTAATGGCTAGCGGAGCCGATGAAGACGCCGAAGCTGTCCTCAGCGATGTCGAATCCGATGAACCAGCGCCTGTTGTTTTAAATGATCCGCCGCGGGAAGAGGTGCCGGACGAAAGGCTCACGGAGCTAATCGCGGAGCTCGATCGCGAGAAGAAAGCTAGAGAAGCGGCTGAGAGTTCGAAATCGGAGCTTCAACTGTCGTTCAATAGGTTGAAGGCGCTTGCTCACGAGGCAATCAAGAAGCGTGACGAGTCCAAGCGAGAACGAGACGAAGCCTTGAATGAGAAGGAGAATCTATCAAAGGAGCTGGAGAATGCTAATAAAGGTAAAGATGAATTGATTAGGCAGCAGGATGAGATGTCGAAGAAACTGGATGAGGCTGTTAGATCTAGAGATGGGTTGAAAGCAGAGATTGAGAATTCGTCGCATATGTTGGTTTCTGGGATCGAGAAGATATCAGGTAAAGTAAGCAGCTTTAAGAATTTCTCGAATGGGGGTCTCCCGAAGTCTCAGAAATACACAGGTCTGGCTTCTGTAGCCTATGGTGTTATTAAGCGTACAAATGAGATTGTGGAGGAGCTCGTTAGGCAGATTGATACGGCTTCAAAGTCGAGAAATGAAGCTAGGGAGCAGATGGACCAACGGAATTATGAGATAGCCATTGAAGTTTCTCAGTTGGAATCAACAATCAGTAATTTGCGGTTAGAGGTTGCAGAGAAGGCTTCAATTGTTGATGATTTAGAGAGGGATGTGAGTGAGAAAGACAAGAGGATTGCTAAACTTGAGAAAGATAATTTAGAGAAGGCAAGTGTATTGGAAGGTGAAGCTGTGGAGCTGAAACAGTTGGTTGATGAGTATGATGGAAAGTTAAAAGCTATGGAACTGAAGATGGTAGCTCAGCGTCCTTTGTTGATGGATCAGCTGAATCTTGTGTCAAGGATCCATGACCAGCTTTACGAGGTTGTGAGGATAGTTGACGTAAATAGTTCAGAACAGTCAGATTTGTCTGAGTCGTTCTTTATGCCTCAAGAGACAGAGATGGAGGAGAACATTCGAGCTTCTTTAGCAGGAATGGAATCCATCTTCGAACTGACCAAAGTGGTTGCTGGGAAAACACAGAGTTTGGTGGAAGAGAAGAGCCATGAGCTGAAGAATTTGAAAGAAACTGTGGGTCTATTAGTTAAAGAGAAGGAACATATTGGTACTTTACTGAGGAGCGCTTTGTCGAAAAGAATGATAGCAGAGCAGCCATCCCAAAACAGCGAATTGTTTAAAGCTGCCGAGAATGGCTCGAGGGATGTTGGTATTGATTTTAAATCCGCTAAACCTCTAAAGGATGGCCAGACTCAACACTCTGGTGGTGATAATACTGATGATCATAGTACAGAAGAGAATGAAATATATTCCCTGGTGAGTGTTCCTCTAGGCTGGTTGTGTTTTATGAGCTTCATTCATTCGGGTACCTTATGATGTCTTCACATTGGAATGCAGGCAAACACATTGGAGAATATTGTCAAGGCATCTCAGCTCAAGATTGTTGAACTCCAGCATTCTTTGGACGAATCCAGGCAAACTCTCTAAACCAGATCTCCTTCGTTATATCTTATAACTTTGATAGAGGGTATTCACTTGGTTTCACTAGGAAAACAAATGCTTAGGTTTACCTCATAGCATCGAGTGGCCTAGGGACCATGGGTCAAAATCAATATCAGATCAAATCTAATATTAGGAATATGATTCCAAGAATCGTTTTATTGGAATCTCGAACATCTTTCACATGTGTTTGCGACATCTTTCTTGATGTTTTATGAAACTCTATGGAAGTAACTATTTGAATGCATCTCTGTGGTTTCTTGTGTAATGCATATTTTGTTCATATGTGATATTCTTAGTTGACCAGTAGTATGCTATCCACAATGATCCCTTATTTGCTTTTGTTGTCACAACTTACGCGGACCATTTGTTTTTGCATGAATTAACCAGGGAAGAGACTAGTTCTCTTAGGAAACAATTGGACAGTCAGATGAAGGAGCTTAACCAGAGATTGCACCAGATAGAAGAACTTAAAGAAAAGGAGAGAATAGCGAATGAAAATGTGAGTGAAATCTTTTTATCTCAGTGACAGCTGTTTGCTAGAGTTGTGAAGTTGATTGTTTCGTGCATAAATTGTCAGTGGATGACTAAATTATAATACGCTGTCCAGAGAATTCAAGTTTGTTAAAATTTGGTTCCTTTTGATGCTTAGGTTGAAGGTCTTATGACTGATATTGCTGCTGCTGAAGAAGAAATTGCAAGATGGAAAGTAGCAGCCGAGCAGGAGGCTGCTGCTGGTGGAGCTGTTGAACAAGACTTCACGTCACAGGTTCGTAATAAGAGTCCTTGTGTTATTCTAGTGCAGGAGCATTGTAATTACACTAAGTGGCTTGTGGTAGATTATAACAGTGTTGACAGCTCAGCAGTTATAGTTGACTCGGTTAGCTAGAGAGCTAACAAGTTAAAAGGAAGTGTAGGAGAATAGTAGGGGTGTTCAGGATTGTATAGGGTTTGGTATTTGATGTTGGGCAGAGAGTAAAAAATTGCTCATTAATCAAGTAGTCTGTCTATGGTGTGTAGTTCTTGGTGAAGAAAGGAGTTTCACTGATTTTGGATCCTACCAGTGTGCTCTGTTCTATTTCTAGGTAGGATTTACCTGACAACTAAGAATGATGGTCTGAACTCTTATTGTCTTTGTTTGTTCAGCTGTCTTTGCTTAAAGAAGAACTTGAAGAGGCAAAACAAGCGATTATAGAATCAGAGAAGAAACTAAAGTTTAAGGAAGAGACGGCTGCGGCAGCCATGGGTGCAAGGGATGCAGCAGAGAGATCTCTGAGACTCGCAGACAATAGAGCGACTAAGTTGAGGGAAAGAATACAAGAGCTAAACCGTAAAGTTGAAGAATTAGAAACCCATCGAGATATGAATACTTCAAACAAAGCTAGATATATGTGTTGGCCGTGGCAACTTCTCGGGATTGATTTCGTAGGAGGTCGAAGAGTTGAGTCGGAACAACAACAGAGTTCGAACGAGATGGAACTCGCTGAACCTCTACTCTGAGAAAACCGGTACTTTATACAGTTATCTCTCTGTATTTGTTTTGATTTTTATGTACATACCAAATCATAAAAGTTTTAAAAGCTTTGACATGTTTTGTTTCATATTGTATTGTTTTACTAAATGGAGTTAAATTGGTTTATTAAGAACAAAATTAATAGTTGAGTAGAATGCAAGAAACAAATAAAGGTCAAATTAATCATCTGTTTCTTTCCTCTTGCGCGTATGGTTGAGTTGCACTAAACTTGGGACAATACACCGGCGGGATATCTCCCACACGGCCAGGTTCCCAACCGACAATGGGGGCTTCTCCGAGACACACAGATTTGAAGTAGCCGTTGTCTCCGAAGATGAAAGCTATGTGGTACCGGGCAGTCTCGGTGGGTTCGTACCCCTAACAGTTTGTCTAAAAGCAGAGCAACGAAAAACTCTTTTTTTGAGTTTTAGCATAAAACCATCTTAAACCGACTGACATGAAAACTATTACTTGTCAAGGGTCGATACTCAGCTCTGTTCGATGTTTGAATTGATTGTTTCAGGCTTATCCTTTGCTTAGTCATGCCACACAAACCGAAAGCTTTAGCAGATGTGATCGGACATATATTGTTATGATTGTTACACATGAATAATATGCATTAACCAGACATTGTTCCGCTTATTCTGCATAATTCGCTTGTTTGACATAAGGCTATATCTCTCTCTCCATATGGGGTTCAATCAAATATTGGAGATTCAAACTCTCTAAAAGATCCTTTTTACTTTGGTTATTTCACCTATCCTTCATTTCGACTTTGCAGAATCAAACTTGTTCCTCATTCATTATTTGTAGGGGAGGTCTTCGTCAGCTCTTACAATCTGTCAAATACTTTTCAATGTAAGATTTTGTTATGTCATGTGAAATGTGATAATTTTAAGGATAATGTGTTTACTTGACTTACTCAAGGTCTGTTCGCAGATAAATGGCGAACACAAGCTACTGCTCCTTCAATCATTCAGCGTAAACTTATATTGTATTCTCCCAGCTTTGTGGATCTGCTTAAGCTTTCGGTTTCTATGGCATGATTGAAACAGAGCTGATAAAACCAATTTAAACATCCAACAGAGCTGAGTATTGACTCACCCACTGTAGAACATGCCACTCAACAAGTCTGCCTTTTCCTGAAATGGTTTTATGCTAAATATAATAGTAGTAGTAGTAGCAATGAGATCATTGTGTTTATACATATGCTAAATATAATTGACAAAAAAAAAAATAATAAATAAATATAATTGACTCACCCACTGTAGAACCGCTGTTTTGTTGTGCAAGGAACTAAATGTTGTGTTCCTCTGTTTTTATATACAACTATTTTAACACTCCGTTGTAGTTTTTTATTTTTTTTATTTTTAAAGTGATAAGTGATTATAACATTGTAGGTGTATCAAGAAAATTATTGAAATCTAGTAGATGTTAAGAAAGAAAATCGAAAGAAATATGATTTCCTCTTTTTTAACTCGAGTATACTATCCTTATAGGAAATGGAAAAGAGTACATATTTCGACGAAAATTAAAGTAAAAAACAAAAGAAAAGAGGCTGTGTTTCTTTTTTTTTTTGATAAATAGATTACTAGAGAGAAGAGAAACACAAAGCCCTAAGAATGACGACCACGATATACGATCTTGGACCGGACCTGGTAGAGGAAAAGATACTCGCCAAGGTTCCGATAACATCTCTGCGAGCAGTGCGATCCACCTGCAAATTGTGGCACACTTTAACCAAAGAGTGGGTATTGGGCAGAGGAGCAGCAAGGCAGCAGTTTTTGGGGTTCATGACGTTGGACTTAAAGGTTTTTTCAGTCAGATTCAATCTCTGCCGCAAGGAAGAAGAAGAAGACTTGGTTGATCTATCTATAAAGAAGGTAGCTTCACTTGAACAAGTTCTCGAGATATCTAAAGTCATTCACTGCGACGGCTTATTGTTATGCCTCACTGAGGACAAGTCGAGGCTCTTTGCTTTGGAACCCTTATTTGGGGCAAACAAGGTGGATCGAACCAAGAACAAGTTTCCACACTGCAGATAGGTATGCTCTCGGATATGACAAGAACAAGAACAACCATAACCACAAAATCTTGAGGTTTCTTGATCGAAACTCGGACGGTTTTGGCTATGAAATCTACGACTTGAGCTCTGGTTCATGGAGAGTTCTTGACGTCAGTGTCAGTCCCTACTGGGAAATACAGTATCATCAGCGTGAAGCATATCTTTGAAGGGAAACACCTACTTTTTTGCTCAAGAAAAGGATCCTAACTCTGGTGGAGAATGGATACAAGAGATTGAAGATTTCTTAATCTGTTTTGATTTTACAACAGAGAGTTTCGGGCAGCGTCTGCCTCTCCCGTTTCACTCTTATACTAATCCCCACGCCTGGGATGTGACTGTGACTCTCTCATGTGTTAGAGATGAACAGCTCGCGGTGCTACATAACCAGGGTGAGTATTCATTATATATTTGGCATATTGGAGATTTGGGTTACGACTAGTATTGACCCCAACGCCGTGTCCTGGAGCTGAGACAATATGTTGGTAAAAGTTCGGTTTTACCTTGAAGCTGGGAGCTTTTTTGTTGACGAGGAAGAGAAACTCGCTGTGGTTTTCGATTTAGACAGATACGAAGGCACCAATATTGCCCGGTACCTTACTGTGTACTCTGGAGAAGATGGCAACTTCAGATTTGTGACTTCGGAGAAGCCCCCAATGTCGATGGAGAACCTTACTGCGTGGGAGATAGAGAGTATTGCTCCGCACTTGTGTGCCCTTCTTCTTATATTCCAAGCTTAATCCGAATCAACCAAACTTGCAAAAGGAAAGAAAGAGATGATTAGATAGATACCTTTTATTTGTTTCTTGCATTCTACGCAACTATTAAGTTTGTTTCTTATTAACCCAAAAATTAATGATTTAGGCTTTTTATGTTTTTATTCCCTTTTTTTTTTTTTTTTGAAGTTTCTATTGTCCCTGTCAGTTGCATAATAAACAATTGAGAATGGCACCATCTGCAAGCAAAGTATGACATTCTCTTCATTCTTGGTCCATGTCATCGTTTGTAGATCATCAGCTCTGATTATCGGTAAAACGTAAAAGGTCGTAGTCTTTTGGGGATGTTTTAGCAAGTTTACTTGTTCTCAGCCTTGTCTAGTTTTCTTCTCCATCTCCAATTCCACAAGACACACATCTCACCAAGACACACATCTCATATCATCCAACTAAGTAAACTTGCGCAGATATTGTTGGGAAAGAGGTCTTCGTCAGATAGACTGACAAAAGTACTTACAATCTGTTGAAAATGAAACGAAAAAAGAAACCTTGACCAAAAAAAAAGAAAAAAGAAAAAAAAAACAATCATGGATAATGCGTGTACAACTTGACTCATTCGAGGTCTTTGCAGCTGAATTGGCGAACACAAGCTACCACAGCTTGAATGGTGCAAAACATAACATGCAATGCTAAAAGCGCAACAAATGGTATGGAATATATATAATTTATCTGAAAATATGATATACATAAATGAAATCATAATTGTTGTACATTTAAAATTGTTATTTCTATTAACTGTTGACAATTTTTAGATATGTTATTTAAGAATCATAAAAACACAAATTTTTATTTTCTTAAAATGTTTAATGAATAGCTAAATCTAGTAGAATAAATTAATTAATTTTGAGTTCAGTACTTAGAATGGTGATTTTGTATGTGCATAAAATGGTATTTTTTTTTTCTTTTTTCCAGATAATGATTTTGTTTCAAAATTACATGTGATATAGTGATATTTATATATAGTTGCCAAACCGGTGATATATATGACTTTTGAACCGTTCAAACAGGAACTTGTTAATACTTCTTGATCTTCTACTTGTTTTGTTGTGTTTGGGGTCATATACTACTCATTAGGACATCTGCTATAAATCGGGAAAATATTTCGCCCGTATGGGTAAGTACCAAAATCAAAGCCAATTAATTGACGAATTCTTATTTTTTTTGGGAAAACTCCCCATTTTGGCTTCCATTTCCATGTACAAAATCACTAATCATATCAGAGAAAATCTAAAAGTTCCACAAAAGAAAGTATCATAAAACCAAAACCCACGTCTGTTCTAAATACTCAAGGATCTCCAAAAGTCATCACTAATTTGATCGAAACGCATTTCTCACCTCAAATTTTCGGGGGTGTTCTACTGATTTGTAATGTCATGATTTAATTGTTTTTTGTTGTCGTTTGGATAAAATTATGTGTTAATTTTTTTTGGTAATACCAATGCTTGATTCGACACCTTAAGCAGCATCTCTAATCCAACATGAATATTTCACTGTTTTGTTAATTGTTAATCTATAGATGATAAGCAAATTAAGATTTTGATTACATCATTCGAACTGATCACATTTTTGATTGTATCGCTCGAGTGATTTTGCTCATTACAGTTTTGTTTATATCAATTTATAATAGGAGGAATGGTGTTAATGACATTTGGAGCTTAGAAATCAAAAGTTGTAATTAAAACATAACTATGGGAATCTTGTCACGCAGGTAAAAAGTCCCTTTAACTCGTTCATTTTCTTGTTCTCTCTCTACAGTCACAGAGAAACTTTTAAATCAGATAGTAATTGCTGTTATTACAGCCCAACTAGTACTAGGAGATCAGAAGACAATGGCATGAAGCTTCTTGCAACTGCTTTGTTTGCTATAGCTTTTGGCATTCTCCTTGGACTCTCTTTTCCATCTTTATGGATCACTAAGGTTAATCTTCTTTCTCTATAATCTTTTCTTCTTCTTCTTTGAGTTTTCACCATCTGTTGCCATGTTGTATTATGCAGGCGAGTCTACCGGAAAACGTTCTTCATTCTATTGCCATCTCACATAGAGATTCAGATACTGCAACTCCTACACAGGACATTGATATCTCAAAGGCATGTTTTATATAATTGTTAATAGAAAATATACACACTTCTTTGCATAATTCAAGAACAATGTGAGTCACATTTTGTGCAGATATGGGTTCCTTCAAATCCTCTAGGCACTGAGAGATTGCCACCCGGTATTATTGCATCCGAATCAGACTTTTATTTGCGCAGATTGTGGGGGAACCCTGAAGAGGTTTGTTTCTCAAAACACAATCTCACATTCTCATTCTTGGATTTCACATTTCTCATGTGTGATCAGTGACACTCTTCAATATTCTTTTCTCTGTTCATTTCTCTAGGATTTGAAGAAGAAACCAAGATATCTAGCAACATTTACAGTCGGTTATAAACAGAGATACAATATTGATGCATGTGTTAAGAAGGTTGCTTCATGCCCTTACTTAATAGTAAACTCCTCTTAGTTTTCTGCTTTTTTCCTAATAGTAAACTCGTTATGGTTTGTCTCCCCAAAAACAGTTTTCAGATAATTTTACCATTGTTCTGTTTCATTACGATGGGAGAACAAGTGAGTGGAATGATGAGTTTGAATGGTCGAAGAATGCAATACACATAAGTGTCCTGAAACAGACTAAATGGTATCAATAGCTTTACTTAAACCTGTCTCACTTTTCTTTTATAATATGACTTTCTTGACTCTAATAGATATTGTGAATTTAAGGTGGTATGCAAAGAGATTCTTGCACCCTGACATTGTAGCGCGATATGACTATATATTCATATGGGATGAAGATCTTGGAGTCGATCACTTTGACGCAGAAGAGTGAGTTTTTTTTTACACTCGCTTCCATTTTCATCTTCTTAATCAATTTTCTAACTAAGTTTGTTGTTCCAGATACATACACTTGGTCAAGAAGCATGGCCTTGAGATTTCACAGCCTGGTTTGGACCCAGAGAGAGGGTTTACATGGCAGATCACAAAAAGAAGAGAACATATTGAAGTCCATAAGTATATAACTTCCTCTCTTAGATGATTTTTGTTACATAACAAAATGTTAATATATGGCTTTGAATCATATCAGGGAAACTGATGAGAAACTTGATTGGTGCTCTGATCCTCCTCGGCCTCCATGTGCTGCGTATGTTAAAAGATCTCTCTATCAAACTCAGAGTTCACATTTCCTCATATATAACTCTGTGTCTTTGATAACACAACAGATTTGTGGAGATAATGGCTCCTGTATTCTCAAGAGATGCGTGGCGCTGCGTGTGGCATTTGATCCAGGTTAAAATTACTTAATTATCTCTTATCTTCTCCGTCTTCTATTTTAAAAAGATACATTTTTCTTTTTCCCTAAACACCTCATTATGAACCAACAACAGAATGATTTAGTTCACGGTTGGGGTCTTGACTTTGCACTCAGAAGATGTGTTGAGGTACACAAGAGTTTACCAGGTTGTTTAATGGTTAGATAAATGTTAATCTTTCATGTTTGAAAAAGTAATGAATATATTTGCATGTGAAAATGAAGGAGCCTGCACATGAGAAGATAGGAATAGTAGACTCTCAGTGGATCGTTCATCAATTTATCCCTTCCCTTGGCAGCCAGGGAAAGGAAGAAAAAGGGAAATCTCCATGGCAAGGGGTAAGAAAGCTTGGTCTTGTCTGAATAAAGAAGATTGGTCTTGCTTTTGGAGAGTTTCATAGTTTCTCTAGAACAAAACCTTGACAAGCAAGCAACTAGATGGGTCCACATGTCTGAACTTTTGAGTGTGGTTGTTTGTTTTTGTAGGTGAGGGATAGATGTCATTTGGAGTGGAAATTGTTCTCGAGCAGAGTGGAAAACGCGGAGAAGGATTATTTCAAAACGTTACAAGTTCAAAGCCCATCCAATTCAACCATCTTTCAATAGAACCCTACCATATTATTTATACTCAAGAGATTTTAAGGTGCATCTTCTTAACATTTACAGATAGATCTTTATAGGTAATATAAGATAATTTGGATACCAATCTCTTTACTCGGATTCCATAGAGTACTAGAAAAAGAACTGTCAATAAATAATTTTGCAAAAAAAAATTAAGAGGAGCTGAAACAGAACAGATGTGTGGACTAACAAAGATTTGGCCACAATTTTGTGTGTCAGCACATCCGTACGGGTGACGTGGTATGATTGCTTAACAATTTGTGAAACTTCAGTCGCCACGTGTCGATTAAGAATCGACCTTGGGAAACCAAGGAGCTCTCCACAACGCACCACCTGATTGGCTGTATCATAACACGTGTCAGAGAAACAGCAGACCACGTGACCGATTTTGGATTTGTGTTTGGTTATAAAAGACGAAAACTCCCACTTACCAAGTCACAATCATTGAGAGGGGATGAGTCTCTTCCGACAACCTCTCTCTTTGTGACACGTGTTTAGACCACCGCTGGTTACAAAAACCCCAATCGCCCATCGGAAATTTGAGTGGCGGCTAATCCTTCCTCTCTGTGTCTCTCTCTCGTTTTGAAGATTCTCAAACTTTCCAAAACGCTTCACAATCTCTGTGAATATAACAGAATAAGAAGTTATATTACAAAATGGGTCTTTCGCAATTTCCGACAGCGTCAGAAGGAGTACTGCCACTTCTAGTGATGAACACGGTTGTCTCAGTCACTCTGTTGAAGAACATGGTGATGTCTGTTTTTCAGATTGTTGGATTTGATACTGAGGAAGCCTCTAGGGAGATAAAAGAAGACGAGCGTGGAGAGGATATCTTGAGGAAAAGAAGAATCTCGATAACTCGATTCAAGTCTCTTTGCGAGAACAGAGGAGAAGAAGAAGAAGAAGAAGAAGGAGGAGAAGAAGAGAAAGGTGTGGAGTGTTGTGTGTGTCTTTGTGGGTTTAAAGAGGAAGAGGAAGTGAGTGAATTGGTTTCTTGCAAACATTTCTTCCACAGAGCTTGTTTAGAAAGCTGGTTTGGTAACAATCACACGACCTGTCCTCTTTTCAGGTCCATTCTCTAGTGGTGGAAAATGGAAATCTTGTTTAACACTTCCCCTTTTCTCTTCTTTTTTGGGGTTTGTTATGTTATAGGAAAATACCAAGATTCTATATCCTCTGTTTTGCTCTTGTCTCTTTTTTTGTGGCTCTGTCCTCTGTTTTATTACCCTTTGGTGTTTATGTTTTCCCCCTTTTTTGGTTGAAAAGGGGTTTTTTCATAATAAAAAAGGACTTGAATTGCACTGTTGTGTTGTCTAATGCAAATATCAGATTGCAACTCCTAAGCTCTTATGTTTACATGGAACTATATGCTCTGTTGTGTTGTCTAATGCAAATATCACATTGCAACTCCTAAGCTCTTGTGTTTACATGGAACTATATGCTTAGAATCTGATGTATCTTGCATTTTCATCTGTAATTTTACCTTTTAAGCTGTACTAATTAGCTTTGTGGTTTATGTTAGTGTTGTTGTTGTATTCAAATCCGTATAACATGTCGTTGGAAAAAAAAAAGTGAAACTAAGGATCCAAAAGTCTAGGAAATTACCAATTATTATTCATGCACCTTTATTACACCCATTTTGTTACAAAAACCAAAATAAAAACCAGAAGACGAACACAACATCAATTAATACGATCTATATAGAATATGGTTAATGTCCTTATTGTTTCTTTTTCTTCGTCGATGGACTAGACGCTTTTAGTCATCCACTTACAGAACTGTCTATGCTCAAACTTGATGAATTCCTCTGCTTCCTTATCAACATCCTCTTCTTTCGCAGCCTCTCTCGTACCCATCTTCTCGCTCATCGCTCTCCTCATATCCACATACTCGAAGACCTTAACAGGTTCTTCAGCTGCATAGGAAACTCGGTACTCCTTCACCGAGTCCCGGTGATGATGCTGATGGTGATGATGATGAGATTTGTGGTTAGAGGAGTTTCCAAGTACCATTCTTTTTAAAATTTAACCCTTTAGCTCTTTTCTTTGTTGGAGATACCTTTGAAAACTAACGGAGGTATCTTTATATAAGAGATGTAATGCGGGACCTGAAACTGAACATAAAACGATGAGAGTGAATCCGATTCTCCCTTTTTCTTTATGTCTTTTCCGAGCAAATATGGAAATATATATTCTAGGAGGATTTGGTCAATTTTAATATCTTCTATGCACATGTCTACAAATTTGGTATAATGAGAGATAAGGATCTAATACGATTATAGCGTGTAGGAGATTAGCTTCAACAACAAGCAAGATTATTGATTCGATAACATTTTAAACATAAGAGCACATCTTTCGAATTAAAAACGGATCCTTGAGGTGTGGGCCAACGGTTTCTAATTTTCTAAGATATTTGCCCCAGAGTATAAAAGGAACAGTAAATGGTAGTTACTGTTGGTAATTGGTCGAATATTGATCGAATTAGGGCATCTCCAACAGGAGTCCTTCACGGATTCATCAAGGAAGTTCACTGAATACTTTAAATTTTTTTAATTGAAAAAGACCCAAAACTTGATGAACGGGTTCTCTGCAGAGGACTTCAAGAGGCGTCTATCTGACGGGTTCATAACACAGGTGTCTTCTCCTTATTCGTTGACAACTCAAAAAAATATTAATTTTTTATTCTGATGAATTTAAAATAACGCAGGTATCTTCTCTACAAAGAGGTTCAGGGTTAGATGGGTTAAAATTATAGGATTCTTCACTTTAAACAAAACATTAAAAAATTACAAAAAATTCCCCAAAAACCTTATAGTGAGTCTCAGGGTTGGAGATGGCCTTAGATGCCTTGATAATGATGTATCTAATACGCAAGTTTTAGTGGAGAGCGTAAGAGAAACGTGCATCAGCTTGTCCAATCGATTTTGTCTTTGTTTTGCTTGGTCAAAAAAGTGATGCATCTTTTGTGTAAACCAGGTTGATCCGGCCCATCACGGGTTTGACTTTACACCAAAATAAAGAACCAAAGAAAAAACAAAGTTCGTTTTTACAGTTGTCCTCCTCTGTAGTCTCATGAAAGACGAGAATTTTATTGATCTACCATTGTATCACTATTCTGTCTCTACTAGCAATATTTAAAATTTCATCTGAAACACTTTAAAGGCCAACATCTTGAGGAGACGAGGTTAATACCAAGAAAAAAAAAAGAATAGTTTTCTAACGAAACTTAAACATTGGAAATATTGTAACAAGATTGATAAGTAGGAAGAAATTATCGATAAATAGATTTATCAGACATTCAAAGAGAGTAAGTTTAAATGTTTTTACATACCAACTTCAAGTGACCGAAACACTTCCATATATAAAGCCAATAATAAATACAAGACATAGAAAAGAAATGAGAAAGAAATGAGAAACAGAAATAAGGATCAGATTTCGAGCACCGGCGATGGAGAAGTGATTATTTAAATTTGGTGTCCGTTTCTAGAAGTAGAATATCATATGCCTACGTCCAAAAATTTTTGGTTGAACAAAATATAGATATGAAATGCTACCTTGTTTGGTTACTAGCTAGCATAAGGATTCATAATAATGCTCCAAAGCACAAACACATAAACGAACCTAAGATGACAGTGGCTACTTAGCCGGTTCATCTCCGGTGCTAGAATCATCTGGCTTAGCCATAGGTTCTTGAAGTATGTTTGTAGTCTCAACGCTCTTGGTACGTTGAAGCGAAGGAGTTCGGTGTAGCCTGCACCTGAATGACCCCGGGTGAGTGGTCGGTGAGCAAAGGCAGTTGGTCTTATTGATGCTGGTCTGACGAGACAGCCCCCCAGTGCCCACTGTCGTTGTACCCTTCATGGTAGCTTCGATCTCCATGATTCCTTTGTCGTTCATAATTCGAATATGAAGGGGAAGAGAAATCGAAGATGAATAAAGAGTTATATACCTCTTTGTGTCTATGTGGTTGGTTTAAGATTTGAAAAGCTTTAAGGCTGAACATATCTTTTATTTTTTTGTTTGATTATCACGGGAATGATGATGGAGTCCATCAAGGACCAGCTATATCCTTCAACTTTTCATAATGTTTCAACTACTCCTATCCCCAAAAGCCACATCGGTCCTTTTCTTGTGTTTAATGGATGATGATGATCCACGATTATTACTCATATCAATTATCAGTTATACACTTTCTTAAGTGCAGTCTAAAAGTATTAGATTTTTTTATATATAGTGGTCTCTTCTAGGTGCAATCCTTTTTTTTTAATTTTAAGACAAATACAAGAAATAACAATGTGATAAACTATAAAATAAGTAAATAATATTTGTGTGATTCTTTAAAACCAAAGACAAGCTTGTTCGTGTATCAAATTAACTCGAATTTACCAAACTTGGAAGATCTTGGATACGTGAAGGGTACCTCCAAAGATCATACTTGGGATGGTTATTGTGTTGATTGATCTTGGCTAATTATTCCCCTTCTTTGAGATTTCTTGGAATACTATATCAAAAACATACACACAAACGCCTCCTAGTTAAATGAATTAAGTGAGTAGGGTTAACTTTTCATGGGCTTTAACTGAATATTCATTGAAGTCATATTTAACTTTGGGGAACTTTGTTAACGAGGCTGTCGACTCCCAAGACTAATATGCAAAGCGAGGACATTTTGGCTATATTTCTTAAATCGAATATTTTTCATGCATAAAGACGAATATCATGTGTGGATTGTTTCGCCAGAAAAACAAGAGTGCAAATTATATTTTCTCTCATGTAAATTCCACGGTATTGGATTGGCTCTTTCTTAAAAAAACTCTAATACCACAATAGTATAGTCTTTGATGTCCAAAATAAATAAATATAATATTTTAAAAATCGTTAAAAAATTTTGAGATTTTTTTCATGGAATTAATGTTTTCTATTAATATATGTTTACTGTGCTATATTACTGAACATGCAATGATGCAAATTCGAGTAACTATATGGTTATCGAGTTTCGATGGAACAAATACTTGGACATTTGTATTTTGTAACCTCTAAAATTTTGTGACAGTTTGGAAGGAGGGTGTAATGATATTGTGAACTTCAAAATATGTGCTTCCGATGATTTGAGAAGGTAAGAGAAAAGGAGAAAAAGCAAGAGGACAAAGGCTGTCTTTATGGATTTCGAAGTCAACTTATTAGGAAAAAAAAATTTAACTTTCTAGAGATTTCTGATGTCCTTTTGGTGTTGTCTTTATCCCCACGAGTATTTTATATTTTTGTGACATAATTTTTTATTAACTTTGCTCATACTCGACATATGTCATATATTTTTTTGTTGTTTTAATGTTAATATTGTCCTTGCGAAAACAATCTATCTTCATAGATAAATTGATCATACAATTGAATTAACTAGACGAAGAAACGAAGGACAAAAGACTATGAGTTAGTTAACCTCATTTCTCGTAACCCTAAAGAAAACAGTGGAGTGATTAGCACGTAAGAAAAGCAACAATAATGTTCTAATAATCATTAAAGCAATACTGATAAAACATTCCACCATTTCCTATCTGCTGCATCTTAGCTGAATCAAACCCACTCTCATCATGAACCCAACCCAAATCTCCATGATATTTCACCTGACCGAATCCGTTTCCTTCGACATTGACGCGATCAGGTAAACGAAGATCTGTCTGGAAACCAGTCTCTAGCATTGTCGGGAAAAAGCCAGCTGAAATTTGGTTGGTCGTTGGAGGTGTAGAAGCTTGCTGAGAGATAGCTTTTGGTAAGAAGCCTTGAACAATTTCTTGAAGAAGTCCAGAACCAGCTGGTTCCGGTTCGAGGATTGAGATCATACTCTCGTTGTCAATGGTACTTGACCTCTTCGCTTTAGGCGAGTGATCTTCGGAGACATCGCTAACGTTAGCGAAGGACTCGTGAACGAGGCCGCTTACGTTAGAGAGATTACAAGGTGGGTAAGCGAAAGGAGAAAGAGACTGAGAGTTCAAAACGTCGCGTAGAAGGAACATATTCATCGGAGGAGGCGAGAAAATACGGTGGTGATAAGAGTCAAGTGAAGGAATCGGGTAGACAAAGTTGGTTCGAGCTTTGAGACCACGCATGGCTCGAGCGGCGCAGTCGTATGCGCAAGCTGCTTCCTCCGCTGTGTCAAATGTTCCTAGCCATCGTCTCTCCTTGGACATTGGGTCGCGTATTTCAGCAGCGTAGCGACCCCATGGCCTACGCCTCACGCCTCGGTACCTAATGGTGGAAGCACCGGCGCCGGAGGCAGGTTTTGCGGTGGTTACACCTCCGGGAGATCCAGGAGTAGTGGAGGAAGGTCTTGATGGCTTTCTCTTTAGAGAATTGTTGTTGTTTTCTCTATGCTCGGCGCCTTCAAGTCTCATGATCGCTTCTTCCATGTTTGACCAGGGAGATTTTTCTTGAGTAAAGAATGTTTTTTTTTTTGGGTTTAGTGGTTCTCTTAGGGTTTTAAGGCACCTGAATGTGATGGTGGCTGATAACGTATTTATAGAATAAAAAACCACACATTTTCTTGTAAAAAAAAAGAGACCTATGTCTTCTTTACTTATGACTCTATCAGAGATGCAGAAAGCAAAGGAACGTTTAACGAAGTTCATGTTCCACGTTCGTACTCTTATGTCTCTATTTTCCTACGGACTTACATAAATTTGGAGTCATAAGTTACATGTCTTTTTGATAGCTAACAATACCGTAATTATTATATACTGTTTTTATCTTCATCCTTGAACCCTTCTTCTTATTGTCAGAGTTTAAAGGTATCTCGACATTGTTAATTTATATCTTTTCAAATTATTCTTTTGGTTTAAGTGAAAGGCATGAATCTTTCAGAAAACTTTCTTGAAAAAAAATTGTAAACTCCCATGCTGAAAACTGTAATAAGATTGGAGCACTGAATCACCATTTTCAAAAATAAAAGTTTCTCCGTTCTGACTAATTTAAAGCTATAACATTTGAATTCAATTATCTGTTAATAATTTCAAAGATTACATTTCCTCTGTAAGAGTACAATTTGTTTTCACCTTTTGTTCTTGATGTGCTATTATTTAGGGACCTTTTCGTGAATAGTGTTTTTTTAAAAGAAAGAATAATAACGATAATTAAATAGTTTAAAATAATAATTTAGACAGTAGTTTGTGGATGGGATAGGAAATTATGATGTTTGGAGTTGAAAGAAGAGGGTTGAGAAACGTGAAATTATGATTCTGAATTAATAACACTGGCGGCGCTCAGAAATTGTTCCTTCTACATGAGGTTATGTTTTGTCTGTTCTTTTTACGAGATTATGGTCGATTTGCTTATTTAGGGTTTTGCTGTAAACCGAAAGTCACGTGGATTTGTCTCAACTAGGGCTCTTTCTTCATGGCGTGTAGCCTCTTTAGGGATTTCCTACTGTTGCTCGATTGTGACTAATGACCTCTCACGTTTACAGAAATTAATCTCCACCACTAATTTCATATCTTTTTTTTTTTTGGGTTAATCTAATTCCTCTTTTTACATCTAAATCATCGTAAATCTCTTTCACCATCTTGATCAATGTCGGTAGAGTATCTTAAACCTGATAAAGTAAGATCACGTCCTCTACTGTCCAAACCCTAACACATGGGTTACATGCATTATCGTGCTCTACACAATTCATATACTTTTTATTTGGAAAATGTAAAATACAATGTACGTTATCGCATGAAATTCTTTTTCATTTGCAATCTTTTTCCTTTGCAAACAAAAAAAAAACAACAATTCGCAGTTTTGTTCATTGCATATAAAAGTAACGGTCATTGCAGCCCCGGGAAAAAAAAACATAAACTATGTTTTCTCAACAAAACGTTGGCAAAATCGTATCTAGCTAGGAACATAAAAGATTAATGAAAGATGAGTCTTGAATTCCTTGTTGCAACCAATCAAATGATCGTGGCCAAGTGCTTTTACCATGTTGAAGTTTGCCCTGTCAGGAAAATAAATTTCCTTAATACCGAAATATTTACTTAGTGTTCTGCTTGATTAGTGTAAGGGTTTTAAGGTGGTATAAAATACAAATTTTGAAGATTCTCCAAAAAAAAAAAAAATTTGGTATGGACTTTGGTTGGTGATTCACTTCAGTTATTAAATAAAAATAATAAAAAAATCCTTGTGGAATGAATCGTGAACAATTTATTCATATCATTTTGTTAACTCGGAGCTGAATATTCTAGCATATAATTTACTTATTTTGGGTCACTAAAATAATAAAATTCTCTCATAAAAAACTCAAGTAAATGTGAGCTTGACGAAAACGTAACGGTCCATAGTACCGCATGATTATTTGCTTTACATATTTAGATGAAATTAAATTATAAATAAGGTCCGAGTTGAAATGTCTGGAACAAAAAAAAAAATTAGGGAAAAGAAAAATGAAAGGCAAAAATGAAGGGGCAAAGCTAGGAAAGTAGGTTACATGCAACCGGTACGACATTAAAGTTGATACCAGAATTGTCTCCTCTCTCTTAAACGCGTGGGTTTTTCTCTGCACAATGCCCTCTCTCTATAATATGCATGTGTTTGACTTTTTTTTATCGCTCGCACGAACGAGATCATGGTAGATAATTTGATATCGATTGCTAATAATTAGAATACCCAAACTACTTTAGATATTCTATTTGGCTCTCACTTCTCAGCTACGCACACTAAAGCATATCACATAAATATCTACGAATTTCAGCTTAAATAATTCACGTGTATATACTCTATGTCCTAACAAGAATATAATATATATATATATAGGAATGTAATTAACATCACGTAATTAGCAGCAACAAAATGTATTGCAAACTTTTCTGTCGCGGTCATGATTTTTGTCTGAAACTTTAATTTTGGTTTATTTTGCTCTACAAAAATATGAAGCTTCCATTATATATAAAACTTAAATTGTGCAGTTCTAATTTTGAAAAGCAAACCATATTGGTTATCTGTGAGACTGTGACATATGGAAAATCGCATAACCTTCTGCAAGGAAATATCAGAATGTAATGTCAAATTTGGAAAAGCAATGCTACAAGCCTACAACTTGAATTCGAAATATCAGAATTGTGACATAGACTCATAATTAAAGGCGCAATATTAATTGAGCAAAGATCCCAGGCCGTATATGTGCTAGCAAACGACATCAATTCAGAGTTAATCATGTGAACTTTTTTGTGTTCATGTCTTGATCGTTCTTGATTACATTGGATTAGTTAGCTATTATGACTTAATTATACGATACTATTTTATGATTATTCCGATTATTATTATCTACAGAATAAAGTTTGTTAGGGCTTTAGTTTGCTAAAAGATATGTGTATTAAAAGCAAAGATTTAGGTAGATTCTGGTTCCCTCTTAAACATACACCAGTTCAAAATTATAACCTAAACACCTATACCAATTTTGCGAATTCACGCACGTACGTATGATTCATCACTCGCTTTCCCGCGAACCCTCATCTCTTTAACATGTTTACATCTATATAGCAATAATTATTTTTGGTAAAGATCAGACTCAATACGAAACAGTTCATGCATGAGCCAAAAAGTTTTCAAATGAGCTCTCCATAATTTCCTTTTTTCCACCATTGATTAATTACCATCATTCGTTTGGATACCGTTTCCGGTTGTACTATAAAAATAATATGTAAGCCTTTAAAAAGGAAAGATAAAAGGGATAAAAGTTAACTGAGAGTTACTTCAGGCCTCTTCTGAACAACTTGTCCCCTATGTTAATAAAGCTACCTTATTAATAGCTTTATATCTAGATAGTAGCTACACATTTGGAACTTATTTTTTGTCGTCATTTGGAAATAAATTTATTATACTAGCATTATTTTTAGTCAGAGTAATTCTCCTGCAGTGAAAGCAAAATAACTGTATATTTTTTAGTTAGAGAACCCTTATGAAACCCCAGCCCTCCGTTAACGATTGGGTTGTCCAAAAATGGTCCTCTTATGTTTGTTAAAATTCTTGACCTTAAATGTTCAGAGAAAATAATAGATTTTTATCTATAATTGTGAAAATATTAGTTTATTATTCTAAATTTTCATTAACAAGTCCAGAAGCCAAAACTATATATTTCGACTGGACCTTAAGCGAATAAGTTACTTTGAAACGCAAATCAAGATTTTTATTTAATACATTTTCTTTGGGCAAATGGTTTTCAGTATAGTTTCAGGCTTTATTTGCATGAATTTTTTTTTTTTAATGACAAGAATGTTTACCCGAGAACGTGCAAAGGCATTTATGTATGTAAAATATCTAGGTTTTGAAGTCATATCTTCGGTCTTTACACACAAAATGTCGTACCATTTTAGTTTACCGGTCTAAACGAATCCTCGAGATCATAGAAGGAAACTGATAAGACCCGCCGCCGAATCTAAGATCGTTTGTTTGACCGTAAATTGAACGGCTACGATTTTCTACATCGACGATCCAATCATAAAGATACACGTCGTCAAGTGGCCTTTTCGGATCATCAAATCTGAGTTTGATTGGAAGTATGGGTCCCACTTGAGAAGAAGCGTGGGATTGATACGAAGGGATCAGATTTTTTTACTTATTTTTGATTTGATGCTCTGTCTTTGTTTCGGTCGTTGAAAATATGACGCTCTGAACGGTGGATGCGATTTTTGTTATCCTACAGTAATTTTTACTTTGATTTTTTACCTTTTTTCTTTGCTAAAGAGATAAAAAAGAGTAATACCTTTCTCGAGATCAATTTTCTCATTATTTTGGTTATTAGAAGATTTCGATTAGTTTTTAGCTGACATCTTAGCAATAAAGAAATAAGATCATAGAAATGATGAGAGAAAGTCCCATGAGCTAACTTAAAAATTACCAATATACTACATGAAACGTTTTGCTTATGTAGAGTAAGCCAAACAATGAATTAATTTGCAGTTGGTTGAAGCGGTTAGAGCCTTAGAGGTCTTGTTTTAGTGCTTATTGGGTCCAAGTTCGAATCTTATGTGTAACATTTAGAAAGGAATGATTTACGTTGTTGAACCGCTACAAATAGTTAGTTATTAAAAACTGGTCTTGGACTAGCGAAAGGCTATAGGTCAAAAACGCGGAATTTTCTTATTATTCAAAGAAAAAAAAAGTGTTCCCAATTAGGAAGTCCACGCTAGTCTTCTCCCGTCAAACAAAAGCAATTCCTATGAAGTAGTTTCAAGTCTCTTTCAACTTTTGCAACGATTCTTGTCAATTCAATTTTGTTTAGCTTCTAAACTTTGGAACCTCACCCAAAAAAAAAAAAAAGAAGGTCAAAATCTTGGAGAGTCTTGGTCTTCGGTCTAAAGAAAGAAACGAAAATGGGAAATGCGTACCAGTAATCATCACAATTCACAAGTGTCTTGGCTTTGTTGCTGACACGTAACCACAACTCACCCAACACCGACCTTCTTTTTCATGCTGTTTACAAGGAGAATGATACGACTCTTCTTTCTTTTATGATCATTACGATTCTTATCTCATACATATATATTAACACACAAAGAGAGAGATATGTGTAAGAGACTAATTTGGCGTTTCCCACCAACCTAACTTCCCTTCTACTTCATCAACTACTCGTGTCCATCTTTGTGTTCAAGAGTTATAATTATAAACACGCATCCCGCGTGAAGGAACAACGCAAACATCATAAAACAACATATAAACAGATTTCTTCTGGCTTCACTGCCGATCTGTGATGGAGAAGACGAAGGCTAGTCATGGAGATGATGGGCATGAGAGTCTTCCTCCTATCCATAGCCAAGTCGTGAAGATCAAGAAAGAGTTTGAGAAGATTCATCACCCGTCGCTGCGACAGCCTGAGATGCCGAGGGTGCTTCGCGAGATCACGAGTCCACGACGTTCCCGATCTCCCCTCGGGTTAGGAGAGAGAGAGAGACCCATCTCTGTTGGGAATTGATAACAGAGACAGAGAGAGAGAGAGATGGTGATGGGTGACCTACTGTGTATTGGGGTTTCTCTTTTTATCTTTCAATGTAAATATCTTTGGTTAATGTGATGAGTCTCCTGTTTGATATCCTCAAAACAACAAATCTTTCGCTTCTCTAGTTCATAGATTCATCTTTGATGGGGTAAATACTTTATTTTTATGTTTTAAAAATGAATAATCTTAAACAGACTCATCTTGGAAATTGAGGTTTAAAACAAGCAAAGCCTAGAGAAATTACAAAATGATTCTTATGTAGCAGTTGATGTCTCTTGAGACGACAGTAACTTAACCCTTCTCGTGAGGTCTTTCATGACATCTATGATCACCGATTTCTTCTGGATTCGGTACTTGATGCTCAATTCTGCTGTGTCTGAAACACCTTGTTTCAGTATGGCCTCGTCTTCCATTATCTTTGTCGGAAAGTGGCTCAATGCAATCACACAGAGAGCGATCACGGTGCGAAAAACAGCAATCTCGTTTGCAATTCCAAGAGGGGCTATGGCGGATATAGATTGTAGTGTGTCTAAGTCATGCTTCTCTACTTCCACCAATTCACCACAAAGCAGTATCCTTATGGCTGCTAATAGTCGTCCCTCTACTGGCTCTGGACCTCCTATGGTTACCTGTTGGAATAAGAAGATGGTTTAGTTTCATCCTTTGACTCTTCTTCTCAGAAATAAAGACTGCTTTAGTTATCAAGTTACGGTTTGAATACCTTGAGATTTGGCATTTCGCCCGCTAAACTTAATTGTGAAAGTAACTGTTGTTGCCATGGAGCTGTTGAAGAGAACTTTGGAGAAGAAATACCAGCCGCCATGCTTGCAGCGTCCATGAGCTGTTCATCGTATTTAAGCTCAATGGTGTCGTATGGATTTGATTCGATCACAAATCCGTAGTCCAAAAGGAAAAAATCGTTGCTAAGGCAACCATAATTGAGAAGCAGAGGATCGTTTTCTTTGACTTCAGCCTCTGCAACTACCTGATGCACGAAGAAAGTAACCGTTCACTTGCGTCCATTTAGACAAAAACCACGTCAAAAACAGAGATCTAAGACGCAAACCTTAACTAGGGTGTTCGAGTCAGCTCCGTTCTGTTCTTGAACGATCCGTGCATTTGGTTTGAAGCTGTGGTTGCACATATCTATCAGAGGAAGCATCATGGGAACATCATCAGAAGATCCACCTTGAAGCTTCTTGTTACCATGTAAGCGAAATGCTCTAGTCGAAACAGCTGACATGGTCCACCCGAGGGCGGATGCATTTACATCTTGGCCGCTGAAAGGATGATCACTGGCCTTAACATCTTCAAGAATACGCCTAATCTCTTGCTCAAACTCAAGAAGAAAACGGCATCTTTTATTGACCTGGTCCAAAAAGAATGCAGCAAATCCGCATATCATCTAATGGAATAGTAAAGAATGCGATTCATCTCTATAAGGTTCAGCAGTTTTGTCTATCTAACCTGGTGAAGAAGAGGAGCATATTGCAAGTTCTTTATATCTTCTCCGGGAAAGAATATTGGAACGGAATAAGTTTCCGGGAGATTGCTAATGTATGGCCACCAGAAAGAATCCGCATTGGCTCTTTCTTGCAATAGTCTCAATCCCAATTTCATTGCCCACAATTCTTCTGCCAAATTTTTCTCCCGCATAATTCCCAATCAGTAAACAATTTAAATACACCAAATTTTGGAAACTTGATTCTACAGAATTCTTCTATGAGCTAAGCATCCGATTCAACAAGATAAAAAACCAAAATGTAGAGTAGAATCTCAAGAGATAATCATTTGTTTGATTCGAAATCAATGTTCTCTAAACTAACAGTAATCAAGACTATTTCGTAGGGAGCATTGAACAAGAGCAAGAGATTAACACTAACCGGGAACTCGACGGGCCAAAGCGGCAAGGAGAGAGGACGATGGCGCATCATCTGATTCGAATCGTAACGGGACGTGAGGAGGGAGAGCGATTAGGTCGGTGCCTTCACGGATTTTCTCGGTGGAAATGAGGCCGATACCAAATGGAGTGTCCTGAGATAGCTTGACGGCGTGATGAACGAAGCCGCCTTCTCTCTTGATCCAACGGACGAGGTCCGCCGGATGAGGCGCCAGCCGCGACGGCTGAGACGCGGCCAAACATGTGAAAGGACGAATTTGAGCTGCCAGAGAAGCCATCGCCGTTTTCGAAGTGGCCATGTCTTACCAAAAGACTCGGACCCGGTCCACTGTTTGCTCGAGGGTGAAAATATCCGGAACTAAGGGAACGGACCGGGTTTAGTTTCTATTCGGGTCGGATATGACGGCTGGATCCATTGACAGAATTCGATTTACAAACTCTAATGGGCTTTTTACTTCGTCAACAATGGGCTGTTTATTAGTGTTCGATTTGTTTCCTTTTTCATTCCATAATAGTCAACGAGATCAATCCAAGTTTATTCATTTCGTAATCGTTGGTTCGACAACATATTTCAGGATAAGATCTTGGCAATAAGGTATACACGACTAACGAATAAAATATGTCATCATTATAGCTACATGTCGATTAATCGCTAGTCGTTGTCTACAAAACGAACATGATAGTAGATAATATAACTGGAAAAACTAGATAAATTGGTTTGGCTTATTGGCTTATGTTTTGCAAAAACTTTAATGTGTAAAGGCAAACCCAATAATGATCATTTGAAACATGAATAGACGAATGTGAAAGAAATTAGCTCCTACTCCCTCCGTTTCATAATAAGTGTCATTCTGACACATTTTACACAGATTAAAAAATTAAGAAAATATACAAATATATTCCTAATTAATATATTTTTATAATTTAATTATAAAGATTATTATCTTTAAATGAGGATAAAACAGGAAATAAGAGTAAAACGTTACATTGAAAATGCAGAATGACACTCTTTTGAAACAAAAAATAAAATCTAAAACGACACTTATTATTATGAAACGGAGGAAGTAATATAGAGGAAGAAGAAATGAGAATTCTGGAAAATATTTATTCACATAAGTTTCACTGTATATGCATTCAATAATTCAATTCCAAATCAGAACTGAATAAAAAAAAAGGTTAATTTTTTTTTAAAAAATCACGTTAGCTTGAAGGGGATTGCAATCCCAAAGAACAAAATAAATAAAAACAAAAGATTGAAACAATGGTGGAATAATATAAACATACGAATGGAGAAGAAGAAGAAGAAGTGAAAACCAGTCGGGCGTGTTGGCCGTGAAACTCTACCTCTGACCTCCCATGACGTTATCACGCCTAGATCCCATCGTCATCATAACCTTAAACTCTTCGAAATCGATCGTCCCATCTCCATCCTTATCCACGCCGCCGATCATCTTCCTACATTCCGCTATCGAGCAATCGTCGCCGAGACTCCTCAAAACCTCGTGCAGCTCCTCCGCCGAAATCGATCCGTTCCCGTCGATATCGTACACCGAAAACGCGTCCTTGAGATTCTCCAGCACATCGTTCTGATCCATCCCTTTCGTGTTCAGCTCCACGAACTCCTCGAAGTTTATGTAACCGTCTCCTTTCCGATCGATCTCCGTTATCGCTTTCTGCAATTCCTCCTCCGGAACCTCGTGACCTAGATTCGCCATTATCGCTCCGAGCTCCTTGGACGAGATCTTACCGTCTCCGTTCACGTCGAACTTTTTGAAAACCGCCTCAAGCTCTCGGATCTCGGTTTTCCCCGAGCGTGCCTTTTGCAGGAACGGCGAATCTGCTCCGATTCGAGGCACCGTGCCGCCGCCGCCGCCCGGAAGCGAGGAAGAAGAGCCATCGGATTCCTTCTTTTTGTTGAACATTGTTCCAAATCCCATTCCTGTGAAAAGGAGAAGATGAAAAAAAAAGAGAATCGAAATCAGAGAGATATCCGTATTTGTGTGATTCCAGAGGAAGCGGATGAATCTCTGAATCACTAGCTAATTTGGGATTCTCTCTCGAAACTAAATCTGGAAAATTCCTTTTCCGAAAAATTCTCAGAATATATAAATCGGTTCAGTTCGTTGGTTTTCATAAATTAAAAACATGGTTAGCTACTAAATTATGATTATTTCGGTAATGGGATAAAAGAGATGGAACGCATGTTGATAACTGATTACTTAGCTTCGAGGTCATGCGTAAGTACTGCTCTTCCAAATCTCTAAACCGCTTCTAAATAATTAACAAGTTGACCATTAAATTCTATCATCTTAAATAATGTTAATCGATCATAATCAGAACGTACATTTATAGTTCCAAAGTCAAACATCTAAAAATGTTCATTAATGTATTAAATAAGCAATTGGGAACAAAAATAGTCATTAATATTTATAACTCAAATTATATTTTTGTGTTTTTATGAGACCATATGACCAAGTGTTTTTTACCATATGAGCAAGTGAAGACAAAACATGAAGGGTTTGTAATGAATTTGTGAAATGTATATTAATTTGATGAACAGTTTTATTTTTATTTTTAAAGTATCATAATTCGATCGAAGACATAGTTCGATGTACGTGATTTTTGATGGCTTGACCGAAGTTTTTGAATGTTTATGTAATTATGTCTAATTATACATAGTTGATGCAGATATAGTCTATTGATATAGAAATGCAATCTAATAAAAGAAACATACTATATCACACAACGGTTTTTTTTATCTATCCGCTCTATATAGAGATATAAGTCTCTGCCTTTCATGAAATAAAAAAACAGAATATCATCAATTCGCAAAAGACTTGGGAATCTTTCATATCTTATAAGAACATCAACTACCATATCCTACCAAATTTAGTTCAACAGAACATCCTCCAAAGACTTCACCTCCTAGATGGTAAATGAAATAAAAATGTAACAAACTTGATATATATAACAACAAAAGTTTTGCATCAGTTTCTATCATATGTTCTCCAACTTATCTTCTGTTATACTTTCTAACAATAGAAAAAGAACACAAGATATAATGACAGACCTTAGAGTCTCAAGGTAAGATCAGGCTTTGAGCTATTGTTATTATCTACTACACTTCCATTAGCTGCAGCAGAGTTCAGATCAAGACCTGACTCTGTAACAGCCACCACCACAGGAGCTTCAGCTTCCTCAACGACCTGACGGAAGCTCCCAGGCCAGAAGAAGTCACTACCATCGTCATAGTCAAAGAACAACGGAACGGTATTACCAAAATACCCTTGGTGATGAAACCTTGCAAGAGGAGGCTGAGGCTGGGATAAGCTGTGGTGAAGTACACCTGAGTGAGCCTGCATCCCAAGGGAAGAGGATGAGTATGTGTAAGGCCTATGATGGTGGCCAAACATTCTTCCCATGTGCATTGCTCGTTTAGCCATTGTTCTTTCTCGCTTGTGAGCGTTCTGGTGACCTCCAAGGGCTTGAGAGCTATAGAACTTGCGTCTACAGTAGTTGCAGGAGAAGACTCTCGGGCTGGATTCACACTTGGTTCCCTTTGTGTCATCGTTGAAACTATCGTTGAGCTTGAGATCGAGCGAGACAGGAGTGGTCGATTCTGGTTTGGACAGATCTTGATTTGAAGAGGTTTCTACTACTCTGGCTGGTGATTCTCGCGAGGCATCATCAGATTCCGTCATTTAATCGAACTTTGTTTAGGTCTTAAACCTGGAAAAAATCATATTAAAGTCAAAGTAGATCAAGAAAATGTTGTAGACCCTAAAAAGGGGACAATCTACGAATCTAAAAGAACTGAATATATATATGGTAAAGTCTAAAACAGAGTAACCACTTAGTTCAAAACCTCAAAAGAAAGTGGTTTTATTTCGGACAAAGATCAGCAAGTTCGAAGCTAAAAGACGGCCAATCAAAGTAAAGGTTTTGAGATTTAACAAAGAGAGAGAGAGAGAGAGAGAGACAGAGAGAGAATCCAAGAACTGCAATTAAGGATAATTATCAATAACAAGAATAGAAGATCAGAGAGAGGGAAAGCAGTTTGGGAGGGTACTGTGCTTACGAAGATATTTTGTTGAGATCTGGGGAGAGACAGCCGACAGAAGCTGAAGTAGGTTGACTTGGAAGCTGATAAGAGGAGGAAGAAGAATCTAAGAAAAAGGGGTACTCTTTGTGTTTTACCAAAAATGGGTCAATCCAGATGTAAGGAAAATAAAAGCCAGAAAGAAAAGATAGGATTGGTGAAGAAAAGCAGAAGAATAAGAGGTAGTGAAGGAGAGAGAGAGAAAGAGAGTTATGTTTAAACAAATATGGAAATCGCAAATGTTTTGGAATGGAGATGGTCTGGTGGAAACACATGGGGGAATGTAAGTGTCTGCCAGTTAGACCTGTGATATTATTTTTTTTTTCTCTAAATATTTTTATTTTCTAAAAAAAACGCAATCATAAGTATTATTTGTCATTCGTTTTGATTTTAGTTCAATTCAACAGATTTTTATTTTGATTCGGTTTAACACCAATTGCCGGCGGACTCTTTCTCTACAGAAGAGAATTAGTAATACAAAATCAAGAACACTGATACAAATTATCTGTCATGATTTAGAGGCAGAAATTAGTAAAAACAAGGTTTAACTATCAGCTACTATCTAGTCTCCCTCATGATTTGGAGGCAAAAATAGTAAAACACACGAAAGCTTGGCTCAAGGATCAGGATAGAAAGATGTGATTTGGAGGCAAAAATGGTGTTGATAAATTTTGGAAATCTTAAATAAGAACATCACATTTTAGTATTTTTGGAAGGTGTTTCAATCTTCAAACATGAATAATAATATAGACTAAAAAAACCTGGATGCTCAATAATATACCAAATAATATCCAAGATTCTTACTCAAAAATGAAGCATATTTTACCACAAGTTGTTTCGAACACTCAAACCGCCTTTATATTTGGTGGAAGGACTGATTAATATGACGTGGTTCACACTCTTCAAACAAACCTCATTTGCAAAGATAGATTAATGGCCATAAAATGAACATTTCCAAAACTTATGACAAGATAGATAAGGGTTTCTTAGATGACTTCTTTGACCGGAAAAGTTTTGTTCAAAAATTTAGGAATCAACATTAACATCTTACCCAAAAGAAAAAAGAACAAGAAAATTGTATATTTTAAAGTTAAGAAAAAAGGAATACATTATATTGTTCAATTATGTATCTCACTCGTCAGAGTTCTTCAGAAATATTTAATAATCGAACTCGGACAGTTAAGTATATACTGCAAAAAAAATTGAGCGCAAGGCACTTGATTTCATAATGTTGCATGGAGCCCATACATTCATTCCCCTCCGCTTTACCTTTTCCATTTGATGTGGACATTACTTTGTGTTTTTCTGGTATTTCGCATGTGATTTTTTAAAGTCTCTGCTTTCTCTGTCCCATTTCTATCTTCTTTTTTGGTAAAGTTTAAATATTTTTAGATACCGTGTGGGTTGTTTTTACCAATAACTCGTGCGGTATAACTAAGCTGTTTTGTTCTGTTATACTGTTACGCATTTTATGTTAATTGACTTCACTCACTCCATTGCGTAAGAGTGTGTAAGTAAACCTTTATTTTTAGTTTCTTAATTTCATTTAAGAAGCTGAACAATCCATTTGTTTTTATCAAGGGGGAATTTAGTGGAAAACAAAAACGAAGATTTGAAATTAGGAACATAAAAACAATACGATTGTCTAGTTCCACAGATTATGCTATGTAAAAATAGATTCTCCGTTTTTTTTTAAAACAAAAACATTAAAACAAAAAAAAGATTAAAACAAAAACATTAACAAAAAAACGGAGATTTCCATAATTTTGTTTTTTTTCATTTGTTTTTCATTTTCTACACTTTATTTTCTTCCTTTTTTTTATTTCTTTGTCACGCTAAATTATGTTTGTTCTCTTATTTCTCTTCAGCTTACCGGATCGCCATCTAGAGAAAAAAAAAACAACAACATGGTTTTGAAGTTTCATCATCCTTTATCGAGATTTCAGCGGTTATGGCCTTCTTGGAACCTCCATCTTTTTATAGTTAGTTGAGTTTATATGTAATTCACAATATATGTATTGTGTGTAGAACAAATCAAGCAAAGGCAAAATCAATATTGGGATTGTGGCAAAACAGAAAGAGATAATGGTTGTCTCCTTATTTCTTTGTCTTTATGCACTGAGTGATTGAGCAATACCCACTTTTGTTCCATTTCCATCCCAACTTGTCTTTGGGCCTACCTCAATTCATTACCTTTCACACATCTTCGGCTTTCCTCCACTTGCTTAGTTGCTTTCCAATCACATTTCACAAATGATTGCTCTATGGATTCTAACTTTCTATGTTGTGTTGTGCTGGTAAAAAAAAAAATAGGGGTCTGCCAATAAATGCAACACTAGAAATACTCGACATCAGAGAGCACATGAAAACATCCCTACCCTAGATGACGAGTCACCATTGGAACGTTGAATTACTTTTGAGCTTCCAATGGATCATTTGTACGTGCCCATCAAATTTTGGAAGCTCCACTCGTTGAAGAATCTATTCTTGAATTTGCCTAATCTGTGGAACTAGACAATCGTTATCTTCTCTCTAAACTCTCGCCTTAGCCGCACACCTACTTAACATTATCGAATTTTATTTCAAGTTGGAGGATATTCGTTTTCCACTAAAACACTTCCCCAAATAAAAAAGTAAGGGGATCTTTTCATTTTTTATACCTTCGTTTAGTAATTAATTATTCGTTTTATTCCCTCGTGAATCGTGATTATCTACTATTTATTTTTTCTTATGTAAAAACAATTTAAATACGGGTTCTTTTTGTTTTGGGGCTTTAAGGTTTTTAGCCTTAGCAGGATATGCCTTTTTCGTTCAAAATTTCAATTATTTGGTCAAAAAATTTGATTCAGGAAATAACCCAACAACCAGAACTAACATTAAAAAGTCAATCACGGATTAGGAAGCGCATTTTGAGTCCAACGCCGTTATTGGGCTTTAGCATTAAAATTCTAACAATCAAACTAGACTTGCGGTAACATTGTCTTTTACTGCAGAAATCACAATCACACAACCCACGACTGAAACATTCATATAAAATGGCAATATGAAGATAAGTGAGCTTTTGATAGAAACATGCGTCACAAGTCTATTACACAAACAACTAGCAAACACATTTTTTTAAAACATTCTATGAAATCCTCTAGTCTGAGAACAAACATGACTTTGTTTTTTAAAATGTCCAAACTCGAATACAAAATCCACAACACAGGAATCTAGAATCAAGAATCAACATAACCCTGTTTTGGGCAGCAGAAAAGGCATCAATAGCAGTAATCGAATCATAAATGAACTTCCAAAAAGCCTTACAAGCTTTGTTCCACGCTCTGACTCCAACACATATTTTATGCTATAATAATATGATGTCCAAAAGCATATTGGATTCAGAGCATTAGCTAGTATAGTCATCGATTAAGATATTCAATAATTTAGGAGGCATTTTTCAGTTAAATTTTAATGATTAAACCTTTAATAAATTTGATATTGCACAAAAGTCGCACACCTTTTCTATAATTCACCTGGACCTAAAAAACAAAGCAGTTAAAATCAGAGTAAGTAAAACGAGTAAATTATACTGTTTTGAATCAACACATGCATCAAAGTGAGACTATGTCTTGGTTATCCACATAAGACATGGTTTACATATTAAATTTTTATACAACTTATAATATTTATTTTAATTCACAATCACTTTATTTACATCATTAAATTTTTTTTTATTAATATCATCTTTAGACAATAACATCTGACAATGTTACTATTTTTTAGAATGATAAGATGATGAGTATAAATGAGTTCACAAACTCAATCTTAATCTTTTTCCTTTTTTTCTTTCTCTTTCTCTTCTTAGTCTTTACTCTTTTTTTCTTATCTCTTGCATATGAGGTCATAAGCTCAAGCCCATCACCGCCAGAGTTTCATTATCGTTATATGATATGATCATTGATGTGATGTATTCCTGTGGGTACTCAAGTTACACCTCGTCCTAAAAATAAAACACTTAAAATCAGAACAAGCAAAACGGATGATTATTACTATTTTGAATCTAACATATGCATCATAAAAGTGAGACCTCAGTGTCGTTATCCGCTGGACGCCCGTGTTCTCGAACCAGGAATTGATCACATTCCACGTATTGAATCTTTATATAACTAATGCCGACATCGTTTCCTTTCACAGTCACTTTCTTCACACCATCGCAAACACCATTGTTGAAAACAGAGGAGTCGCCAATATTATCTTCGTGAATACCACCTTTAGGCACTATCTCTGACATTGCATCAACTCTATTAGGATCACAATATGTGGAGTCGAAATAAGCTCCCAAACTATCAATCCTGTTACCAGATCTTCTGAGGAATCCAACCAGCTTTTTGACACCGTTTTTCGGTTTTAACACGAAATTGCTTTTACTTAGCTTTGGTGAGCCAAACAATCTCGATCTTTTCCCATAAGATGTGGCAAAAACGAGGCTTAACATATAAGTTTCATTAGATGTGGTGTCGTAGTACTGTGTTCCGATAATCATTGTGATGCATTCTTCTGGATATGCAATACAAACTCGAACTTAAAAAAAAAACAGAGGAACAAAAAAAATAATAATCATCACCTTTTTCAATAAAAAAAATATAAAGAATATAATATCTTTTGTTAAAGAAAAGAATATAATATTCAATAATAAAAACCTGATTATTGGTAGCATCAAAGCTTCCGTGTATTCTAACTTTTCTTTCGCCACATATTGGACTCTTAGAGCATGTTCAACCCTGAACCTCATACAGGGGTTCTAAGCGATTTTTTAGTAATTTTTTTGTAAAAGTTTAAAAGGTAAGAACTTCTCTTTTTTTAATGGTTCCAACCTTGAACCTGTAATGAGGTTCATGGAAATAAAATAATATTATTTTTTTATTAGAAATTATAACAAATTTAAATTTGTAACATATATATATATGATTACAAACCAAATTATTATTCATGACAAGAACATTTTAAAATACAAAATACAAATATTGAATACATAAAGCGTTTTAGTCGTAATCCTCGGAGTTCCCAAATTTGTTCCAAATATGTTCTACCAGATCGTCTTTCAAACGTTGATGTATTTCCTTATCACGAACTTTTTTCCGGTTCCCGATCAAGTTTAAAATATTTGTAGGCATATATGTTGAATATGTCATATCCACATGTGAAGTCCTGTTAGCGTCGACTTGTTCAAAATCTGCAAGATTGAACTGGGTATAGGTTCCTCGTTCGTTTTCCACTATCATATTGTGCAATATGATGCATGCCCGCATAATCTTTCTGATTTTTCTTTATCCCAAACAAGCGCTGGATTTCTAACGATCGCAAAGCGCGCTTGGAGGACTCCAAAAGCACGTTCAACATCTTTACGGACAGATTCTTGACGTTTAGCAAAACACCTTGATTTTTCATCTTGTGGAAGCAGAATAGATTTGACAAAATTTGCCCATCTGGGATAAATTCCATCCGTGAGGTAGTACGCCAAATGATATTGGTGACCGTTGACCATGTAATTCACCTTAGGAGCTTTCCCTTGTAAAACATCATCAAATACGGGAGACCGATCAAGAACATTAAGGTCGTTTAGAGTACCTGGAGGTCCAAAGAAAGCGTGCCAAATCCATAGATCTTCAGATGCTACTGCTTCTAAGACAATGGTCGGTTTTCCAGAACCACGGGTATACTCACCTTTCCAGGCTGTAGGACAATTCTTCCACTCCCAATGCATAAAGTCAATGTTTCCTATCATCCCGGGAAACCCGCGCCTCTCGCCCATATTGAGTAGCCTTTGAAGATCGTCCGGTGTTGGTCTTCTTAGGTATTCATCTCCAAATAACTGTATAATGTCTTCTGTGAAATTTTCCAAGCAAGAAATTGCCGTACTAGCTCCAAGGCAAAGGTATTCATCAACAACGTCTGCCGCACAACCGTAGGCCATGATTCGAATTGCAGCCGTGCACTTTTGTAGTCCGGAGAGACTGAATCTTCCCACAGCATCTCTTGTTTGTTTAAAAAACGGGATTTCGGTGGAAAGACGTTCAACAATGTACATGAACAACGGCTTGGCCATCCTAAACCGACGTCGAAATGTATGAGCCGGATATGTGGCATCGTCACGAAAATAGTCATTCCACAACCGGTTGTGCCCTTCTTCCGGTTCTCTTTCAATATAGGCCCGCTTCTTCTTGGGTTTTCTTGTTGCTTGCTGCTCCATAACACGGTAAAACGTTTCATCAAATTGCTGATCAAAAAAATCATCATAATGATCATCAAACGTTGGTCAAGATATCCATTGAATGGATCATTTGATGAAGATGCCATAGTGTATTTGGCTTTTTTTTTAACTGTCGCTTGTTGAAGAAAAGAGAAAAGGAATAGAAGAGATGAGTTGTGTCTGAATAAAACTTGAAAATTTGGGTGGAAGATAAGAAACAAGTAGAATAGAGTTTGTGTTTGAAGAGCACCAATACTTGTAATGAGCGTATAATTAAGAGAAGAGGTGAACATTTTGTGTCTTACACGTTACAGAAATTACAAGTTACAAAAATACAAGTTACACAAGATACAAAAGCCCGTGAACACCAAAAGTTACACAAGATACAAAAACAAAAAGAAGCTCTTTCAAGATTCCATGACTCTGCAAAACACCAAAAGTTGGAGCTTCTACTCCACAAGTTTAAATCCCGTGAACTACACCAAAGATTTGATGCCTCTCCACTACACCAAAGATTCGATGCCTCTCCATAAATATCTGCAAAGTACAAAGCCATATAATAACAACAAGTACAAGACAAATTAAATCTACTACAACAAAGTACATACTCAAACAGAAACTTCATTACGGCATAGAACAAGAAAAAATACGAAGTACATGAACACCTAATTCAGCAACATAGCACAAAGACAAACAATAACAAGTACACAGTTTGAAAACAATAACAAGTTCTACAACATCTCGCTAATGAGTATGTCTTTCAGAGCCAATTCTTTGTCAGTCAGTGGTTCAGTTTTTACGAGAAGGCCTTCAAGCATTCTCCTCTTCGAAATTTTGTCTTTCATATCTAAGTCCATTCTCTTCATATCCCACATTGATTTCATGTCCACCACAGGGTTTCCCTCTGCTTTACGAGCCGCTGAACCATTTCCCTTCACTTTGGCTTTGCCCGCCTTGGCAGCCTTAATCCCTGGTGGACGTGTCTGGGGTACATCATCGGGGATGTTGTCTGGTTGGCAACTTGGAGATTGTGGAGAACTGTCGTCCACTTTTCTACGTTTTGCCTTTCCACCGTCACTACCAGCCAGGTTTGAGCACCATTTCTGATCGTGTCTCAGCTCTCTCCAGGCGTGTTCAAAAGTAAACTTGGCACCGTAGTCGTTGAAGAAAATTTCGTGAGCCGCCTTCATCAGGTCGTTTTCGCCCATCCCCGAACTTTGCTCCTTCATTGCTGCTTCAAAGCACCCGACAAAGTTACAGACTTCGTTATTCAACCTTCCCCATCGCTGCTTAACTTGAGTCGACTCTCTTGCATTCGCACCAACCAGTTCGAGAGTCGAGTTGAAATATTTCTGGATTCTTTTCCAGAAAGGTCCGGCCTTCTGATCATTTCCCACCACCGGATCCTTGCTTGTATTTAACCAAGCGCTGATGAGGACTTTATCTTCGGTCGGTGTCCACTGCCTTCGCACCACTTTACGATCTTCGCCAGGTCCGCTTTGTTCTTCAAGTGTGAACTGGCTAAACCTAGGTTCGGCTGATCCAAGTTCGATGGTTGTTGGGAAAGTGTATTGGTTTTCTTGTTGACTGGTAAGTAGGTTAACAAAACCAGTCAAGGCAGGGTTTGTGGAATCCATCTACGTGTGAAGGATTAAAAAGAGAAAAGGGTAATCAAAGAAGAAGGTTTGATTAGGTTTATTCAAGTTTTGTTTTCTGTTCTGTGTTTTAGGTTTGTTTTGTGTTTTTTATAGAGGAAATCTTTTAAACTTTAACTACCATTAACTCGCTAACCTACTCTAACCAGCAAACTGTCACGGCAATAATAACAGACATTTAACTACTCACCAAACAGACATTATGGTAATGAGAAGACCTAAACCCCAAAAGCTTCTCTTAACAAGTCATACCCATAAGTACAGATTGAAGACTAACCTTAAATACGAAGGAGACGTGAACCAACTTGTGGTAGTTACTTACGCCACAATTTACTCCAATTCACCTCAAAGCAATTAAAAAAAATGAATAGCATTAATACAAGTACAAATGAATAGAAGTGATGTAATCTGCAAAAGTGAAATGAAAATAGAAACAGATGCCCAACAACCAAACCGATGACTAGCTGGGTTTAGAAAAAACCTACTTAAAGAAAAAGGAAATGGCTACAAGCTAAATCAAATGTGAAAGAAACCAATGACTACAAGTTAAATCAAATGAGAGTAGTTGGGTTTAGAAAGCATGTTCTTGTTACATAAGCCAACCTATTGTAAAAGATATCAATGACTACAAGCTAAATCAAATGAGAATCGGTTAACACATGAAATCACTCGGTAAATCCCAAATCCATGTTCAAATCATCGTTTAACAGATGATACAGCTTGCTAAATCCACTAATCAAACCAGAACAATTCGCTAAATCCATAAATCCGACAACCCAGATGTTAAATAATTTTTTGAAATTGCTTCACATCTTAACCATGAAATCGTTTAACATATCAAATCAAAAATACAGGTTTGCAGGTTCTAATTACCCTAAACCATCTCCGAAGACCAATTTTAGTCGAAGTGTAATTTATCCCCAATTTTCGAAAACCCTAATTTCTCGAAAACAAGTTAGATTCGAGTCGAATACTTACCTTAAACAAATCGGTGACAGTTGCAAGAGACTTTAAACACCCGAATCCTCTCCGATTTCAGTGCAGAACTCTCCGATTTGGTTAAAAACGTCGGCGAATTCACAAGGCGATTTTTTGAGGAGGAGACAAAGAGAACACAGTTTTTTGCAGAAGTGAAGAAGTATACCCTAAACCCGAAGACCCCAAAACCTTTTCCCAAAAAAAAATTTCCTCCAACCAATAATAGACCGCCACGTCATTCTTGAACCCCATAAAAAAGAGGTTCACCAAACTCTAATATTAGGATCGGTTCAACGAAAAATTAGGCTCAACTTATTAAAATAAGCCCAAATATTATTTGAACCCCAACTTTAAACTCTTTCCATCCCAGCGTTGGACATGGTCTTATACCACTCACACCATTCACGTCGGAGTACACTATCACCGATCTCACACCCTCGAAAACATCATTGAATGGATCTCCACTCTTAATCACACCAAAAGGTCCCACCGTCTCCCCCTTGGCTTGCTGAAAGAGTTTGTAGTTGTGAGATTAAGACTTGACTTATAGGAAGCTTGTTTATCATCTTTATGTTTCATGATGAAATTTAGTATAGGAAGCTTGTTTATCATCTTTACTTTTATGCTGGATTCTACGTATTTTGTTTTAGGGTTGTTATTCACTTGTTCTTGAGTATGTGAAATTAAAACAATGAAAGTGGGATAATTGTCCAATGAAAAATCTAGGTGTTAATGTCGTCACACTTAGGAATCATATAAGAGATATTAAAGATATGATCTTTATTATCCTAAAATATTTCAAAGAAGTTCTGCCATATTATTGAACATTATAGCGTGGCAAGGTTTAACTGTTCTGAGTTTTGGAATCTCTACCTTTTTTGCTGAATTATCTATTGATTATTGAGAATGGTGGTTAATTTAAACATATTTAAAGTAATCACATATTTTCCTTTTGATATTTGAGGTAAAAAACCGTTTTGTTTCATTCTTAAGCAATTGTACTGATCATTATTACTGCCTTTAAATCACACAAGCACAATGTTTTATGTACGGAATCCTGAAAGTCTTCATTTTTCATGTTGATATAAGAGTGAGCACCCTAGACTCGTAAAGGTTATTTTTTTTTTTTTTTTTTAAAGTCATCTAGACTCGTACAGTACAGGTTGCAGGTACGCTTTGTCATTTTCGTGTTTCTTGTGAAAGATTAAGAGTACCTATATGCTTTTATCTAGCCAATGAATAAATTGACATAGCAAGTTATCTATAATTCTTAAGCTGCTCATGAAATCAGATTTTCTCTTAATTATATGTTTAAATCTTAAGCTTTTCGTGATATCAAGATTGGTCTTTATGTTTGATTTCAGGCATAAGCTTTCCAGGGCTCCAATTTGAATTTGTAATGCATTCCGTGACAATTTTTTTATTAAGTTTATCGATATTTAAAACGCGCACGTAAATCGTAAATCAGTTGAAAAAAAATCATGTTATTTTTCTTATTTTAATCTACTAATTTTGCCGTTTGTTAGTAGAAATATATATATATATATATATATATATATATTTGCTTCGAGCTTAAAAATTCATGTGTTCTTCTTTAATTTGTTATTTTATCTATTTCGATTATTTTTATTTTATTTTATACATCAAAATAACAGCTGCTGTGTTTATGTATAAGTATAATCTAATATTTAATAAGTTTCTACAGAACTCTTCCAAAGTGAAACTTCTAGGAAGAAAATAATTCAAATCAATGAAAATGGTTAGATATGAAATATTGGTTATTTTAATATAACTTGATATTGATAAAAAAAAAATACAACATGTATTAAATAAGAGTTTCTAGCCCACTTGGAGAGCAAGGGAAGCAATGAAGTCATCATCATCAAAGACACAGAAAATTAAAGACTAAACAGAGAATTTGTTGACAGAGATGTTTTTGTTGCAGGTGAGCAAAAGTTTTTTTTTACCTATTGTTAGATATAAAAAAAGAAGGATATTGCCAAATCTAAGTATTTTATTACGGTGCAGATGTATTCTGTTACAGGTACTATTCCACAAGAGCTCACTAAGTTGAGTAAGTTGAAAATTCTAGGCGTTTCCAAAAATCACTTGTATGGTCAAGTACCGGATTTTGGGCCATATGTTGTGAACATGAGTGGGAATCCTGACATAGGAAAAGATGGTTCCCATGGTTTGTCTTCTGGGAATAGTGGCAAGAAAGCTAATAGTAATGCTGGCTTTCTCTTTTTGGTTACCTTGATTCTCAAGTTATTGTTTGGTCCCTTGTACTAGTCCAGCTTGGATTTTGCCCGTCCTAGATATTTAGGTTGGGGCATTACAAGTAGCTCCAGAATTCAGTTTTTTATTTATTTTATTTTATTTTATTTATTTATGTATCATTTGAACTATTATTATTATCATTTAATTGGTTTTATATCCAGTTCTTCAACATATATTTTTTTGCGGTCCCTAATACATAATTATTCATTGATTTTACTGCAACTACCAGAAGTATTTTTTTGTTGTCGTCAAACTGCTTCATTACATAAAACATTACATCAACCAGCGGATTACATAATTTTGCAAACTATATCTAGCTTGTTTATCTAGACGATCAGCACAATCATTTGCTATTCTATTAATCTGCACGAAAAAAAGCCACAAACTTGAGATATCTTTAATATATCCTGAACATATATTCCCATATGATGCTGCTTCCAGTGCTGTGGGTTCCTTTTAAACCGATTATGCTGTAATACTCCATATATATCTTGCACATCTCCACAAAGAGTAACACAAGCATATCCAAGTTTTCGCAGATTAACAACAGCCAAACGTAAGGCTTCAACTTCAGCTTCCAATGAAGAAGATGTAGGGAAAATTGCTCCCGAGCTTTGCAGAATCTGCCTTCCTTGTTTATTATACAAAATCCAGGCAACACCTGCTAATTGTGTCGGTGATATCCAAGAAGCATCAATAAAACAACAATATTGATCTGCAGCAGTGATTGCTTCTTGATGAGATGTGAGTACATTTGTAGAATCTGTAATTATTCTCACACCTGAAGCTTGTTGTGTTCGTCTGCAACTACCAGAAGTATATTCCAAACAAAGTACACATAATATTCAAAACCTTACAAGTAAAACACTTTTTTTTTTTGGTCGCCAAACACAAGTAAAATACTATTTCAAGATTTTCAACAATCATCTAATATTTCAGCAAATTTTAAAACTAAATAGGATATTGGGTTGGGCCTAGCCTTCGTTAAGTTTTCTTACGGGTCGTGATTATTATTATATTACATACTTTTAGTCGTAAACGATAAAATACAAAACCACACTGGCTGGCTCTTTCCATTCTTTCATTTGTCAGAAAAAAATGAGACCCTGTTTTGAAAAACAAATTGTGAGAAAAAGGAAACAAATCCCACTGAAAAAAGAAAAAACAAAAAAATGGGAAATAGAGACAAAAAGTAAAGAGTAAAGAAGGTAAGATATCAATTTCCCTCGCTTAATAAGTCAATTTGATATTTCCAAAGCAATAAAATCTGCCGTTTCGCTTTCTTTCCCTTCTTCACCACTGAAGGAAGAAGAAAATCTCCGCCGAAAAAAAATCCTTCCTTTTTCTCTCCCTTTGTGTCCCCTTCGAGTCTTAACACCCTACTGAGATCAACGCTTTCTGCGTTTGCAACTGGAAGATTTTACCTTTGAGGAAAATGATAATCGCGAGAGTTTTGTTTTGTTTCCTCTGTTTCATCGCCTTGGTGTACGGGCTATCGAGTCCTGATATGGAGATCATGATTACTCTGAGAAACTCCCTGAAGTCTTCAAAGCTCGACTGGTCCGGCCCGGATCCTTGTCACTGGACAGGTTTACAATGCGAAGGCAATCGGGTCACGAGTATCCAAATCAGGAATACCGGAACCTCAGGAACTCTACCTCCCGATCTCAAAAAGCTCTCGTCTTTGGAAGTTTTCGAGGTGATGGGTAACAGTTTAACCGGAAAGATCCCGAGTCTCGCTGGGTTGGAATCGTTAAGGACGTTTAATGTTCATGACAATGATTTCACTTCAATCGATGCGGATTTCTTCACCGGTTTGAGTTCCCTTCGGGATGTGATTCTGGACAACAATCCGTTGGTCTCCTGGGAGATCCCTTCGAGTTTACAGAATGCGACTTCTTTAACAAAATTTTCTGCCGCAAGGTGTGGACTTTCCGGGAAAATCCCGGATTTTAATTGGACCCATGATTTCTCTAGTTTACAGACTCTGGTATTGTCTGGTAACTCGCTTGAAGGTGAACTTCCTATGAGCTTCGCTGGATCAATCATTCAGGTTCTGTTAATTAACGGGCAAAAGGGAAACGAGAAGCTTAATGGGTCAATCTCAGTTCTGCAGAAGATGACTTCTTTAACTAGTGTATCCCTCCAGGGAAACGGGTTCTCAGGTCCCTTACCGGACTTTACCGGTCTGGTCTCGCTGAAAAGTTTCAACTGCAGAGAGAATCAGCTTACCGGTCCCGTACCGTCTTCTTTAACCGGGTTGGAGTCTCTCTCTAATGTTGCTTTGGGGAATAATCTGCTTCAAGGACCAACCCCAAAGTTCAAGTCCAAGTATACAAAGGTTGATATGACTGGTCTCAATAGTTTCTGCTTGAATACTCCAGGTAGCACTTGTGATCCACGTGTTAACACTCTGCTTTCGATCGTTGAGGCATTTGGTTACCCTGTGAGACTTGCGCAGAGCTGGAAAGGAAACGATCCTTGTGATGGTAAAAGCATGTGGGTAGGGATCACTTGTGCCGGAGGTGAAATCACGGTTATAAACTTCAAGAACATGGGCCTAACCGGCACTATCTCTCCACGGTTTGCTAATCTTACGTCTGTTCGTGTTATTGATCTCTCTCAGAACAATCTTACCGGTACTATTCCACAAGAGCTCACTAATTTGACTCACTTGACAACTCTTGACGTTTCGAATAATCACTTGTATGGTCAAGTACCGGACTTTAAGCCAAATGTTGTAAACACTAGTGGGAATCCTGACATAGGCAAAGATTCCCCTGGTTCGTCTTCCGGGAATAGTAAGGCTGCAAAAATCGTGGGTGCTATTATTGGAATCGTCCTGTGTTTGCTTCTTATCGGATTTGCCGTTTTATATTTGGTCAAGAAAAAGAAGCAAGATCGTAAGATGCATCCTCAAAAATACGACCAAGATGAAGTCAAGATCACTATAGGGAATCTTGGTGTTGGTGGAAGTGAGAGTGGTCTCAGTGGTAGCGACGCTCATCATATGATACTGGAAGATGGGAACACTGTGATCTCAATACAGGATTTGCAGGATGCTACGGATAATTTCAAAGGAAAGAATATACTTGGGAGAGGCGGGTTTGGAATTGTTTACAAAGGGGAATTGCATGATGGGACAAAGATTGCTGTTAAGAGAATGGATCCTTCGATTCTAAGTGGAAAAGGTTTGGATGAGTTCAAGTCTGAGATTTCTGTGCTAACTAAAGTTCGACACCGGAATCTTGTGAAACTTCATGGGTTTTGCTTAGAAGGCGATGAGAGACTTCTGGTTTATCAGTACATGCCTCAAGGAACATTGAGTAGGCATATATTCCATTGGCAGGAAGAAGGGCTAAAACCTCTAGAGTGGTCTAGAAGACTGATTATTGCTTCGGATGTGGCTAGAGGAGTTGAGTATTTGCATACTTTAGCGCATAAAAGTTTCATTCACAGAGATCTCAAACCTTCTAATATTCTTCTTGGAGACGATATGCATGCCAAAGTTGCTGATTTTGGGTTAGTCAGGCTTGCCCCTGAAGGCACGCAATCGATTGAGACAAAAATTGCTGGAACTTTTGGTTATCTTGCACCAGAATACGCAGGTATATATGGTTTTATGCCTATGCATGTTGCTACTTGTAATTAAAACTCATTAAATCAAAACATTGAAATCTTTATCTATCATTGCAGTGACCGGGAAGAGTTACAACAAAGGTTGATGTTTACAGTTTTGGAATCATTCTTATGGAGCTTATAACTGGTCGAAAAGCACTTGACGCTAAGAGATCTGAGGAAGATGTACACCTTGCCACATGGTTTAGGAGAATGTTCATCAACAAAGACTCATTTCCAAAGGCCATTGATGAAACAATTGAGATCAACGAAGAGACACTCAGAAGCATCAACAAAGTCGCTCAGCTTGCATGTCATTGCAGTGCCAGGGAACCTCAACAGAGACCAGACATGAGTCACGTGGTCAACGTGTTGGTCTCACTCCTTGACCAGTGGAAACCCGAAGAACGAAGCCGTGACTCTGAAGATATCTTTGGAATTGATTACGACACACCTCCTGTTCCTTTGGAGATAATAGAAGGACTTGGCAATGTTTCCCTTGCTTCTACTTTCCATGGAGATAATACTCTGACGAGTATACCGTCACGACCTCCCGAGCTTGACAACACATTCAAATCCGGACAAGGGAGGTAAGTGTTTTAGAGAATTAGCTGGAAGAAGAAATTAATGTTTTCTTCGTTGAGATCCTGTTTTAGCCTTATAGGATTTCGGATTGTGAATATCTCTTTTTGGTTACCTTGATAATCAAGTTAGGTTTCTTTTTTTCGCACAAGTGGAACTCTTGTGCTTAAATGAATGTGTTGGTAGTTATTTGTAGCAGACCAGCTTGATTTTGCACGTCCTAGACATTCAGCTCATCTAGGTTGGGCCATGCCATTGATTCAAGAATTCAGTTTTATTGATTGATGTATCATGTTCTATTTGAAAAAAACCTATTATTTTGATTTTTATCGAATGCGACGACTATTTTCTTGTACGATTCTTAAGACATTATAAATTGATTTTACTGCAACTTCTAGAAGTATATTCCAAACAAAGAACGCATGATATGCAAAAACTCATGGTAAAATTACATATTTATTTAATATCATGTGGTATTTCTTCTTATATGCTATACAGAGTACAAGTACTCTTTACAGGGTAAAGAATATCTAAATGTTCCAAAAGATCCACACCACAAGCTTGACTGAATCCGGAAATCTATGGAATCCTTGAATGATACGTAAACAAGTACTTATATTGGCAAAGTCATAACCAAATGTTCTTACAAATTTTATGAATTATATATCAAAATACATTATGTGGTCAAATCCTTTTTCACAATAAGAAAAAACATTATCTAGTCAGATACACGTCTTCTCTATATGATTTTTGCGTCAGAAATGCTACAAATACCGCTTTTACAAGGAACCTCTCTTTTAAGGGGGGCAAACCGGATAGGCAGAGACGCAGAGCTTAAAGGTTTTTTTGGGGTTAAATTAGGGAAAAAACCTTAAAAATACCTCATTTTATAAACATTTTCTAGAAAAATACTCAGACTATTAACGCTATCTGAAAAACACATAACTTATATTTGGCTACCTATTTAATACCCAAACATTCAAAAACCGTAAATTTGACTCTCCATTTTGAATTCTGTTTATCCGTTTAACGGAAACTCTAATACGGTGTTAATTCCCTGTCAAAAACCTTAACAACACGTGTTTAATCAAAGAGAAAAAGACAAAACTACCCCTTTGTCGAGGAAGAAGTCGAATTATCCCTGAATCGACTGATTTCCCCCAAATTGAAAACCCTAAATCCACTGTTCTTCCCCAAATTGAAAAACCTAAATCAATCTTCATCACATCGACTTCGAATTCGATCATCTTCGTCAATCTCTTTCACCGAAAGAGATCATCGTCTGTTAATAGAAGGAAGTGATTTTGCGAGAGTTGCGAAATGAGGTAAGGTTTTAAGGGTTTAGAAATTTGGGTTGAATTCAGGGTTAAGGTGTGTGTCAATTATGAAGTTTTTCGACTTCACTAATTTTCTGTTTGATGTGCAGTGATTCTTTCAAAGTAAATTTGCATTATGGAGGGCTTATGTCTATAAAGGATGGAAAGCGATTATACAGTAGAGAATCCGTGGAGGAAGGTTTAGTTGTCGATCCAGATTTCATGTGTTGGAGCATTTTCGCCAATGAGGATGAGTTTTCCATTTTGCCTGACGAAATCGAGAGAGAGGAAGAAATTTATGATTTAGGGTTTACAGTTTTAATCGATTTGGAGAAGAAGAAGACAACTTATTTCTCGACCAGGATTACTTAATGTTTTTCATCGCTAATTAAACACGTGTTGTTAAAGTTTTTGACAGGGAATTAACACCGCATTAGAGTTTCCGTTGAACGGATAAACGGAGTTAAAAATGGGGAGTCAAACTTACGGTTTTTGAATGTTCGGGTATTAAATAGGTAGCCAAATATAAGTTATGTGTTTTTCAGGTAGCGTTAATAGTCTGGGTATTTTTCTAGCAAATGTTTATAAAGTGAGATATTTTTAAGGTTTTTTCCCGTTAAATTACGTTAAAGTTACATATTTTTCGTCTCCTTTTAACAAAATAAAAAATAAAAAACCCAAATGGTATTTGTTGGAACAAAAAAAAACTATGTGGCTCAGTGTATTAATCTACCGGGAAGCAAATCTGTTGGGAGTAAAAAACAAATACGTAGATACAGGGCCGGCCCACACCTAAGGCCCATGAAGCAATTGCTTCAGGGCAGCCCATAAGGTTCTAATTTTTGGGGCAAAAAAAAAAGTCCAAAATTTTTTTATAAGTATGTGTAAAAATTTTATCCCACATCGACCAAGACCAAAAAATGGGAAAGAAAAATTGTTTATAAATAAGAATTATTATCCCTATCAAATATTTTATAAGAATCGATTTTGGGCTTCAAAAAATTGATTTTAGGCATCGATTTTGAGCTTAAAAAAATCGATTTTAGTTTTAAAAAATCGTTTCTGGACTTCAAAAATTCGTTTCTGGGCTTCAAAAAATCGATTCTGAGTTTAAAAAAATTGATTTTAAGTTTAAAAAATTAAATTTTTTCAAAACAAATTATGTTTCAATGATATTTTATATTATTTTAATATATATTTAAAAATATGCTGCAAAAAAAAAATTCGATTAAGGGCATCATTTTTACCGGACGCTTTAGGCGTCAAATCACTTTGGGCCGGCCCTGCGTAGATATTTGAAAACATTGTTGTGCACTTGTGGTGAATTGTAATAGATTTTTCAATGCTTAAATCAATGTTTTCGAATATGTCAAGTTCATATATCATCCATCATACACAGAGAAAATAACCATAGTAAAAACGATGTCAACTTTTTGTGTTATTCATATTTTTTTGATAGGTTGACAACCACCAAATTACAATATGTATGAAATGCGAAAATGAATTTGCCAGAAATGCTATTGAAATCAGTGGCGGATACAGAAAGTTTTATAGATGGAAGCATAATATTAAAAATATAGAAGAAAGTTTATTGATGGGGTACTTTTTCCTTTTCACCGTTAAATTAGAAACATTTTAATTAAATTTACTTAAAATATTTTTTAAAAAATGAAAAACAGTAAGAGACACTTGACCCATACCAACGCATTTACCTCTGCACTGAGATGCGGAAATAAAGATATTGTTTCCAGAGAGTTTGCTATTTTTTGGGCCATTTTTTTATTTTTTCGAAGGATCGAAAACATGTAAAACATTAAACGTTTATAATCTAATTTTTTCATATAAATAATGTTTTATTGATATTTTCTACGTTTATAAATTCATCAAAATACTGGTTGACAAAAAAAAAAGAAAAATCATCAAAATACTGTGGACTCAAAGATCATCATCTCGTATGACTCATTGAGTCCATGGGCCGGTTTACAGTTTTCTCGCCGACTCAAAAACCTTCCTAGCACTAAACCGGACCCGGTTTGTATATGGAAATTTCACGATATTTATGATTTCATCAAAAATAATTTTATGAAAAAACAAAGACGACAGGAACAAAATTAATTGGGTAAGGAGAAGAATAGTCCCCTGCAAAACATATCATCGCCGGCATCGTCTTCAATTTCACTTTGCAGCAATCATATGATCTCTCCAAAACCCTAATTCATCTTTGTCTTCGTCGATCAATTGTTCGTTCCTCGCTCTACCATCTCATCTGTCGATATCACGAATGCTTATTTTTGCTCGCCAATCGGATTCTTCAGCAGTCTAAACCCTAGTTTCTTCGCCTTCTAGGGTTTCGAAAAGGGGAGTAGAAGATATACAAGAGTTGGTAAAAGATGTCCCTTCCGCTACTGGAGTGTAAGTACGTGACGGAGGAGTTTGTTCGCGAAGCGAAGAATGGCAACTACGGTTTCAAGCTACCGAGCTCCGTACCGATGCTTCGTTTCCTCTATGAGCTCTGTTGGATTTTGGTACACGCACACAAACCTCTCTCCCTATTCTCCAATCTATGCATAGCTCTATGCATATGTGTTCGAGTTGCTGAAGATGCATCGTAATGGATTATCAGGTTCGTGGCGAGTTGCCGATTCAGAGCTGTAAGGCAGTGTTGGAGAGGGTGAATTTTTTGGATAACCCATCGAAAGAAGAGCTAGCTTCCTGTTTTGCGGATGTGGTGACTCAGATAGCTCAAGACGTAAGTCTTTCCAATACTTTCTTCGAAGACCTTACAGTTTTGAATTTTTTTTAGCTTTCTAATGATTGTACAATGGTATTAAAACCGAGCTTTGGATTGATTGCTTTCGTGTTCTCTTTGCTTCGTTTTGCAGCTAACCATGTCGGGGGATCACCGTTCTCGCCTAACAAAATTGGTCAGTACTTTTACCTTCTAATAAGTGACTGTGGTTTTGACTTGTTAGTCTTAGTTATGAAGTATGAACGAGAGTTATAGCTCTTTGAAAGTGCATCTTGAGATTAGAGATCACAACAATCATGTAATAGCATTCCATGCTGAATAATTAGAGCATGTGTTGTTTTGCTAACAGTAGTGTCCTAAGGTTCAAATTACCGTTGGCTCATTTCGGGCGGGTTGCAAGAAGGAGCTTGATGCGTATCTGCTCCTTATTGTAAAAGGTTCCTTAAGCATAAGGAGCTGAAACCATGACCGTAGTGCCTTAAATACTGTATTAGTGCAGTTTCTTCCTGACTTACCATTGTATGTTTGATCCAAAGTTCTTTGAGTTGCTTCCTTGGAGTTATTAGCATACATGTTTTATTGAATTTGATGATTACATACTTAAGTCTCCTCATTAAAGTATACTTTATGTTCTCATTTACCGTCTCCTCAAGCTTTCAATGCTGACAGCTACCAATCACTTGTTTTTCGTTTGTAGGCGAAATGGCTTGTGGAATCACAGACAGTCCCTCAAAGACTATTCCAAGAGCGTTGCGAGGTAAACATTATGTTACATCCAAATCAGGAAATTTCCCAATGTACAGAATAACACATAAAGAAAATTAATACTGATAGTAATTAGAAAAGAAATACAGCTTTGAGAGGTTTCTTAACAGTGTCCCCTCTATCCTCCTTACAGACTTCACTCAGTTTTTGATAATTCCCTCACTGATACCCTTCTTATATAGGTATAGCATATCCATCGTGCAAACATACTCCACATCATACAAACGGTTACAAGAAAGTCTTGGATGATAGATAGAGACAGCTAGTTAAGTTGTGGTTACTGTAACAGCTAAGGTAGTTAAGTTCTAGATGTTGACTTCAAGGCTAAAGCCTAGTCCTGAAGCCACAGTAATCCCTTAGTTTGTTGAAAAGTCCTCTCAAATCCAGTGGACCAGCTGGTCTCACTAAATAGCCCTCTTCTTCTGCCTGTAGGTGTAAAGGATAGGAGGGTGCAGGTTCTAAAATGTGTCATATTTTTTTTTGTGATCAGAACTAAAATGTATCCCATAATTTCCATTATTAGTAGTTTGTTACCCATCTAATCTCTCTATTTTCTTGATTAGTAATTTAGTAAGAAAGTAACTTTTCTGAAGGAGCTGATGATTGATATCATTATTCTCTCTTAGGAGGAGTTTCTATGGGAAGCTGAAATGGTTAAAATTAAAGCCCAAGATTTGAAGGGAAAAGAGGTCAGGACTTCACACTTCTGTAGCCACTGTATTATTGTGACGTACAAGTTTGTTATAGGGGTAGCGGTAATTTTATACGACCATGATATTATCTTGTTTAGTCATCAATTCAGTTGTATTGCAGTCTGATATACGTAATATTACTGTGAGTGAGTTGCTCTTGTGGAACATTTATGTGTAAAATAGTTTCTCCTCTACCTGTGTAACTGCTGCTCATTGTTTAGAACTAACAATTTTGGTTGGTTCCACTCAGGTGCGGTTAAACACTCGTCTTCTGTACCAGCAGACAAAATTCAACTTACTCCGTGAAGAAAGCGAGGGATATGCCAAATTGGTTCGTCATAGAATATCTCCAGCTTTTATCCGTTGTCACTCTTGCTGACTGCTTCTTTTCTATGCCCTATTGTTAGATACATATTCGCTCTTTACTTCTTTTCCTCTGGAATCCACCTTAGGAATGCTCGTCTTTAATTTTTGGAAAGGATCATCTCTTTAACAATGCTGATTTTGCCTTCCCTTTTCACACGGTTTCAGTTGGTAGGCAGATCTTCTGCTAGTTTAATTATAGTATAGTTGCGCAGAGTAACCAACATATATCTCAGTAGAGTTTCTATGGATTTGTGTAGTTTGGTTGAGTCAGAGTGTACAATACACCAACTTATTACAGTAGTTCCTTTTTTGGAGTGCAGGTCACCCTTTTATGCCGAGGATCTTCAAGTTCTTCGCATAATGCATCAGCAGCAACTATGGGAATTATCAAGGTTTTGATTCTGCCATACGTCATGTTTCACATATGTATTCTATTACTTTTTCTGAAATGAAATATTTTCTCGCAGTCATTAATTGGGCATTTTGACCTGGATCCGAACCGTGTTTTCGACATTGTAAGTTTTCACGGTCGCTTCTGTCATTTTTTGTTTGATATTGCAGAATGCATTGATCTGTCCCTCCCTATTATTCATGTACCCTTTGTTTCTGATCATAGGTTTTGGATTGCTTTGAACTTGAACAAGATTACGACACATTTCTGAATCTAATTCCTATCTTTCCCAAGGTTTGGGATGTCTTCCTCGTGTTGTCATATTCTACACCGCTTAGCTTGAGAACCTGGTTTTTGCTAAAAAGTTTCTCTTTGATATGCAGTCTCATGCTTCACAAATTCTTGGATTTAAGTTTCAATACTATCAGAGACTGGAGGTGAATAGCCCTGTTCCATCTGGGCTCTATAAGCTTACAGCCTTGCTAGTAAAGGAGGAGTTTATCAATCTTGAAAGCATGCAAGTACTTTTTCCTTAGACAATATTTTGTCCCTTTTTTTCCTCCCTTTCTAGGTCCTTAGGAAGTACACTGGCTTATCCTTTTTCGCAGACGATGCCTTGAAGTTTCCTTTCTAATTGGATACTTGTATATAGTCTTCTTAATGACGACTGCTTTTCTTTTCATCGTGTGAGCAAGGCTATATCAGTAATCAGTTGGAATCTAAACGAAAGATTTTTCCTGCACTATGTGTCTATGTCTCCTATAAGTTGTTTGGTAGCTATGTCTTTCAAATTCGTTTCTTTATGAGTCTGAAAGGAAATTGATGGGGTTTTAATTGTAAAAAAGCCTTTTGGCTGTTCTAAGTTACTTACTTCGACAATGCTCTTGGGGAGGACTACCTAGAGATAAATTATTAGCTTGCAAGCAACTCACTCATATCATCAACTTATTTTATCAGTGCACTGATTTGTGACTACTAGATTCCTACATTTCCTTGTGTTTCTGACAAGTGAAACTATACTAAATCTTTAAGCCTTATGTTTTAATGTTGTTTTGTGAACAGATATGCACATCTGCTACCTAAGGACGAAGAAGTTTTTGAGGATTATAATGCTTCTTCTGCAAAGCGATTCGAAGAGGTACAATTCAAAATATGACCTCATCCTTACGAAGTTTGTAGATGCATGTGTCTAGATGTTTCAAGATAGTTTTGTTCTGGCCTAGCGTAAGTTGTCTCTATGTTTTCTCTGAGCGAAAACCTTTTTACCCCCTTGAGACAAACGAACAAACTTGTTACCTCTGCTTTTACTAAAGTTTGCTCATTCTGCCTTTAAAGTTTAACTAATACATGGAAGATAATTAGCACTTCTCCATCTTCCCGGAAGCCAGCTAATTATTTGTTGTTTTTGAAGCCGTACTTTCACTTGTTTATTCACGATATTTACAAATCCCTCCCTTTCTTCAGGCCAATAAAATTGGAAAGATAAATCTTGCTGCTACGGGGAAGGATTATTTGGAAGATGAGAAGCAAGGAGATGTCACAGTAGACCTCTTTGCTGCTTTAGACATGGAAACTGAAGCTGTTACTGAGCGATTACCAGAGCTTGAAAATAATCAGACTCTGGGCCTCCTTAATGGTTTTCTCTCTGTGGACGACTGGTATGTATACCTATTCCTCTTGATTAATTAAAAGAAAAAACTGAACTCTCCTGAAAGCTTAGTTTGCCATCCACTTTTTTTTGTGGTTAATTAATTTCGTTTCGCTTAATAATTTCACTATCATCTGGTTGGTAACACGTTTCTCGAACCATCGCATGTTGAATTTTAAGTTTTATTCTGCCCGAGCGTGAGATTTCTTCTAGGATTACGGTGTTATTTTGTGATAATTGAATCACCTTTTTGTTCATTAGTTGAAATTGAACTTGGAGGACATGTTGGATGACTACTACTGATGTCTTCTGCAGAATTCACATCTCAGTTTGATACTGTCATATACACTTTCCTTACAGTTTATTTATGATATGCAACGCTACTTTGTATATTTAATTTATACTAGAGCCATAGTACTTTACTCTTCTCCGTTCTGCTCAACTGAAGTGAAAGCTCTTGGTTTTCTTTTTGCGTTAACTCTTTACTTGTCTCAGGTTTCATGCAAATATCTTGTTCGAGCGTCTTGCGCCTCTTAATCCGGTGGCTCACAATCATATTTGTGGTGGCTTGTTTAGGTTAGTGAGTGATCCTTTCGCTCAGACTGTTTTGTCCTCATATGTATAACTGCTTCATTGCTTTGCATCTTCAGCTCTATGTATCACCGGAGCTCTGGCCACTATTCTATGATGAGAACAATGATCTTTTTGTTATATGTTTCAGGCTAATAGAGAAGTCAATCACTCATGCTTATCGCATTGCCTGTCAGACACGTTTTCGAAATTTTTCTCGTGCGGGTACAGAAAAGATTACACACGCTGCTAATACAATAGCCAATACGACTTCTCTAGATCTTCCGAAAGAGGTGTTTCAGATGCTTGTTACAGTTGGGCCCTACTTGTACCGTAATACACAACTGTTGCAGAAGGTGCACTGACTTTTAAAATACTGAATGATTCAAAAGATTGAAGATTGAAGCTGATAAATGTTTATTACCATTGTGGCAGATTTGTAGAGTATTAAGGGTTTACTACTTGTCGGCCTTAGATCTTGTTCGCAGTAGCGATGGATCGTCAAGTCAAGAAGGTAGTGCTTATGAAAACTCTCGTGTGCACCTGAAGGAAGTTAGGTTGAGGGTGGAAGAAGCTCTAGGAACATGCCTTCTGCCATCGTTACAATTAATACCTGCTAATCCAGCAGTTGGTAATGAGATTTGGGAAGTGATGAGTCTCCTTCCATATGAGGTTAGCTTGCTTCTGTTTTCTTGTTCTAAATTTTTTCGTATAGAATGTGGTGGTCAATCCTGCTGATTAATATTGTATTCAGGCTCGTTATCGCTTATATGGTGAGTGGGAAAAAGATGATGAGCGGAATCCTTTGCTGTTGGCAGCAAGGCAAGTGGCAAAGGTATGGCAGTATGACTTTTCTGACCTGTTATTCTTATATGATACAAATGGAATATGCATCCTTCAGATTCTCAGGAGCCTTGTCTCGTATGACAGTTGGACACTAGAAGGATTCTGAAACGGCTTGCAAAAGAAAATTTGAAGCCATTAGGAAGGATGGTTGCAAAACTAGCTCATGCCAATCCTATGACGGTGCTCCGGACAATTGTAAATCAGGTGTCAATCTACTGAAAATGTGGTTGCTTCTATTTTTTTTAGTCAGGATTTTTCAGAGGGCTAACTGTCAGGTTCTTGTTGCAACAGATTGAAGCATACAGAGATATGATTCCTCCTGTTGTAGATGCTTTCAAGTACTTGACACAGGTTAGTGAAGCCGTGTGCGTCTTGTTTATATGCTATGCTCTTGTTCACCTTATCCGCTTACTTGCCCTTGTTTTCTGTTCATTTGTTATAAAAAAAGTAATCATGATGAGATAGACAGATGGTCTTTTTGCCAGGGCCTTGTTTCAGAGTGAAAAGTAAATTTAGTTTCATTCGAGTGAGTATGATTTGGCTTTGTAGGTTTTCGACTGATACATTTTACTCATTCACTCTAGCATTCATTCTGGATTAGGTTTATAATAATGGAAATGGGTA